ATATCACATTAACTCTCAACGGGGAAAGTTATCCAAAGGAGAAGATGCAATTGGCCTTCGATAAAGGAGCCTTTCCACAGGCGTACTTCAACTATACGCAATTTGGATATAGCTATAAAAACACCTCCCAACACACTCCGCTCCTAGGCTACCCCGAGTTTGCCAATAAACAACCTCTTTTCGTTATCGATTGTTCGCGACGAGACGAAAGTGTCAAAAGCTCCACTGTCGATGTCAAACTTGAAATTGAAGCATCCCAAGGATTTCCTGCCAACACTCGAGCCTATTGTATCATCATCCATGATAACATCATTGAGCACCTCCCACTCAGTGAAATTATCAAGAAGTGGAATTGAATCTCAGTTTGTCATTCAGTTTGAGTTCGACCAGCATCATGAGAGTAGCGTTCATAGACATTCAAGGGTTCATTATCGAGCATGAATTCCGCCCCAAGGAGATTGCTATCAAAATTGGAGTTCAATGTAGTAATTATCTACTACTTCCATACAAATCCTTCTCTTCTCTCAGCAAAGAAGACCGAACCGGCGCTTGTTTCTTGGAAAAGAACATTCATGGGTTGAGGTATTCTAACGGATTTGTGGCATACAATTTACTCAATGATATCCTTCAGGATAAGCTGAGTGACATCGATATCATCTATGTGCGAGGTCATCAAAAAAAGGAGTTCCTGGACGATAAATTAGCAACATTCAATGTACATGCAAGAGTCGTGAATTTGGAGCAATATGACGATTCCTGGTACATCGTTCCAACTTTCGATAACAACAACACCATCACATCCTGTATGCATCACATTCGTCGAGAATCCTTCAATTGCAGCCTTCGCAACGTTGATATTTTATACAAATGGTTCGATAATTTGATACCTAAATGATGTTACTGAATTATTTAATAAAAAAACAACTTTTTCACCGATAATTTTATTTCATTTTTTCATCCTCGATTCCGTCAAACGTCATCTGTCAAAAGTCATACGTCATATGTCGAACGTCATACGCCATCGCCAAAACGGCAATTATGTATTACGTAGCACCCCGAATTATTCTGACGTCCGACAACGTAGCACACCGAGTATTTCCAACGTCTGGCAACCCTGTCCCATCGCTCGCTGTGCTAGCACTCGCTAGCAGTCTGTGCCTGTGCCACTGTGCCAATCTCTGTATCATTCTCACAACTCGTAAACTTTTCCGTCTAGTGGTGTGGCGCGATGGTAGCGTTTCGGGCTCACAGCCCGTCGGTCGAGGTTCGAATCCTCGCGCAGAGCACACCCGACCAGCTTTTTTTTAATTCCAAATATTCATCCATCGAAATCACCATCCATTACTCGAAATCGCCACCATCATCCACTATTTGAATTTGTCACCATCCAATATTTGAATTTGCCGCCGCCCAGTACAGAGCGCAGCCACAACGACACTAGCGCCACTAGCGACACCAGTGAGTGTTTTTTGAACCCTTGAATTAAAAGCCTTGTTGACCTAACTACTAACTAGCTTCCAGTCAGAAATAAAATTCTGGTATGAGGAAATTGATTACAAACAACAATAATAAAATAATATAAGGTGACAACAACAAAAAAATCAAAAAAATCTAAAAATGCCAAATCGATCAAGTCATAAAAATAGCCACAGGGACTAATCAGTAGATGGCAAAGTATAAATTTTATCTATTTCGTAATGAAATCATGTGTTTTTTTAATTCAACTTTAAATTTTGAAATATGTCTGCAATTTTTTATATTATGTGGTAATTTATTAAATTCAGCTAGAGCAGCGTGAGTAAATTTTTTTTGGCCAATTATAGAAGTAGCAGAATCAAGATGAAATAAGTTTGATTGTCTTTTAAGAGAATCTATTTTATATAATTCATCCAATGAAAATTTTCCTGTTATGGCATACAGATCATTTGTTGGGATATCAAATGAGGGGCGATACAATACTTTCAGTGCTTTCTTATAAAGTGCAGATATTTTACTGAAATAATTTTTTGAACAAGATCCCCAAACGTTTATCATATAGGTAATACGACTGAGTGTATGAGAATGAAGTACTATGTTTATGACTTTTTTGTCAAGTTTAGGACATCTTCGCAAAGCTCCAATGATCGGAGATATTTTTTGTATCAGAACCTCTATATGCTTGTCCCATTTCAATTTTTCATCAATCCACATACCAAGATACTTTATTTGTGTAGTTCTTTTCAATACTTTATTTTTGATTTGGAGATTGAGACTAGGTGAATTGCAATTACAAAAAAGTTCGATAAGAAGATGTTTGCATTTGTAATGAGACATCTAATTTTTTACAAAACATAATCTACATGATTATCCCACTTCAGATTATTATCAATCATTATGCCAAGCAGTTTGCCATAAGTCATATATTTGGTTTTTTGAAAATTAATTGTCAATAAATTATTATCAAACCACTTTTTGTACAGGTTGATTGTTTATATTTTACTCAAGATCTATCTCAGTTAATATTGGTCTTACAGAATCGTTCAAATGGGTAAGATGAAGTATTTTTATGAGCATTCAGAATTTAGTTCTAGATAATGCAAAAAACATCGTAAACCTGATTTTTTTTATAAACTGATATATTTCAGATGGACCGCCTTGTATTTTATTTCCCAAATCTCACTAATGAATAGTTTCCACTCAAAAAAATCCTAAAGTTGAAAAATCTCGATAACATCAGCCGATATCTTGGAATTCGAACACTCTATAGATAACTGTTGTGATTAAATTTTTTCTATATATCTGACGATTTGGCAAATATCGAAGGAGAACACACTATTGACTCACCCTTGTAATCAGAGAAAAAAAACTCTACCGTTCAGAAAAATAAAATACAGAGTAATCCATTTGAAAAATGACAGTTGATGTAGAATTATCTCTAAACGACGCCTCCCAAGTGAACTGAAATTTGATATCAAATTTGATGAAATCATCAAATATTCCACAGCCATAAAATTCCTTGGGATATTCCTTGATGAACATTTGTCATGGTCCAAACATATTGAATCGATCAGAAATTAAATATCTCCAGTAATTGGAGTACTCTACAGGATCAGACACCAAATCACTTTGAAATACTAAAAAATGTATTTATTTTACCTTGGCTTATTCAAAATTACAATACTTGATTTCAGTTTGGGGTACAGCTAGGTTATCAATTATAAAGCCAATCAAAATCCTTCAATACAAAGTTATTAAATGTATATACAAACTGGATTACTTGGAACCAACAAGAAATCTTCATAAACCTAGGCAATTGTTAGATATTCTTCTTCTTCCTTGTTTCTTTAACGTCGGCCTTTTTATGATAAGCTAGGGCGATGCCCCATTGTTAGATATAAACTCCATTTACAAATTCAAAATATTAAATTTCATTCATTCCGTCAATAAACATTCAAATCTGTATATCGAAGTCAATAGCCATTAACACGAACACATAACCAGACAAAAAGATATGTGAACTCTCATCAGAATTGAATCAGATATGGGTAAAAGATCTATTTTATACAATGGAACAATTCTCTGAAATGAATCACTTGCCAGACTGAAGAAAAAATTAAGTGTTGAGTAATTCAAAAAAAAAAAAAATTAAAAAATACTTATGTCTTTGATTCTCTCATATCATCCTGAATCAATTCAAGAACTTATATTCAATAGTCTCTAGAAGAAACAACATCATATGTATTATGTTTAAAAATGATTATCTGATTATCTAATTTTTTTTAGCTGCTCTTTCATAATTTGCCGTGCTATAAACATATATGTTTCTTGGGAAAAATGCAGGCTATTATTATTATTATATTCTGATTACCTACCTTTAAAAACTACTACATGTTTGCCCTGAGATGACTATTGAGTTGAATATAAACAAATTAGGGATGAAATTTCAAGTGATTTGAAAATATTATTATCATGGTTATCATGTTATAAATTGAGTATAAATTATAGTAAATCAGCATTTATGATCATTTCAAAAAAATCAAGATATAATGAGTACAAATTTCCAATTGCATGTAACAATGAAGTCATCAAATATTCAAATTATATCAAGTTTCTTGGTCTGTACATAGATGAACATTTGTCCTGGTCAAAACATATTGAAATACTTAGGAAAAAAATATCTCCAATAATAGGTATACTTTTTAGGGTATGGAATCAAGTTCCTATAAAATGTCTCAAATCTATATACTTCTCTTTGATCTATTCTAAACTTAAATATTCGATTTCTGTATGGGGTTCAACAAAACTATCAATTATAAAGCCTCTCAAAACTCTTCAAAATAAAATTATCAAATGTATATACAGACTTAATTATTCGGAACCTACTATGAACCTTTACAGAAGAAGAGAATTATTAGATATAGATTCACTATAAAAATTCAAATTGATGTCGTTCATTCATTCATTTAAACATTGTCAAAAGCATTCAAATTTGGTTTTCCAAATCAATACTAATCACCACAACCATACAACCATACAACCAGACAAGCAGATCATTTTTCTGTCAAGAAAATTAAATCAGATATTGGTAAAAAATCCATCTATCACAATGGAATGATACAATACAATTCACTACCAAATAACTTGAAGCTGATTAATAGGATTGAAAAATTCAAAAGAGAATTCAAGAAACATCTACTCCTGTAATATTGACATCATATCTCATTTTTATAGTTTTCTTGTACAACTACTATAGTTTTCAATTGGGTACCTAACAGCTGAGTCAATAGAGAATCATTTTCAGTTGAACTTGAAAAAAAAAGATTCTTTTTGAGTGTGAGTCTTATTTTACTGTCTTCTTTATTTTATTTTGTCAAATATATTTATGTATTTACTATGTTCCCTGCTATAAACAAATGTTGTTTCTTGGGAATAATAAAGTTGATTGATTGATTGATTGATTGATTGACCATGTACACAACTGCCATTCAATCATGATAAACTTCTCCACATCCAACTTCCAGGTGCTGAACAAGCACCGCATCCAGAACAGGAAGCTGGAGATCCTTTTGTCGAAGATCCAGACGGAGACGACGATGGCGGACGAGGCGGAGCTCGGCATGCCGCGCGCCAAGTCGCGGTCAAAGAACAGGGAAGACCCCGGAGTGTCCGGGGACTCGTCGATGAGCCAAAGGCTGAAGGTGTCTGTGGACAATTTGCAGCAGGCTTGGTTGCCGAACAGAAGGGTGTCGAAGGTGAGTATCGACTAGGTTCCAATTTATTCGGCTTAGAACTTTTATATATCGTTCGTCTGAACATTTCGAGCATTTTTGAGCACTTATTACAATTATTGTGACTTATAATTTTGTTACAGTCAAAAGTAATTTAGGTTCTGTATCAATTAAAATTAATATTTGTCAGTATGAAACGACCTGGCCGATTTGCACAAACGAAGCGGTGTTGGAAAGAGAGTAAAAGAGGTACTTTTCATCTGAATTTTACTCGTCCACGATACCTTGTCCAGTTCAAGAGTTGAAGATGGGGGAAGACTTTATGTATGTTTATGTATCTCAGTTATATGTCCATTTGAATTGAAAACACGCATTTGTGTTTTTGCCTATTGCCAACTGAAATCATGCCAGGCCACGCATAACTCGTAGCTGCCTCGCGATCTCCTTGGCCTTTGAAAGTACTCTGAAGCCATTAAACTTCTTGGACTTTTTTTGGAAGATGTGTTTGTTTGGTTTTTGCCTCTCTGGAAGTCATTGGAAGCATAGGCATTCAGAAGCTTTGGAGCTTTTGGACTTCTATGGTATCTTTTCGGAGTTCTTGGAAGTCTTGAGAGTCATTCAAAGTATAAGGGACCCATTTGGAAACATTTGATGTTATTCGACTCTTTTTGGAGGCCTTCAACGCCGCCTTCGTCAGCTGCTGAACGGAGCTGTCTCTTTTTTTATAATTTCGCGAATCCTTTTCCAGGACGACTGGCTCGAATGGCTGCGCTGGAACTCCTCAAGCAGTCCCCCATCCCCGCTTGCTCAGACCTACTCGCAGCTGCCTTGGGACCTCTTTGGCCTTTGAAAGTACTCTAAAGCTATTAAACTTCATTGAACTTTTTTTTGGAAGATGTGTTTGTTCGGTTTTTGCCTCTCCGGTCATTGGAAGCCTGGGAATTCGGGCCAGGAGCTATTTCACTTCCAGTCAGCTGCTTATGATCTATAAGGCACAGATCCGACCTGTCCTGGAATACTGTTCCCATATTTGGAGTGCAGCACCCAAACATACCCTGAAACTGTTGGATTCTGTCCAAGAAAGGGCAATTCGTCGCGTGGATGATGTATCGCTCAGAAACTCACTCACTTCTCTGGAACACCGTAGAAAAGTTGGCGATCTGGCTCTATTTTATAGATATTTTCATGGACGATGCTCTTCTGAAATATCAACAATTGTTCCTCCCTTGGCAGTCCCCGCGAGATTAACCCGTCGAGTTGAGGCTTCGCACCCCTTCGTGGTCACTTTGGAGACCTGCAGAACATCTCTTTCCAAAGACTCATTCATCCAGCGAACAGCGAGGCTCTGGAATACATTGGCAAGGGAGGTGTTCCCCGAGGCATATAACCTCCAGAAATTCAAGAAGAACACCAATTCCTACTTTATTTTCCTTGGTTCTCACGATGTTCTCTGAACATTACAGGATATCCCATTTTGTGGGAACCAGAACATGAAAAAAGCTTTTAGACTTCTATGGTACCTTTTCGGAGTCCCTGGAAGTCTTGAAAGTCATTCAGTTAACAGAGAAACACTGAATGCCAATGCACTTCTTGGGAAGCCTTTGGAAGTCATTGGACTTCTCAGGAAGCCTTTGGAAGTCATTGGACTTCTCAGGAATCTTTTGAGCTTCAAGTTTTTATAACTATCTGGAAATATTCGGAAGTCTAGGCATTCGACAGTTCTGGGGAGGAATTGAAAATCATTTGAATTATTCTGAACCCTTTTGAAGTTCGAAGAAGTTTTGAGAATCATTCAAAGTGATTAGGTCATTGGAAGCCTGGGAATTCCGAAATTTTGAAGCTTTTGGACTTCTATGGTACCTTTTCGGAGTCCCTGGAAGTCTGAGAGTAATTCTAAGTATTAGGTACCCATTTGGAAATGATTTGATGTTATTCGACTCTTTGTGGAGGCCTTCAACGCCGCCTTCGTCAGCTGCTGGACGGAACTACCTTTTGTTATAATTTCGCGAATCCTTTTCCAGGACGACTGGCTCGAATGGCTGCGCTGCCTCAGCCTGGAACTCCTCAAGCAGTCCCCCATCCCGGCGCTCAGGTCCTGCCTGCCGCTCGCTCAGACCTACTCGCAGCTGCCTCGGGGCCTCTTTGGCCTTTGAAAGTACTCTAAAGCTATTAAACTTCTTTGGACTTCTTTTTGGAAGATGTGTTTGTTTGGTTTTTGTCTCTCCGGAATTCATTGGAAGCCTGAACATTCAGAAGTTCTAGAGCTTTTGGACTTCTATGGTATCTTTTCGGAGTCCCTGGAAGTCTCAAGAGTAATTCAAATTATTAGGTGCCCATTCGGAAGTAATTGGAGACCTTCGTTAGCCGCTGGACGAATCTGCCTTTTGTTATAATTTCGCGAATTCTTTTCCAGGACGACTGGCTCGAATGGCTGCGCTGCCTCAGCCTGGAACTCCTCAAGCAGTCCCCCATCCCGGCGCTCAGGTCCTGCCTGCCGCTCGCTCAGACCTACTCGCAGCTGCCGCGCGACCTCTTCAACGCCGCCTTCGTCAGCTGCTGGACGGAGCTGGCCGAGGACAAGCAGAAGAGCCTGATTGGCGGCTTCGAGCTGGCCCTCGAGGTGCCCGACGTGCCCGAGATCACGCAGACCATTTTGAATTTGGCCGAGTTCATGGAGCACTGCGACAAGGGGCCGCTGCCCTTGGATCCGCACATTCTCGGGGAACACGCGATGAATGGCAGGTAGGTTTGTTCCCATAGACATACAGATCCCAGATCTGATATTCCAACACATGTTGAAATTGATAATCAAAATGTGAGCATGTCAGAATATGTGAAATTTCTAGGAATGCACATTGATACCAAATTGAGTTGGATGAATCACATCAATAATATCAGTGGAAAATTGAACTCGTCTGGTTATAGTATAAGAATTATTGCTAAATATGTCAAGTACCATACACTTAAGATGGTTTACCATGCAAACGTAGAGTCAATCATGAGGTATGGTATCATATTCTATGGAAGTAGCAGGGGCGCAAACGCGATCTTCATAATCCAGAAGAGAATTCTCAGAATTCTCTGGAACTTGAAACCTGGAGATTCATGCAGAGGTTTATTCAGAAAAAATAAACTACTCAGCTTTTATGCGATGTTCATTCAAGAGTGCCTATTATTCATTTTCAAAAATAAATGATTATTTACAAATATGGAATCTCAGACAGAACATGTCCAGCACACAGATTGCGATTAACTGAGTCCAGTGCATTATACTCTTGTATTAGATTTTATAACAAACTCTCTAGTGACATCAAATCGATAAAATCATTAGCAAAATTCAAGAAAACAATTTTTAAGTTGTTGGTTAACATCGAACCATATGATGAGACAGAGTTCATGAACTTTCGAATCAAATAATCTCAGAAATATTTGTAGAACTCACAAGTGACTATCATATTCTTTTGTTGACTATTGTTTCATTTAATCCTACTTTATGTGATCACGTTTATATATTGTAGTATTCCTTGAAATAAAATTTATTTATTATTATTATTATTATTATTATTACAGAGAAGTGCACAAAAAACGGCCAGGACTATATATATACAACTCATTACCAAATCAATTAAGGAATATACAGGAAGCAAGTAGATTCGAAATTGACAATTCCAACAACATAACAACACACAGCATAACACTAAACAGTTTCTTGATTAAATAATATAGAAAAATAAAAATAATCATGGCAAGTCTCTTTGTCTCAGGTACTCTTTAATACATTTTTTAAAGTTTCTAACATTCTCACATTCTTTTATTCTTTGAGGAAGAGAATTATATTCTTTCAGTCCTTCATAAAACATTATTGAGTTCATACCCCTACTGGTAAGCATTCTGTTCAGATGAAAATCATTACGAGATCTCGTTTGGTAATCATGAATTTCTGCACTGAAAATAACGCACTGGTCTAGGTAATCCGGCAATGAGCCCTTCGATAAAGATAAAAAATAATGCAAAAGTTGACAGTCTTTCATTTACAGATTGCCATCGTAACGTTTCCAATATGTTACAGATGGAGGTGCGCCTGTTACATTTCAAAATTATTCGCATTCCTCTGTTTTGAAGTTGAAGTAGTCATTCAGCCAGTCTAAAACTACTTCCTCAAAGCAATAGTGACTTAGTTTAGCTTTTATGTATAAGTATAACATTATGTATATTGTTTATGTATCCCTATTTCACCCAGTTTCACCGGAAACGCCTCCAATTTTTGATTTTTAAATGGGACACCCTGTATTGTATTCCATAATCGGTTAGGGATTATCATGACGAATTCAACGAAACCGGGTTTGATAGGGTCATTTCAAGCAATTACAAAGATATTTGCGTTCGAAGTTCCCATATGCTGAATGGGTGTGACTTCGCAATATCAAAACTTCTGTCTCTGTCACACTTATTGAGCATATGGAAACTTGTGATGTGATTATCAGCGTAATAGTTTGAAATAACCCTATAAAATCCGGTATCGATGCGTTCGTTATGACAATCCCTAACCGATTATGGAATACACTACAGTGTGTCCCATTTAATAATCAAAATGTGGGGTCGTTTCCAGTAAAACCGGAAGTGATAGAACAAAAATTGTTTTGTAAATTAATGAGTAATTCGGTATACTAGCTGCCCACCAATTTTCAAAACTCTATCTCAAAGAATTCAAAAGTTACAGTCCTGACAGTTATTTGTGCACATCTCTGTATAAAGAGAGTGCAGACATTTGAATGAGAATATATAATCTCAATTTTGTATTCATTTGCCTTCCTAATCCTGTAAGAATAAAAATGGAATTACACTTTTGAGTCAATAAAAAAATCAATAATTATTTTTTTAAATGAATATTATTATATTTAATCACGTATACTCTCAAATAAAAGCAAAAAATAAGAAAATATTTCAAATAATGCGAGCACTTCCCATTGGCCAACATAAGATAGAAAGAGATAGGTATCCGTAACCACTGCGGGTTGCCTGAACAATATTTTTGCCTCACTCGTAGTTCACAGAGGATCCCTTCAAGGTAATAATAATTATAATAATAATAATAATAATAATCTTCATTTTCCTTTGAGACAAAGTTGCAAAATTTTTATAGGAATCGTCAAAAAATAACAAGAGAAAAGGAGATCGGAAATTTAAAAAAAATCCTGATAAAAAGAGGATGAACTATCTACTTATACACAAAAATTCTTCAAAACTATAATAACACATCAACAAGATAATTCTTGAGTGTTCGTTTAAACATTAAAACAGTTTTGGATTCTTTTATAGAATCTGGTAGCAAATTATAAACACGTGGAGCCATCTGGTCAGGAGATTCGAAAGCTAATTTGGTTTTTCCAAATGGTACAAAAACATTGTTTTTTTGTCTTGTATCAATATTATGTTTACATTTATTCAGTACAAACAATTTATTTCTATTCTTGAACACAGATAAGCACAGGGCAACAATTAAAAGACTAGGGACAGTTGAAATTTCAAAATTTCTGAAAGCTGGTCTGCATGAATCAAACAGACCTATGCCACTAATGATTCGTAGGAGTTTTTTTTTTGTGCTATGAAGACATCAGAGCAGCTAGAGGAAAAACCCCAGAAGCACACTCCATATCTCAGTCTAGAATCCACCTGAGCTTAGTACAGCTTCAGCAGCTGATCATCATTTAAAACCTGCCTTATATCTGAACTGATATGAAGTTGAGTTAATTTTTTTGATCAGAAAATCACAGTGACTCTGCCAATTTGAATGTTCATCAATGTGAAGACCTAAAAATTTTAAGCTCTCACACGTTGTTACAGTGTCAGAATTATCATTAGCCCTAAAGCTTATGATATCACACCTCCGTTGCCGATGATGGAACCTCATTGAATCCGTTTTTCTCGCATTCAAAAACAAATTGTTTGCAGAAAACCATTTTTTCTGTGACGGGAAAAAAGTTTGGCATTTCATCTCTGTTGGCAGGTTATAAAATGTCACTTTTCATAAATCACTTTTTTCCCTTGGGAAAAAAGTGAGTACTTTTTTCCCGGATATATATACTGTTGATGGCTTTTGTTGTGCTATAGTTCCGAAAAATGAGTCAATAATGCAGTCTCCGAGAAAGAACTGCAAGTCCTTTTATCTTCCATTCGACTTACGGTTACGTATATTACTAAACAACCACTAATTTCGCAATTGTTTCAAATCAAATCACAGAAGTAGACTGACAGAAGTGACATCAGATATTTGATTACTTCAAAAGAATGATAAAGATGCCTACTGTTAAGAATTTAAAATTTCACGTCGATAATGTTCAGATTTCAAAATAATGTAATATCTTCTCAATATTGATTCGGCATTTCTTCTGTTACAGAAAAAAATAGTGTATTATACACTGGAAAAATATCAGATTTTAGCTCACGGTTAACCTGGAGTTAAAATCTACTTTTTTTCCTTGTATAATAATAGTTATTTATTAAAAAAACCGTGAGCTAAAATCTAATATTTTTCCCGTGTATAATAAACAATTTTTTTCTGTGACAGAAGAAAGGACGAATCAATATTGAGAAGATATTACATTATTTTGAAATCTGAAAATTATCGACGTGAAATTTTAAGTTTTTAACAGTAGGGACCTGCATTGTAGGCATCTTTATCATTCTTTTGAAGTAATCAAATATCTGATGTCACTTCTGTCAGCCTAATTCTGTGATTTGATTTTAAAAAATTGCGAATTTAGTGGTTGTTTAGTAATATACGTAACCGCGAAGTCGAATGGAAGATAAAAGGACTTGAAGTTCTTTCTCGGAGACGGTATTATTGACTCATTTTCCGGAACTATAGCACAACAAAAGCCATCAACAGTGTATATATTTGTGATATACACACACTGGCACAATTAGGGGAACGGGTGAAATTTACACTAAGTTTGACATCAGTTTTCTCTCGAACCGATCACTCGATTCAAATTTGTTTTTCACGAATTGTAGCTTCATTCTTCACGAATACATCTGAGAAATAACCACCTCCAAACGATTCGTCTTTATATCATATACAGGGGTGTGAAGAAAGTACGGATTTTTCGGTATTCTTTATGACATCCTGTGGAGTGAACCACTGATAATTGAAACGATTTTCCTACACCAAATTATAGCCCAATCTATCCCGAATATTTTCGTTTTTTATTCATCTTGATATCCCAATTATCCAAGAAAATATAGAGTTTCAAAGAAGAGGTGGATATTGGTATTAATTTTACCACCTCGAAACTCGAACGGGGAGAACGTGTCGTTTTTCAACTTGTTTCTGTGAGGATTTTTACTTCAAGATGAGAATTGTTCACAGTTTTACCTATCGGTTTACTGTTTAAAGACACATATACGAATACTCTCATGAATATGCAGGGGTGATAAAAGTTGCTCCAATGTTCTTTTGGTGAAATGCTATTTTTGTTAATCAACGTTGGCTATTTTGTTAATGTCATTAATTATTGTCAAAGTCAAGCGATTCACAATTCATAAATTTGATTGATGAAAATTCAACGTGAGAGATTTGACTCCTACTGATGTAGCGAGGGCTGTAGCATTAATTGAAAATGACCAGTGGGCCAATGTTCTTTCAACATATGAGAGCCGCATCTGCACCAATTCAATAGATGGCAGGGAAAGACTATATCGCCGAGGTGAACAAAATGAACAATTTGATTTTACTGCTTCTGTCTTCTATGGCAGAGGTTTAGTCATGGTTAGGTTAGGTTAGTCAAGAAATGACACATTTTCAGATCCAATTTGTGTTTTGAGGTGTAAAATTGATACCAATATCCACCTTTCCTTTGAAACTCTGTATTTTCTTGAATAATTGAGATATCAAGATGAATAGAAAACGAAGATATTCGGAATAGATTGGGCTCCAATTTGGTGTTGAGAAATCGTTTCAATTATCAGTGATTCAGTCCACAGAATGTCTAAAAAAATACCAAAAAATCCGTACTTTCTTTACACCCCTGTATATGATGGAAAGACTCTTCGTTTGAAGGTAATTATTTCTCAGATGTATTCTTGAAGAATGAAGCTACATTTTGTGAAGAAAAAAATTTGAATCGAGCGATCGGTTCGAAAGAAAATTGATGTCAAACTTAGTGTAAATTTTGCCCGTTCCCCTTATTGTGCCAGTGTGTGTATATCCGGGAAAAAAGTAATTTATGAAAAGTGACTTTTTATAACCTGCCAACAGAGATGAAATGCCAAACTTTTTTCCCGTCACAGAAAAAATAACTAAAATGAAATTTTCAAAAACTGGTGTTTATACTGAGTGTATTGTCATTAGCTAAACCATTCATTGCAGAGCTTACGCGAAAGCGTTGCACTACAAGGAAGAAGAATTCGAACGGGGCGGTTCCTACAACGATCAGGTGGTGGAATCGCTGATATCGATCAACAATAAGCTGCAGCAGAAAGAGGCGGCCGAGGGGCTGTTGCAGTACGTGATGAGGCAAGCCGGGGATGTGCAGGTCAAGGTGCGATGGTACGAGAAGCTGCACAATTGGGACAAGGCTTTGGGCATGTACAAGGAGAAGTTGGAAGCTGGAGGAGAGTTCGATCAGGAGGCTTGTCTAGGACAAATGAGGTGATTAATAATAATAATAATAATAATAATATCTATTATTCCCAAGGAACACATATGTTTATAGCAGGAAAAATTATGAAAGAGCAATTAAAAAAAAATTAGATAATCAGATGATCATTTTCAAATCATATACATAGTACATATAATTCATTATTCCAGGTTTTTTGGGATTTTCTCTCGTCGTTTCTATAACATGAAAATATGAATATTATTTCAATATGAGGACGAATCAGATCATTTGCCCCAAAATGTCCCTGAGTTTGAAGAATTTTCCTAACAGAGGGCCTGAAAGAAAAATTCACTAGCTTGTCAGTGACAATTTATATTGAAAAAGGTTTGGAGAAGAGAAATAAAGGTATATAGAAGAAATATCAAATTTTCACTCAGCTTTAGTCGTTTCGGGAACGAATCTGCTCCCGTTTTGAACATGGAAAATGGTTATTTAAATAGCAAATTCGTATTTGTCTTGAAACTTTTCAGTTCTCAGTGATAATTGGTGACGTTGGCAATCAAATGAGTTACAGGATGTTTTCATTAATCAATCTTGAATTTACCATTTTCAGATTTCAGTAGTGAATACCATGTTCTATCTATATCATCTGAACAGGAAGCAATGCTATCGTCTCAGTTCAGTAGAATGCTAGCAGACTCCTTGATTTTCTTCTCTTCTGTCACTGAGAACTGAAAAGTTTCAAGACAAATACGAATTTGATATTCAAATAACCATTTTTTATGTTGAAAGCGGAAGCAGATTCGTTCCCGAAACGTCCAAAGCTTAGTGAACATCTGAAATTTTTTTTATATACCTATATTTCTCTTTTCCAAACCTTTTTCAATACAAATTGTCTCTGACAAGCTAGTGAATTTTTCTTGTAGGCTCTCTGATAGGAAAATTCTCTAAACGCAGTGACATTTTGGAGCAAATCATCTGATTTGTCCTTATTACTACTGAAATAATATTCATATTTTTATTTCATAGAAACGACGAGAGAAAATACCAAAAAATCTGGAATAATGAATGTACCATCTCCTCCATTAACCTACAGGCAGTATTAAGTACATATAATGTTGTTTCTTCTAGAGACTGATGAATATAAGTTCTTTTTGGGATAATATAAGGGATTCAAAGAAATGAGCATTTTTTCAGTTCTTCTTTGAATTTCCCAACACTTAATTTTTCTTCAGTCTGGCATGTAATTCATCATAGAGAATTTTTTCATTGCATAAAATAGATCTTTTACCCATATCTGATTTAATTTTGATGAGAGTTAACATATCTTTTTGTCTGGTTATGTGTTCGTGTTTATGACTATTGACTTCAAAATTCAGATTTGAATGTTTATAATTATTATATTTGACGGAATGGATGAAATATATATCAATCATTGGTCTCATCAGATCAATTTTTGACGTTTCTTCTTCAGTCTTAACTAAGTTATAGTTATGCGTACAAGGGTCTGGTTATCGACTGTAAAGTTTTGTGACCAACCTCAATAGTCTTTCAATTTACTCTATATTCATGAAAGATTTTTGTGATATGTGATATATTTTCTAATCTATAGAAGTACTGTTTGAAGGGTATTCCTACTTGCAGAAGTTGTGGATATCGATAAAATATTAAAATTCATAAAATAAATGTATATGAACAATGAAGGAGAGTTTTCGATTGCGGACCGATTGCGACCACTTGGACCACACTTTGACCACAGTGTTCTTGAGTGTGAGTCTTATTTTACTGTCTATTTTGTTGAATATATTTATATATACACTATGTTCCCTGCTATAAACCAATATTGTTTCTTGGGAATAATAAAGTTTATTGGTTGATTGATTGATTGATGAAACCATTGACCGAACTTCAAATGGTGACGTTTATTGAAGACCATGGCCGACCGATCCAAGACCAATTCGCCTGTTTTTTCTTATAGTCGATGCGGTTCAAGGATATAAACTATAACCTCAAAACAACAACATTTCTCAAGAAAGTGTCAAGGGCATCTACAGTCTTCAAAATTGAGCGACTCGAACTGCTTATATTTAAACAAAAATAGCATTACATCACTGGATGATTCACTTGAGTGTATTATTTCTGGTATACAGTTCTAAATTATTATTTCATCCAAAAAAATATGTCTCGAGGAATACAATTACTCATAAAATAGATGATCTCGTGTTTAAGATGCCAGTGTATGTGTTATTTTCGGTATATTATCAATTGATCAATGAAGTATATGGGTTTCGAGTTTTTTTTCAAACAAGCGACCGATCGAAACCATTCGTATTTGTCATTGTAATTAGTCACGTGACACTAACGACCGGTTGGTCAGGCCAGTGGGCTACCAAAAACTCTATGTAATGAAGAACCTTCATAAACTTATTGATTAACAACTTGAAAAAAACATCTAATAAGTGATATCACTTATTTCCACTCCGTTTTCTAAGCACTCACCGGCAAAATATACATTAGTTACAAAAAACAACAAAAACCAGACATAGATATAGTCAATAACCATATGAAATCGTGTGGATCAAATTTGTTGAGTAGGGTCTTGAGGAATTGTTTCAAATTCTTCTTGGGGGGTGAATCGTAGCTCTTAAAAAGTCTGCCATACGAAAGCGAGTGAACTTATCTTATGAATTGAAATTCAAATGATTCATCTATGTTTTGGTCGAAATTTCACCAGAATCGGACAAGAATTAAAGAAGTTACAACAATGAACAATTTTGCTAAATTATTCGCAAGAGTATAAGCAGGAATACTCATCAAATATTATAATTAATGGTAATTCTATACAATTTAGTGAGAAAGTAAAAGAATTGGGAGTTTGGTTTGATGAGAACTTGAGATTCTCGCACCATATTAGTAACTGCTTACAAAAAGACCTCTAAAACTCATATTTCAATCTCGTCATGTTTTGGATAGATCAGTTAAAATCCTAGCACGAGAGTCACTTGTACAAAAATTACAAAAAAAACTCATGCCTAAGACTAATTTTTAGTATTCGCAAATATGAACATATCAGTGATACATTCAGAATTATTAAATGGTTACAAAAAGTTTATAATAATTATCTAATTCACACACAGGTCAATAACCTATGTGAAGTAGATAAAATTTAGAATTTTTATAATATTAGAATATGTATGTCTTTGTAAATGTATTCATATGAGAATAAATAAATAAATAAATAAATAAATATTAAGCTAGTAAAGGAACACTATCCACCATATCTGTATCATAAAATAACATTAAGAACCGATGTACATTTCCTTAACTCGAGACATAGAAATACTCTTACTATACCTCGTCACCATACTGATTCATTCAAACGATCGTTTTCTTACTGTATTGCTAACCGTCTCAATAACTTACCCCACGATTTCACTTGCTCATCACTACATAAACTTAAACGAGTTCTTTTTGACTACTATTGAAGATTCCTACCGACTGCTCCACTTTCGAACTAACCTCATCTTTAAGACAATCCAACAGTATAAACGAACTACTCATCATATTCATCTTTCATCCTAGATGCTTGGAAGCCCTCGGCGAATGGGAGGGCCTACACGACGTGGTCGAGAATAAGTACGTCCTCCTCTCGGAAGGCAACAAACAGAAGGCGTGCCGGCTAGCCGCAGCCTCGGCTTTCGGCCTGCACAACTGGGAGTCGATGGAGCGGTACGTCGCCATCATACCGCAAGACTCGCAGGACGGCGCCTTCTACCGCGCCATCTTGGCCATACACAAGGAGCAGTACAGGGTGGCGCAGGACTACATTTATATCGCTAGGGATATGCTGGATACGGAGCTGACCGCCATGGCCGGCGAGAGCTATCAAAGGGCGTACGGGGCTATGGTGCATGTTCAGATGCTGAGCGAACTCGAGGAGGTGAGGACCATAGACATACAGGGTAGGGTGTATCTATACCGGGTGACACACGAGACATGTAACAGCATGTAATTTTCTCATTTGAAGAGATGAAAATTTTAAATTCACGAGGGTTATATCATCGATGATGGCGCTTCCCAACGTCTAATTGACACAGGGAATTGTATTTTAACTCTGTGTGAATGTGGCTTTTCATGAAGTACCTTTAGTCAGTTGTTTTGTTATATTTTATGACCTACTAGTTGCTGATAAAATCTTCGTGAATTTTCTCATCCGGAATGTCGCTTAGAAAGCTCTAGGACCAAAAGACCAAAATGAAGGTTGGAAAAGTAATTAATCATGATGATATAATCTAAAAGTGGACAATGTTATCCATTGTGACAAAGTCTTCAATCAATAGAAAAGTGTCAGCGGTTTATGATTCCTCCTATCTAGGTTATGCAGTACAAGTTGATACCAGAAAGAAGGCCCACACTGCGAGCGATGTGGTGGCAGAGGCTGCAAGCAGGACAAAGGTTGGTCGAAGATTGGCAGAAGATAATACAGGTTCATTCTTTGGTACTAGAACCGCACGACGATGTTCACACATGGCTAAAGTATGCCGCCCTGTGCAGGAAAAGTGGATCAGTGGTAAGATTATAGGGCTTTTCTGAGTGTCAACTGGTCATCAGAGTGATATCAACCGGAGACCATTTCCTTCGGTAACATTTCAAGGTCATTTGTATAAACCAATCGAATAGTGATAATTATAATAATAATAATAACATTTTTTGATCCCAAGAAACATACAATGTTTATAGAGGGAAACAAAAGAAAATATAATAAATATATCGAATATGCAATACTATGAAAGATAAACAGTTCAATCAGAATTAATTGATACAAGGAGGGAGTTGAATTGATAAAACATATTTCTTCAGTTCACACTTGAATTTTGTGACGAACCTAATAGATTTTATTCTCTTGGGTAGACTAATATTTATTCCACAAAAATACAATGATTTTATCCCGAATTGTGTTTTTATTTTGACAGTTTTCAAATGTTCACATTGTCTGGTGTGATGCTCATGGGTATCAGAATTGATATTGAAAGTAAGATTCGAGTGCTTTTTCTTAGTTTTAGTGAAATGAATGAAAATGCATATTTCATTTTGAAGAGAGAGTCAATATCTAGCAGATCCCTTGGTTTGTATAGTCTAGATGTTGATTCCAGGAATGGTAGTTTATAAATACATTTTATGGCTTCATTTGACGAGATTTGAGAGGTTTCAAGACAGATTTTGCTGCAGTACCCCAGATCCATATCAGATACTGCAATTTAGAGTGAATCAAACTGAAATAAATTAATTTCAAGTATTCAAGAGGTATAAAAGACCTCAGTTCGTATAATATACCAACAATGCGAGATTTTTTTTTCTGAGCAATTGAATATGCGATGACCAAGATAAAGTCTGGTATATAGTTGAACCTAAGAGTTTGGAGTTTTTTGTAGGATTTATACAAAAAATCCCGAATTTTAAAGGATCTATTTGGTTATCAGGTATTACTCTTTTCGAGATGAACATAAAAGAAGATTTATCGAAATTGAGTGTCAATTTATGATCTTGTAACCATAATGTTATTGTAGCGAGATCTATTTCCATTTGGTTTTTCATTTCTTGTAGATTTTTTCCGTTATAAATGAGAGTTATGTCATCGGCAAATAATTTCAAATTCCCTTGTAATTTCAAACTTGAGATAGAATTTATATAAATCAGAAATAAAATAGGTCCGAGAATTGATCCCTGGGGCACACCACAAGATATGAAGAAAATGAATCTCCCATATATACAAACTGCTTTCTATCAACTAGATAATTTTCAAACCAAGGGTAAACTTAACCTCTTATTCCTATTCGAGTTAATTTCATTAATAGAATTTCAAAATCAAATATCAAATGCCTTTCGCAAATCCCAGTGATAAGAGTCCACATCTGTAGTCTGAATCTAATTTCAGCTGAATGTCAGTAATAACATCCAGTGTTGCACATTCAGTGTCACAGGATTTCCGAAAGCCATATTGACCATCAAAGAGAAATTTCATTTTTATTAAATAGTCAGATAATCTTTTATGCATAACTCTTTCAATAATTTTGGATAATGTTGGTAGCAAAGAAATGGGCCTATAATTATTCATTGAATATTTTTTTCCATTTTTGTAAATTGGTAACACTTTTGCAATTTTGCAGTTCTTGGGGATCGAACCGGTTTCAAATGTTATATTTATCAATTCACTTAGTAATGGCACCAATTCTGATTGAAAAAAGAGAATTTTTGAATTGCCATAATGATGTTTACTCGATCACAGTTTGAATGTTGGTAATCTGAATTAGTACCTGAAATAATGTTTTCTTTCCTTCTTTCTCATTTACCAAATTCCAGTTCATGTTCAACATAGATAAAAATTGATTCATTCTTGGTTAGGTTCCATTAAATACGTATTTTTGTATAATAACATTTATCTTATAAAACATGGTTGATATCCCATTGAATTCAAGGATATAATCATGTCTTTGGCATAATCCCATTTTCAGTATAATATAATTTGGTCTTTTTCAAGCAATTGTCTCATAAAACGCTGGTGAGGTTACTGGGGTACGATCCTGAAGAAGATCCCGAATCAGCTCTGCCAGCAGACTCACCACACGTGACCTTCGCGTATACGAAGCACTTGTGGGCAACGGATCAGAAAAATCGAGCTTTCCAACAGCTCCTGAATTTCCTCACCAAATACAGTCAGAACCCCGCAATAGGAAATATCAGTTATGAGGATAGACAGCGGCTGTTGGCAAGGTATTGAAAGCTATAATTATACAGATTGAGTATTAAATTACTGGCATAACGGTTTCACAAGCCAGCCAGAATGGAATTCGGTCAAATTTTTAAAAAAATTTCGCATCTTGAGAACGTCAACAATTTCTTCTATTGAAAGATTTCCAAACATGAAAAATCTTTTGAGATCTGTCAACAACAGAGTGAATGAAGAAGTTTCCCTCGAATGAATTATCATGGAATCAGTATTTAACTACCTAGTATTAGGTTTCTGATGTATACAATGGCTATTCAATTTATTCAAATTATTTTAATTTTCAAAATACAGCAATTTGAAATTATTAATGGAGCAGAGGCTATGACGTCGTACCGTTAGATCTAGTGAAATTTGCGGATATTTGTGTATGATGAGTTTTTTGACTTATTTCCTTCACGCCTACGTACCCGGAAATAAGAATAAGAAGAAAGCTGTCAGTGTGGTCTAACCTCAAACCTTCAACAAAAATCAAATCAAAATACATCTCAGTATGGTGTAAATCAGGTTTACAACCACTGTTGCCAGACTTGAGTTATCAATTCCTTAGAGATATTTGTTGCGTTTACAAATGAAACGGGCACCTTCATGACCTTGCATGAGAGAATTGACATATTATAGGTGATAGAGGTTATATTTATCTATTCGCGAAAATCACGAAGTGTGCGGCATCTGGTGGATAACCTTACAAGTCTTGCGAGTATGAACAACAAATATGGAGACCATTGTTTTGAGTTTCTGTGTTCTATTTGAAAATAATTTATTTGTTGAAGTGCATATTCCAGAACCTCATTCCCTGATAAAAAAACTCGAATTATTGCATGAACTTTTATTGTTTACAATGAAAAAGCCAGTACCTACCTTATAATAATATAATATACATTTTCTGAAGCACAGTTACAATCCTTGTATAAATGTTGGTTGCAATGATTCGATCTTGAGAATAACTTCAAGTCTTCAATTGCTGGAGATCCTAGTTTATGTAAATCGATGATATCGTTCATTCTGAGCAGCCTCTCCAACCATATCTTCTTTTTCCAGCCCCTTTACTATAATTCCATCTCCTCCATAAAAGCCAGTGATATTTCTTGATGAATTCAATTATTTCTTCATACCTATACCATATTGTTGTAATAGCTGAATGCTTATATGGCTCCAGTCCATGCAAGTGTTAAGTGGACCATTCCAACCATTCCATATGTTTGAAAACTGTGGAATTGTAGTGTGATATCAATGATGAATACCACCATTGTCCACATCAAAATGACAATTTCTCTGCACAAAAAGTGATTTTCTCCATACCGGAAACCTTGTACGTATTTCACGAAGTCAACTCATTATTCACTATTTTGCAAAATGATTTCGAAATAACCAATTTGCAATGAGTGCATACGGCAATATTTTTGTTGTTCATACTCAGTTTGAAATTTGACGTTTAATAGAGCCATCTATTGGTTCGTGATTTTCGCGAATTGGGGCTCAAAATAATTTCGAAATCATGATTCCAGAGTTGAGAATCAAAAAAATGAATAAACTAATATCTGGAGTAGTGATTCTGGAGATTAGAGAAACATCTCTGAGATCGAGATGGGAAACCTGTCTACTTGAAAGAATCATAAACTTCTGAACCTCACGATAAGAGAGTCTTCTAAATGTCTTCTACTTTTAAAAAGTTTCGGCCAACAGTCACTCCACGTAATTTTTTGTAGTCAGACTGAATGAAAAGTAGCAACCGGAGTTGCAAATAAAACGACACATCTCTGTGATACTGGTGGCGGAATCCAATAAATAAGAAGCTACTATTGATATATCTCATCAACCTTTTAACAGAAAATCAAATGAGAATGATTAACCTCAGAAACGAGCTGTCAGCATCAGTGTCATTTTGTATATACCCATGATTTTATAATCGTCAGTAGTTATTATGCGATTCTAATACAGGGTGTTTCAAAGTTGTGGTGACAAAAGCCTATGGGAGATTCGTCTCAACCAAATATGAAAAAAAGTTAATATGAGACATATGGGTCCGAAAATGCTTCGTTTCTGAGATACAGGGTGTCAAAGTTTATATCAATATCTTGAAAAAGCTTGAGCCGATATAGATAAAATTTGTATGGTTTAATAACACAATTATCAGACATTCACTGGATCAATTAGATTAGATCCAGGTTCGTACCCATCGAGCAAGTCGGCTTTTTTGTGGTAAAAAAAGTCATCCTGTGATTTTTTCAGGGTTTTTTTCGAATAACCGGATATACCCACTAAAAATATGATATTTATGTCTCTTGCTATTTTTCCACATCCTGCTTCATAAGGAAAAATAAAAATGTCAGATATTAAATACGGTCTGTAGGTTAATCGAGGAGGTGGTACATTCATTTTACTTGATTTTTTGGGATTTTCTCCTCGTTTCTATAAAATAAAAATATGCGTATTATTTCAATATATTTGTAGTGGGACAAATCAGATGATTTGCCCCAAAATGTCACTGCGTTTAACAAATTTTTCTATCAGGAAGCCTAAAAGAAAAATCCAGTAGCTTGTCAGTGACACTTTGTTTGAAAAAATGTTTAAAGGAAAGAAATATAGATATATTGAAAAAATATCGAATTTTTACTTATCTTTGGACGTTTCGGGAACAAATCTGCTCCCGTTCTCAACATGAAAATGCAAAATATTTTTCTTTGGAAGTTGTGCTCTGCCTATAGTTTGACACTTCTCAGTGTCATACTGATGTTGGCATATGAATGAGTGATTTTAGTCTACAAATGAGTAAAAATTCAATATTTTTTCAATATATCTATATTTCTTTCCTTCAAACATTTTTTCAAAAAAAGTGTCACTGACAAGCTACTGGATCTTTCTTTTAGGCTCCTTGATTGAAAAATTTGTTGAATGCAGTGATTTTTGTCAGATGATTTGTCCCACTACAAATATATTGAAATGATACGCATATTTTATTGCATAGAAACGAGGAGAGAAAATCCCAAAAAATCAAGTAAAATGGTAGATATCATCCAAAAATTTATTGCACATCATTATTTATGAAAACAAATACTGTCATCACATCTCTGAAACACCCTGTAATTATGTGTCGTCTATAATTCCCTTTTCTCATCAGGTATTCGGTGTATATTTTCAAGAAATAATGCAATTTCCACCCATACTATAAGTTGAATACGTCATTTCAGGTACCATTGTTAACTATGATGTAAGAGCGAAATTTCCCAAATCATTAGAATTGCCGATAAATATTGTAACATTGTACTGGCGTAAAAAGGCTCGCATGTTTAGATGTGCGTACATGTCTTTTCTAAGTAGTACCTACGTGATGAAAATGGTGGAGGAGCCGAAACTATATCCTCACGATTTTTTTCTGAACTCATGTTTGATTTCACGAAAAAAATTAAAAATATATGTCTTCAATGAATTTTCATAAACTCTACAAATGAATGAGATTTTGATTGATGGAAATTTGCTCATTGTTGAATGTGAAAAATTCAGAGCCATTTCAGTAGCCTATCATATGTTTCAGGTGTTATTTGAAATTGGGTACTTGGCAAGAATGTTTAGAAGGAGTCACAGAATCTTCTATACCGAGTGTCCTGAACTGTTACCAGCAAGCGACGGAATTCGATAAGGATTGGTACAAAGCGTGGCACGCTTGGGCCTACATGAATTTCGAGACCGTGCTCTTTTACAAAAATAGAGAAGATAATGGCAAGTCGAAGGATAGTTTGTCCGTTGATTCGGAGAAGAATATCGATCTGAATAAGCATACAGTCTTGGCAGTGCAAGGATTTTTCAAGTGAGTTTCGTACTTAGATTAGTTAATGAATTGAACTTGATCCTATTATAGTTATAAGACTGCGAAAGTCACTTCAAGAACACTAATTTCTAGGAAAAACACTATAACGCGCTGACCGTCTATAGGTTTTCGAAAGAATCGATAATGGAACCTGTTTCATATTGATCATTCCGTGTATAAATAGTATTTGATGCAATCATTCGTTATTTGAAGTCATCGCAAATATATTTTTTACAATAATGAAATTTACCACCTTCGATGTCATCATGGACTGAACCAAAAGTCATCGTTATCATAAAAAGTTGGACCACATATTTCGACGCTGCCAGCTTTGTAACCGGTAATTACCTCAAGAGATTCAATATTTATTTATTTCAGTTATTGCATTACATTCTCTTCTTCATTGATACATTTACATTTACTGTCTGTAGGTTAATCGAGGAGGTGGTACATTCATTATTCCAAATTTTTTGGGATTTTCTCTCCTCGTTTCTATAAAATAAAAATATGAATATTATTTCAATATACGTGTAGTAAGGACAAATCAGATGATTTGCCCCAAAATGTCACTGCGTTAAAAGAATTTTCCTATCAGAGAGCCTAAAAGAAAAAATTCACTAGCTTGTCAGTGACAATTTGTATTGAAAAAATTTTTGGAGAAGGGAAATGAAGGTATATAGAAAAAATATCAAATTTTCACTTATCTTTGGACGTTTCGGGACCGGTTCTGCTCCCGTTTTCAACATGAGAAGAGATTATTTCAATAATAGCGAAGTCGATAGGACGATTCATCAAATTGAAAACAAACAGGGTCAACCACAACAAAATCAACCATCAATAACGACAAATATAATACCATACATTCCCGGCATATCTGAAAAAATAAAACGTGTTGGTGATAAATTTCAAGTGAAAACTGTGTTCAAAACTGAAAATACAATGAGATCAATTCTAACTCAAACAAAGCCGAAAAATGAAGAACAATCGTCAAAAAATTGTATTTACAGTATACCTTGTGTTTGTGGAAAGTTTTATACAGGTGAAACCAAGAGACCTCTTTCAGTAAGGACGAAGGAACATAAGTACAATATAAAGAAAAGAAACATCGATAAATCGAAACTAGCTGAACATATCCTTACTGAAGACGGACAACATATGGCAGAGTGGAATAATATTGAAATTATTGGAAAAGAAGATAACAACCAGAAGAGAAAAATCAAGGAATCTGCTTGCATTCTTCTGAACGGAGACAATAGCATTGCTTCTTGTTCAGTTGATATAGACAGAACATGGTATTCATTACTAAAATCTGAACATGAAAATGGTAAATTCAAGATCAATTAATGAAAACATCCTGTAACTCATTTGATTGCCAACGTCACCAATTGTCATTGAAAACTGAAAAGCTTCAAGACAATAATACGACTTCGCTATTATTGAAATAATCTCTTCTCATGTTGAAAACGGGAGCCGAACCGGTCCCGAAACGTCCAAAGATAAGTGAAAATTTGATATTTTTTCTATATACCTTTATTTCCCTTCTCCAAAAATTTTTTCAATACAAATTGTCACTGACAAGCTAGTGAATTTTCCTTTCAGGCTCTCTGATAAGAAAATTCTTTGAACGCAGTGACATTTTGGGGCAAATCATCTGATCTGTCCTTACTACACGTATATTGAAATAATATTCATATTTTTATTTTATAGAAACGAGGAGAGAAAATCCCAAAAAATTTGGAATAATGAAAGTATAATTAATTTTCTAGTAGGAATGACATGAATGATCAGACAGTAATTCCTGGTATAAGATCAATGACATTAGTAATCACATTCACAGAAGACAATAGCCCTGGCCTGTTCCCTAATAATCACTAATTGAATACTTATATACTTGCGCAAGATGCTATATCAGAGAAAAATATAAAAAGTACAAAATTCTTGCTTACAACTAATATTTGGTATACGCAGAAGAGAACATACTTCACACAAATTGAATGATAATAGTTGGCTAAATATGACCAACAGAAGGATGTTACATGCTGCTGTTCTTTTTCAAAAAATAATTTTCAATAAAATACTCTCATATTTGCACAGAAAAATTACCTATAACCTAAATATCCGATAAAAAGGAACTCTCTCGCCAACAACTTTCAGACTAGGAATCTTTAGGCACAGCTTCCCCTATCAAATATTCAGGTCCCCACCATGTTTAAAACTTATAGTATACAAAGATACAAGAAACATTTGTTTTCAAGGCAACCCTAAAATATCCGTGCGATAAAAATTATTATTATTAATGTATATGAATTTTTAATGCTTTTTTTCTCTTTCTTTTGTTCTGTTTAAGCTATACCTACACCTAGCGATATATTGAAGGTTGAGTGGAAGAACATTTTCGCCTTTTGCTTTCATGTCAACCTCATATTATGTGTATTTTTTTGTATTTACATATGGAAGCAATAATAGTTATTTATTGTACAAGGGAAAAAAGTAGTAGATTTTAGCTCCGCGCCGGGAGACAAAAAACCGTGAGCTAAAATCTAATATTTTTCCCGTGTATATTACACTATTTTTTTCTGTGACAGAAGAAAGGACGAATCAATATTGAGAAGATATTACATAACTTTGAAATCTGAAAATTATCGACGTAAAATTTAAGGTTTTTTTTTAACAGTAGGGACACCTGCGTGGTAGGCATCTGAATCATTCTTTCGAAGTAATCAAATATCTGATGTCACTTCTGTCAGTCTAAGCCTGTGGTTTGATTTCAAAAATTGCGAATTTAGTGGTTGTTTAGGCCCGTATTTATAGTCGCTCCTTGAGGTGACCTCGTCCCTTAAGGCATCCTTATGGACCAGTTCCCAATTTATAGTCGTAATATGAGCTCTAGTATATCGATTTCCAGTGGAAGCTGATTCAAGTGTAGTTGAAGAATACATCTTTTTTTATTTCGAAGAATAGGTATACGGTGTATCTGAATAACACCAAAAAAATTCAAGGGCCGATTCCTTGTGATATTTTAGGAAATAAACTTCATATGGACATGTGTCCTAACTTGCTTCGTTTTCGAGATACAGGGTATCAATATTTCCATGAAAAATCGTTTTTTATTTTATTACTCAATTGTCTTTCCATCAATTTCAATAAAACGTTGTGGTTTTGTTGATAGTAATATGGAGCTTCTTCTGGTGCTGTTGTGTATTCTTCGTCCCTAATATGCAAAACATATAGTCAATAATGTTTATCCATATCAAATGTATCTATTTCACTTTAAAATTGCTTAAATGTCACTAGGCGACCAGGCGCATGCGCCACTACCGAAGAACATTTTTGACTTCCTGAACCGGGTACGAGGTGAGAGTTCTACCGGCATTCAGATACCTACCTTTTTTCTCATAATTAATTTCGCTCGCTACATTCGCCCTGAAATTCAGGATCTTTTCTTACACTGTAAGTTGAATTCGGTTTAGAATACGCGTACGTATATAATTGTGAACGCTCCTCGTTCGTGTATTTTTCTACAAAGTGCGCCTTTGGGACTCTGCAACTGCTCCCAAGTTGCATTCAACACCGGCTGGCACCCAAGGGCCCTGAGAAAAGCCAGCCAGAATCTGGGTGACACCATCAAGATCACCTTTCGGAACATTATATTGGGGAGTCTGGTAAGTCGTCTAGTGACTATAAATATCGCAGTCGTTTAGTTTGGATTTTTGAGATTACAAATAATTTCCATTGAAATCTGATTAAGATACAATCCATTCATCTCTCCATTTTTTTTTTGAGCTTAAGAAAGTTCAGGTGCAATAAGATTTGGAATAATATTTTCAGTGGCAACAACAACAACAACTTTTCTATCCTTCGTGTAATTTTTGTATCTAGCTTATTTTTTGAGAAAACAATAAAAATTCGATTTGACTCAAAATTTTACTGTAGGTGTTTTCAAGACTACCATTGAGATTACTCAATAACCCCAATCACAATCATTTTGAAATTTCAGGGCTTCCTCAGTCTCCAACCATACTGAATTTTGGCACCATGAAAGCTTATACAGGGAGGTTGAAAATAAAAACAATAGCTACTTCCAACTTCAACATCCTGTATCTCCAAAACGGAGCAAGTTAGGATACATGTTTATATGAACATTATTAGCTAGAATATCACAAGGAATCACTCCTTGAATTTTTTCGGTGTTATTTTGATACACCCTGTATATTGTTCGTGAAATTGAAATACATACATTTTCAATGAACAATCACACAAAATCACAGATACATTCGAAGTATTCAATCAAATGGATATTCTTCCTCTCCCCGGCATATTACTCCTTTGCAGCTGGAAATAATCCGTTTTTAATATATTAAACATTTTTGTATTGTAATTTTCCAACATCATCATCCATGAACTCTTCGACCCCTTCTTCATTTTGCGGAAACTTGGATATATTTTGTCTATGATCGAAGTAATATGCTGTTAGGCCCAATTTGAACCAACCGTTGAAGATTATTACTGAATTATTAAAATCTTTCGATATGTGGTCCACACTCCACAGTAAACCAATAATAAACATTTTCAAATTTGACATTTTACATTTTGTGATGAACACGTGACATAAAACAACAAATTTGGTCACAGAACACTAAAATTATACACTGTTGCCAAGTGTGAGGGCTCCTTGTAGAATGAATACTCAAGGGAGGTCTATAAAACCAGTTTGACGTCAAGTGCTGAGGAGTCCTCAAGGAATCCTCAGATAAGGAATACTTGAGGAGTTCTTGAGGAAACGACTTTCTCGGAGACGGTATTATTGACTCATTTTTCGGAACTATAGCACAACAAAAGCCATCAACAGTGTATACAGGGTGTCCGGAGATAAAACCGACAAAACTTATGGGGTTATAGGGACTGTCAATATAATTGCAAAATGCCATGATAAATGTCCAAAACCGCTTCGTTACTGGCATACAGAGTGATTTGTAGATTTTGACAAAAAATTCAATCCGCCATATCAAATACAGGGATTAACCGATTAGATTCAAATTTGGTACACGAATTACACTGAAAGGCATCAACGAGTAGCCCGTTGATCGAAACGAATATCAGGACCGGAGTAATATTTTTTCCCTATGTAGAGATATTGTAAGAATAACTCACCCTGTATGATAATAACCAAAATTTTGAACTCAGATTCTAAATCTACGGTGAAAATCGAATAGAAATTTGTTGAGGAATCTTCTGGCACTATCTCGGTTATTTCGTAATTAAATATAATTTTGATTTTTTTCATCCAAAAATCAATTATTGTCGGATAAAGTACCATCAAAATTGGTAATATAATAAATATTCACGAAACCATGACATGAATGTCGTTATTTTCTTCAATCATTTCGTAAATCGTAGTAAAATTGAATACTCTCATCATCCGAAAAAACTGAAGAATAAATTCGTATCGGGACTGGAATGAGGTTTTTCTTGTTCATGTTAGCTGACCTAGTACATCAATAATTATCAATAATCTGATTGTAGATTCGGAATCTAAAAAAACTCGCATGAGAACTTGTTGAAAAAGAACTCGAGTGAATATTTCGTAAATTATATTCACTCACTAATGAAATTTGAATTTTTGAAAATATTACACAACGAACAATAACTATTCGTAATGATCATAACAAAACAAATAAATTCGTAAAAAACTTCCATTACCCAGTATTACAAAACATTTTCGCAGTGGAGCCCTCCATCAGTAGGTACATTTTTGAAAGCGTGCTATTAGATGATTCACTGACTTCCGAATTATTTGAGGGTTACTTCCAACACTATCACAGGCAGCAGTAATTTTCTCTAATAAATGTTCTCTATTTATGATGTTTGTCTTCATTATGAACTCCTGATTTTAAATGCCCCTTTTGGAAATAACCAAGCAGAGTTAGATCAGGGGATAGCGGTGGCCAATTTACCTCCACGACCGATCCATCTATTGGGGTAAGTGGCATCAGTCATTCTTACAGGAATATAATCACAAAAAACCTCATTCCATTCCTGATACGAATTTATTCCTCAGTTTTTTCGGGTTATGAGAGTATTACATTCTACTACAATTTACGAACTGATTGAAGAAAATAACGACATTCATGTTATGGTTTCATGAATATTTATTTCATTACCAATTTTGATGGTCCTTTATCCGACAATAATTGATTTTTGAATGAAAAAAATTGAAGTAATAATTAATTACGTAATAACTGAGATTGTGCCAGAAGATTCTTGAACAAATTCCTATACAACTTTTATCGTAGATTTCGAATCTGAGTTCGAAATTTTGGTTATTAGTATACAGGGTGAGTTATTCTCACAATAACTCAACATAGGGAAAAAATATTATTCTGGTCCTGATATTGGTTTCGATGAAAGGGCTACTTGTTGATGCCTTTCAGTGTGATTTGTGTACCAAATTTGAATCTAATCGGTCAATCCCTGTATATGATATGGCGAATTGAATTTTTTGTCAAAATCCACAAATCACTCTGTATGTCAGTAACGAAGCGGTTTTGGACATCTGTTTATGTCATTTTGCAATCATATTGACAGTCCCTATAACCCCACGAGTTTTGTCGGTTTTATCTCCGGACACCCTGTATATATGTGATATATATCCGGGAAAACAGTACTCAGCTTTTTTCCCACGGGAAAAAAGTTGTTTATGAAAAGTGACATTTTATAACCTGCCAACAGAGATGAAATGCCAAACTTTTTCCCGTCACAGAAAAAAGACGTTTACTATTATCATTGTTGGGAACCGATCGAGTGCACTCGTTTTTCGCAGATCGATCTACCTCTCGAAGGGCAGCTCCCTGCAGGACACCCTTCGACTGTTGACCCTGTGGTTCGACTACGGCCAGACGACGCAGGTGTCTGACGCCATAGCCGAGGGCATCCGACTGGTCGAGAAGATCACGTGGCTGCAGGTCATCCCGCAGCTGATCGCGCGCATCGACACCAACCGGCAGCTCGTGTCCAAGCTGATCCATCATCTGTTGGTGGACATCGGCAAGACGCATCCTCAGGTAAAGGGTGGGCAGGCCTCAGTGTGGAATAATGAAATAACCTTTTCCACTAGTTGAATGAATCATGAATCAATCAAATTGATTTGATTATGATTTATTCATAATAATATATGTGATATAATTTATATGGATTATAAGATTATAACTGATGAAAGCGAAATCATTTCTATAATAATTCATGATTTAAAAAAGACATGCCCTGATCCAGAAGGTTTGATTACTAAAGACATATTTGAATTGAGACACATTTGAGCGACACCAATATCAAAATTGATCAATGAATCTTTCATGAAAAAAAGTTTCCCACACGAATTGAAACATGCATCAGTAAGAGCTACAAACATGAAAATGCTCAGGATCCAATTAACTATAGACCAATTGCTTTAATCAGCATATTTTCTAAAATTTTTGAAAAAATTCTCAAGAAACGCACTGTAGAATTCATCAACAAAAAATATAGCTTTGATTCTAATCAATTTGGTTTCCAAGAAAACAGTGGAACACAAGCAGCAGTATTACAAGTGATAGAATCAATCCAGATAGGACTTGATTCAGGAAATTATGTGGTAGCTGTTTTCATTGATCTCAAAAAGGCTTTTGACACAGTTGATCATACAACACTTTTAGAAAACTTGAAAACAATGGGATTCAGAGGCACTGTGAGAAATATTTTGAATTTGTATCTTGAAAATAGGACAATCAATACAAAATCAAACAACTCTGTGTCAAATAAACTATTAATCAATAAGGGTGTCCCACAAGGCTCTGTTTTAAGACCTATACTATATTTACTTTATGTTCAAAATATCAGTAAAATTGGTCTAGCATGTATGCAGATAATACAGTACTTTTATATGAAGGCAAGAATCTTTCAAATTTAGAAAATATGATAAATGAAGACTTGAAAATATTTGAAAAATGGATCCACTCTAACCTTTTATCGATAAATACTACCAAAACAATATATGATTTTTCACCAAAAAAATAAACAAAAAATTTACCTCAACCTTAAAATAAAAAATGAACTCTTAAAACAAACTGACCAGATGGAATATCTTGGTATTTGGTTTGATGACAGGTTGAAGTGGGACAAACATATTGATGTTCTGACAAAAAAATATCTCCAATTATTTGTTATTTGAAAGTAAAAAGATTTATAACCATATATCAACTGAACTGAGAACTATAAAATATCATAGTAAATTTAGAAAACTTGTGAAAGATGCCCTTTTGAAAAGAGCCTACTATAATATTGAGGAATGAAACTCTGTTATGACCTCAACATGTAGTACTTCAAATAGTATACAGGGTGGGCCACCAGTAACGCCTCGGTCTCTAGAAGGCTAACCACTTATCTTCTTGGAATTCTTCCTCTCTAGGAAGTTGCATGTCAACATAGGCTACCATTTAAAATTATTTCGAAACATACAGGGTGTCCCCAAAAACCATAAAACACTGAAGTTAAACTTTTTTCTATCGAACACCCTATATATTATTTCATTTTGAGATTCTCCCTGATGAGCTGATTTCAACGACCCATCATACTTGGGGTCTAGCAGTTATAATTACTGAAATATAGAGTGTGAAAAATCGAGATTTTCCAAGTTCAAGAATTTTTTGTGTCGAAACTATTCATAATTGGTCAAAACGGCTTACATGTCCCTATCTCAACTTTTGATTAACTATCTACTGATATTTAATTGGGACATATACCGGGTGATCAAGATTCTGAATTCTGCACCACCCTGTATTTGTTTCAATTAAATGTCAGTAGATAGTTGATCAAAAGTTGAGATAGGGACATGTGAGCCGTTTTGACCAATTATGAATGGTTTAGACACAAAAAGTTCGTGAACTTGGAAAATCTCGATTTCTCACACCCTATATCTCAGTAATTGTAATTATAGCTGCTAGACCCCAAGTATGATGGATTGTTGAAATCAGCTCACCAGGGAGAATCTCAAAATGAAATAATATATAGGGTGTTCGATTGAAAAAAGTTCAACTTCAGTGTTTTGTGATTTTTGGGGACATCCAGTATGTTTCAAAATAATTTCAAATGGTAGCCTATTTTGACATGCAACTTCCTAGAGAGGAAGAATTCCAAGAAGATAAGTGGTTAGCCTTATAGAGACCGAGGCGTTACTGGTGGCCCACCTTATATTATTGATCTGCTTTGAAAATTGTTCACTTCAATTTTCAATGTGTACTGTTTATTGTCCTTTTACACTCTTAATAAGTTTATTATTTTTTCTTCATTATTAATTTAGTTGTATATGTTTATGTTGTGTTATACACTTCTATTCAATTTTGAATACTATGCTTTGTCAAAAAAAAAAAAACTTGATATTAAAATTGCAAACATGATCCTCTACTCTCATATACTGAGAGTCGATCAATGATCACCAATCCACCGGTCAATATAATTCGACTGATGATTTTTCTCAGGCGTTGGTGTACCCCCTGACGGTCGCCTCGAAAAGTAATTCGACGATAAGGAAGAACGCGGCCAACAAGATCCTGAAGAGCATGAGCGAGCACTCGCCGACGCTGGTCAGACAGGCGCTGATGGCGTCCGAGGAGCTGATCAGGGTGGCCATCTTGTGGCACGAGATCTGGCACGAGGGACTCGAGGAAGCTTCGAGGTGAGTGGTTTCTATCGTACAGATATACAGGGGTTTTCACGATGAGCGGTAATGGGACGTTTCAGGTTCAGGAAATATTAATAATAATGAATGAGTTTATTCAAAGAACAGTTTCATAATAAGAGTTATAAATATATGGTGTATTGAATAAACTAAAGAAAAACCTTAGGAAGTGTTGTATGGATTCTTGAATACAAATACAAATCAAATATAATCGAATTACATATTTCATTTCATTTGAAGACACAAGTATTTATTTTGATAAATTCTTTTTAATTCATCCTTTAATTTATTCATTCTTTCATATTCATATTTCCTATTTATATTTCCTTTCCTTATATATAATAATTGATCTTTTTGCTCTCAATATTTTATATATAGTATTTAAATATTGATAAGATTAACAAACATATTTCTTGAAGAGTCTAATATCCAGTTTTTGATTTTAATTTCATTTCATTCGGAATTATATTATATAAATGAGGAATTGAATATTTATTATTCCTTTGTTCAATAGTTTCATTTGTTTTATATTTGAAGGTTATTACATGAGAATGACATTAAATACATTCCACAATTTTTGTGCAACGTTTCTATTGCTGTGAGATTTAAGCCGTTTGTCCCACAGCGCAGGCCTTGTAAACAGCAGAGATTAGACTCCACATCCATTTTCCAATTGAATATTAATAATATTACATATATGTATGGACATGCACGGCCGCTTCCGACAACAAGCGACCAAGAATTGAAAATTCATTCCGGTAAAATAGTCGGCGCCGATTTATGCTTGTAACAAGTTCCGACACGCTTTGTCTATGTCCACGATCATTTAAAAGTTAAATAGATTATTGGCGCTTATAGGCACCGACTGCCAGTAAGCAGGAAACCTGCTTTCTTTGTGTGTGTACCCGCACATACAAACATGCATACCAAGCTGATTAAAGGGTAGTGAAAACAATCGGAATGTAGAAGTTGTAGAAGTTCTACTACCATAATCGACATCATGTTGTTGGTAAATATTTTTTCCTCAGTATCTAGGACTAAAAAGATGAATGAATTAATTGCCTTTCTAATGAGATATCACTCAAAATCATCCATTTTTTAGAGATCATCTGACATTTTGAAAGATCATTAATTTCAAATTGCTTCAGATGGTAGTTTTCAAACCCTAATCAAAATGAATCAATTTTTCGACAAATACAGTGTCATTCATAAAGTCGGCATCATATGGGAAACTTTTATTAATGACTTATTTTGAAATTCGAGTTGTACGTTAAGTTTTGCTTCAAAAAAGTTGAAAAATGGCCTACTCAATCGGGGTCACGTGACTTTCGCTACATGTCAAAAGAGACATGTTTTCAAATTAACGAATATCGAAAAAGTTTACTTGAAAAAGTTGTTTCTATTTGAATGTTACATATGTGACTCGGATTTTATCTTTCTATTACATTTTTTAGATTTCGATATTTTTTAAACATTTTTGAAAGTGTTATATTGAAAAAATTGTGAATTCGATAAAACTACTACATACCAGTAGATTCATCATGCTACTAACTTTTTCAATTACTAATTATCACTAATTATCGACAAAAATATGATTTTCTTCAGAAAATGATAATCTCCGCTTCAAAATTCTGTTATGTTTGGTGCAAACATAACATCAAAATTCTATTATGTTTGAGTCAAGCATTTATAAACGAAATTCTTTAAATTTATTCTTTCAGTACTGGAAAGATCAGTGTAAACGAATTTCGTTTCTAAATGCTTGACGATATATCAACTTTGCATCAAACATAACAGAATTTGGAAGCGGGTATTATCATTTTCTAAAGAAAATCATATTTCTGTCCATAATCAGTGATAATAAGTAATTGAAAGTAAGTAGCATGAAAAAGCTACTGGTATGAAGTAGTTTCGTGGAATTAACAATTCTTCAAATAGTACAGAAATTTCGAAAAATTAAAAAAAAATCGAAATCTAAAAGTTGCAATAGAAAGATCAAATTCGAGAAGCATGTGTAAAATTGAGATTGAAACAACTTTTTCAAGTAAACTTTTTCGATATTCGAACAAATAAGCCTACTTTTAGCGATTAATTTGAAAAAATGTCACTTTTGACATGTAGTGAAAGTCACGTGACCCCGATTGAGTAGACCATTTTTCATCGTTTTTGAAGCAAAACATGACGTCCAACTCGAATTCCAAAATAAGTCATTAATAAAAGTTTTTCCCATATGATGCCGACTTTATGAATGACACTGTACATATACAGTAGGTAGTTCAAAATCGAGAGGTGAGGTATACCTTCAATCAAGGCACTGTATAATTAACCTATAATATCGAATTCATTTTCGCATTTGAGGTTGTACTTTGGAGAACGAAACGTCGATGGAATGTTGAGAATATTAGAACCTCTGCACAGCATGATGCAGAGAGGGCCGGAAACCATGAAGGAAACCAGTTTCAATCAGGCTTACGGCAGAGATTTGAGCGAGGCGCACGAATGGTGTCAAAGATACAGGGTGAGTCATTGATCAAATACATATTTGGAATACATACACATCTGGCAAGAATAATTTTCCTATCGATGAACCGTGTAAGGAAATGAATACGCATATACCTGGTGACACAGGAGACATGTACCAGCTTATAGTTTTTTTATTTGAAGAAAATTTGAAATTCACAAGGGTTATATAGTCGATGATGGCGCTTTCCTTGAACCCAATGACAATTTTTTTTCAACCACCTGTTTGATTGGAAGTAGACCCTACTTTCATTTCCATATGGAACCTTGTATATTTCTGTTGTTTATCTTATGCGCCTTAAAATTCTCTATTCAACTATGTATCACAATTTGATTTTCATTCATTAATTGGATGTTGAATTGCATTTTATTGTAATACATGAAGTTGGATGTGGCCCGAATACAATGACATTTGGATGCTTGATAGGCTTAGAAATCCAAAGATCATTACTTAGACGATATTACCAAAATATTTTCCATACCCTAATCGGTCCCAGAAGATTGCGACAGTTCACTGTACATACCACATCTTTTTACAAAGTCCATGGTTGAATTAGGTGAAATTTGTCTGAAGTTGATAGGTTCTAAATTGTTGAAGCTAAATATGTCGAACCTCAGTCTTTCAAAGCAAGAGCATGAACATAATATGTGTTCAGTCGTTTCGTCTTCCACACAGCAGATCCGACAATCCGTTTGTTGGTTCATACTCGTCCTTCCAAGCTGGTATCTTAGACGACATTGTCCCGTATGCAGTCCGGTCAGAATTTGCAGGTTACCCCTGCACTTGCGGTGATCCCAAAGAATGCTTCTGATCCTATGAACACAGATTCGATTTCCTGTTTGGCGAGGATGTCGGCTTTATCTTTGCCCTCCATCCCCTGGTGTACAGGCACCCACAGCAAAGTAACTCTGTTGTTTTCACCCAGGCATTCTAGGGTTTTAATACAGCTCCATACAAGCTCGCAATTTATCTTGCTGGAGCTCAGTGCTTTAAGAGCAGCCTGACTCTGTTAGTTAATATAATAATTACAAATAATCTGAAATTCATTTTTGAACGTCCCTTCTGATTCCAAAACACATGAAGCTAGTCACACCGTACCTGCTTTCCAGATTTCCGGCAACATTCGGGACCTGAACCAAGCTTGGGACCTGTACTATCACGTGTTCCGAAGGATATCGAGGCAGCTGCCGCAGCTGACGTCGCTGGAGCTGCAGTACGTCTCTCCCAATCTGCTGCTGTGCAAGGACTTGGAGCTCGCAGTACCTGGAAGCTATTCGCCCGGGCAGCCCGTCGTCAGGATCGAATATTTCAACAGGTCGTTGGAGGTAAAAGATACTAACTTTTTTAATTCATCATTCTTTATTTTTTTATTTATTGAATCAAGTAGGTTTGTATAGATTTGCAGTTAATTCTAAAAAAGTTGAATTGGAAATGCACTTTATTGTTTTATTTTGTAATTTCATGAGTGGCTTCAAACGTGAAATATTTGTATTTCCTCAAATAGATATTAGATATAGTAAATTTGAATGGATAAGGCAGAAATATACACCTTTTAGGTATCTAACAGGAATGAAATTTCGAATTTTATAGGATATATATAGGGTGCCCGTTTTTCGAGTTTCACCATGGGGATCTGTTATTATGAGAGATACAAGGTCGGTTAAATTAGTGCAAAGTTGCGCATTTTCATGCTAAACATTTATCTGCAAGAAAATTCTGTGTCATTTTTAGTTTTTAAATTATTCGAAGAAAAACGAAAATTTGTAATTTTCGTTTTTATTTTTCCAAGCTTAAATCAAAAGACCTAGACGTTGCTGACTAGGACATTCTCAAGGCACTTTTTTACAAGGAATCTTAATCTGTTATCGTATTTTCCATGACGTTCTTGATGCCCAAGTTAGAACACTCAACTTTGTTTGTTTTTCTTATGGTTGCCGTATCGAATTTTTGCATTTTTGAAAAGTCTTTTTTTTTTCTGATTACAATGATGTATCACTCGATATGATCGAATCTGAATTTTGACAGTTCTATTGAATATGTGAACAGAACTGTTGAATTCTTAAGCTTATCCACATAACGCAAGAAGGGTTGCCGATGTCTGTCAGATATTATGTTCCCTGATAAGGTAATTTCCAACAACGGAGACGATCAAATATTTAGGAGTAGCTATCGATAAACATCTAAGATGGAACATACATATTCTGAGACTATGCAATACCCTGAGAAGTATCTTATACCGATTCAAATATATCTCCAAATTTTTCGAAGAAAAACATCTCAGAATGATTTATCACGCATTGTTTGAATCTAGATTGACATATGGGATAATAGGGTGGGGATGTGCACTAAAAGAACATATTAAAAATCTAGAAGTTCTGCAAAAAACCTTTTTGAAAATTTTACTAAACAAACCCTCCCGATACTCATCTGATTTGATATACTCCGAATCTAAAATCCTTGACATTCGTCAACATTATTTTTTTATATCATCCTGCTTTGAATTCAAAGCTAAATCTAATCTAAAGAGACTAGAACATTCTTACGAAACAAGACACAAATCCAAATATTTCAAAACACCGCTTGCTTCAAAATCCATAGGACAAAGATGCTTTTCGTATTTAGTACCAAGATTTTTCAATTTTATTCCTGTCGAAATAAAAGAGACATCTTCTTATAGAGGGTTCAAGAAAAAGCTAAAAAAATATTTACTTAATTCAAACAGACTTACTGTTCATGAGCTCGTGGAGGCTGGTGTAACGGTGTAATCAGATATCATGCCATCTCAGCTCATTAGTTTAATGTTTTCCTTCAATTTCTCCTTAAATATTTTCTATATGTTAAATTGTCGAACTGTCGAAATTCAGCTTGTTAAACAAAACTGTTGGCGTTCTTTCCAAAGCACTCTTCGCAAAAATGTTTTTTCCCAATTTTGATCAACAGGAAAGATTCGATCATATCGTGTGATACATCATTGTAATCAGAAAAAAAAAGACTTCAAAAATGTAAAAATCCAATATGGTGCCCATAAGAAAAAAACAACGTTGTGTGTTGTAACTTTGGCACCAAGAACGTCTGTAGAAGACGCAGTTGAAGATACCCTGTATGAGTCAACTTTTCATTACTTGGAAAGATTGTCAAAAATAATATTCTGACATAATGTTAATTAATTTCTGTATTTTGTCAAGTTCTGAATAAAAGGCGAAAATAAAAGTAGGTTTTTGCTTTCAAATACAGAATAGCTTTTACATTTGGTCCTTCGAGATAACTAAGAATCACTATGGAAGAAAATAATGCAGCAAAAGAAGCGACAGATCTTCAAGAAGTGCGAAGAAGTGAGCGACACAATAAAGGTGTTCCACCTAAAAGATATGCAGATTTGGACAATGCAGGACTTAGTTCGAGTGTAGCTCTGAATGATGATCAGATGAACAGCTATACAAGTTCTGTAGGAAGAGTCATGTCTGGCAAAAATCAGTCTGAAGTGGAGATTCCCAAAAGTGTACCACAAATGAGTGTAAAGTCTGTGGTTTCAGCTGAAGTAGTAGATGCTTTAAGTGGTAATAAATCTAAAAGAGGTGAATCTGTCAAATCCAAGAATTCAAGTCTTGTTAAATTGAATATCGAATTGGCATTGATGAAAAAACAAAAGGAGCTTGACGACGAAGAATCAAGAGCTAAAGAAAAGTTGAAAGCTCTAGAAAGAGAACGTCAATTTTTAATAAAGGAAGCTGAAATACGTAGAAAAATAGCAGGAAGAAGCGATACAAGTAGCGTGGCTAAAGAAGAAGAAATGTTGCCACCTTCCGTTTTCTCAGAGAATCTTTACCAAAATCCAGCTATCATGAGTAAATGGATAGATGACGTGAAACATTTCAAGGATATGAAGTCGAGCCAACGAGAACCTGATTTGGTAATGTCCAATCAATCGTTTTTATCTGGAGTAAAATCTGCAAATTCCGTTGGGGGTAGAGAGAGTTACAATGTACTAAGGGATCTAACAAAACAGTGTATTGATAATACCACCACCACCAATAAAATGTTGTTACGTCATAAAATGAGGGACCTCACTCTGTTTTCTGGTGAGCTGACAGAGTGGCCCATTTTTATTAACGAATTTGAAAGATCTACAAAGCAGCTTGGTTTATCTGACGAGGACAATTTGATCCGCCTGGATAAAGCACTAAAAGGGAAAGCAAGAGACACCGTCAAGGCCTTACTAACCAGTCCAAGAAATGTACCAAAAATTATGAAAATGCTTGAAATGAATTTTGGTAGGACAGAGTGGATAATTCTCTCTTTGATAGAAAAAGTAAAGAAGGTTGGTGTGGTCAGAGAAGACAGATTGGACTCTTGGATTTACTTCTCCAATGCGGTAAATAATATGGTAACTACCATGAAGAATGTCAACTCGTCTCTTTACCTCTTCAATCCAGAATTGTTAGCCGGTTTATTAGAGAAACTCCCTACCATCCAAAAATTCTCTTGGGGAAAGTTCAAGCATCACCGTGATGTACAGGGTCTTCAAACATCATTGGAAGATTTTGCAGATTGGTTTGAAGAAGAACTGCAATCCATGACCGCTATCAGTAATCCATTTCAGCGAAACAGTTCGTACAAAACTGTTCCAAGAAAAGAAACTGTCATGACCTCAAGGAAAAGTAGTACACAACATATAGAATCCAGTGAATGTATTTTGTGTAAAAATGTTAGTCACGCCATATCGAAATGCAAGAAATTTACGGATATGACAGTAACTAAAAGACGAGAAACAATCCTCAGTTTGAAACTATGTTTTCTCTGCCTTAAAGTAGGTCACATGGCTTTTAGGTGTTTCTCGAAGTCAAGATGCGGAGAGAATAGTTGTAAAGGGAGACACCATCCTCTTCTTCATATTGAGCGTGATGAACAGAAGCATGGCGATGAAGAAATTCCTAACAACGTCGAGAGGTCTGAAAGCAAAGAAATCTCATCCTCCGATTTTTGCGCTAGTTTGACCAGGAAGCCATCAAATGAGAAGAATAGTGTGTTATTGAGAATCGCTCCCGTGATGTTGCGCGGACCTGCAGGTGAGATCAAGACATACGCTCTATTTGATGAAGGATCAACGTGTACCATGATCGAGGAGGACTTAGCTGATAAACTTCAACTTCATGGACCGGTTGTACCCCTTTGCTTCCAGTGGACCAACGAAATTACCCACTATGAAGATCAATCCCAAATGGTTTCTGTAGACGTTGCTGCTGATAAAGCTACTCAAGTGTTTTTCAGTATGAACCAAGTAAGAACCGTAAAAAACTTGCGGTTGCCGAGGCAGAAAATAAATGTTGAAGACTTGATCAAGAGGTTTCCCTATTTGGATCATGATATTTTGAAATCTATCAGCTATACGAAGCCTGAAATGTTGATCGGACAAGACAATTGTGGTCTTATTGTACCAAGAACTGTCATCCAACCCAAACTGAATCAGCCTATAATGTCTCTCTCTAAATTAGGTTGGACAATTCACGGACCTGTTGATGGAACTAACCCAGAGAATTTCCTATCTCATGTTAGCCTCTGCTGCCGTCATGTTGGAGATGAAGAACTGCATCAAATGGTAAAAGATAGTTTTCGTCTAGAAGCTTTCGGTGTGAAAATGCAGGATGGAATCATCAAATCGGTAGAAGATAAGAGGGCAATGGAAATTATGGAAAGAACTGTGGTGAAAATTGATGGACGTTATCATATCGGTCACTTATGGAAACAGGATGACTGTTCATTGCCTCAAAGCAAAGCAAATGCTCTGAAGAGGTTGTTCTGCATGGAGCGCAAAATGGACCATGATGCCGAGTTTGCTTCACAGTATACTGCAAAGATCGCAGAGTACATTCGGAAAGGATATGCCAAGAAGTTGAATCCCACAGAGATACCGAACAACAACAAAACTTGGTACCTTCCCCATTTTGCGGTCTGGAACATAAACAAACCAGGGAAAATCAGGATGGTCTTTGATGCTGCAGCGAAATCCCAAGGTTTCAGTTTGAATGATTTCCTTTGTCAAGGTCCAGATTTCGTGCCATCTCTCATTTCTGTTTTGTGGCGATTCAGACAACATCAAATCGCTTTTGGAGGGGATATTAAGGAAATGTTCCACCAAGTATCAATCATCGAGAAGGACAGATGTGCTCAGCTCTTTCTTTGGCGTGGCATGGAAAGAAATGAACGTCCTGATGTTTACATCATGAATGCGATGATATTTGGTGCTATATCGTCCCCGTCCGTAGCTCAATTTGTTAAAAACAAGAATGCCGCCTTATTCGAGTCCAAATGTCCAGGAATAGTGAGAGCTATGAAGAAACAGCATTATGTGGACGATTATCTGGATTCTTGCTGTACAGAGGATGAAGCCATATGCAGAATAAAAAACGTGATCTATGTACATAGGGAAGCAGGGTTCGAAATGGTGAAGTGGATGAGCAATTCACGTGCGGTAATGAACTCTATTCCAAAGAATCTTCGAGCTGATTACCAAACTGATGTCAAAATAGATTCGACATCATTGGAACGAGTTCTGGGTCTGTCTTGGTCTCCAAAGAAGGACAACTTCGTTTTCACCCTCAACCTGAAGAAGATTCCTCCTGAGATATCTGGTGGTTTGAAGGTTCCAACGAAAAGGGAAATATTGCGAATGGTCATGTCCATTTTTGACCCGATAGGTTTCCTTGCTCCGCTCATGATCAATGCTAGGATTCTGTTGCAGAATATATGGAGAAGCAATATATCATGGGACCAAGAGATACCAGAAGAAATCTTCGAGGCCTGGTTGAAGTGGTTGAGACAGTTAAATGAGATCACACCTGTTATGATTCATAGGTATTATTTTCCAAGTCTATCAAGTGTCAGAAAAGTGGACCTCCATATATTTTGTGATGCGAGCGATAAAGCGTATGCTGCAGTTGCTTTCCTTAGGACAGTTGAAAATGGAAACATATATACAGCATTCGTTACATCAAAATATAAGGTGGCACCTATGAATCAACAAACAATCCCCAAGTTAGAATTACAAGGCGCAGTTCTTGCTTGTAGAGTGGCCAAAATTATACGCAAAGAACTCGAGTATGATTTTGAACAAATTCATTTCTGGACAGATTCTATGGTAGTTCTGCAGCAAATCAGGTCCGAATTGAGACGATTTCCCATTTTTGTAGCGTGTAGACTGGGAGAAATCCACGAGGATACTGATATTGCACAGTGGCACTGGGTACCCACGGATATGAACGTCGCGGATCAAGCCACCAAGGAAATAAAGAATATCAATCTTCTACCAGATGGTAATTGGTTTTCAGGACCAGATTTCTTGAATTTGCCCGAGACAAATTGGCCAGTTGAACCAAATTGTTCCAGTGAATGTGAACAGATTCTCGTCGTGAGTTTGGATGATGCTGAATGTCTTAGAATGGAATTCCCGAAGATTTCTAGATTCTCCAAACTGAATAGACTTATTCGATCGACTGCATGGATTCTGCATTTCATGAAAGTAGTGAAGATCCCAAAAAGATTACGTCCAAGTACACTACAATTAGATGTGGAAGAAATAGAAACAGCCCGAAAGTTATGGATAAGGAATAGTCAGGGTGAAACTTTCAAGGAAGATATTGCTATTCTAAGAAGGAAGAAATCCGTACCTAAATCAAGTCGGCTTTTCAGATTGTCAGTTTTTTTGGATGAAGATTCTATCATACGATTAGGAGGCAGGATACCAGAAAACGAGATACACAATGTACCCTTTGAGTCAAGAAACCCTATTGTGCTGGATCCGAATCATGAATTCACAAAACTGTTGATTGATCAGTATCATGAGGAATCGAGCCATTTTGGTTTAGAGACAGTAGTCAACAACCTTCGATTGAAGTTCTGGATTATTAATGTTCGAGCTGCAGTCAAAAGAAGTTTCCATAATTGTCAAGCATGTAAGATAAGAAGAAGCAAACCACAAGCTCCTGAAATGGGGATGTTGCCACCGGAACGCTTGGGAGCATTTACGTTTCCATTCTCTTTTGTTGGGATTGATTTTTTCGGGCCCATGACTGTCGCAATTGGACGAAGAAATGAGAAAAGATATGGTGTTCTTTTCACTTGTTTCACACTACGGGCAGTACACATAGAACTAGCTGCATCTTTAGATACAAGTTCTGCCATCCTTGCCATTCGACGGTTTATGTGTAGAAGAGGACAACCGAAGGAATTCAGGACCGATAATGGAACCAACTTCGTTGGAGCTGAACGGGAGCTGCGAGAGTGTATTCAGGGTTTGGATCAGAACAAAATCGCCGAAGATCTATCTTTGAAAGGAATAATTTGGAAGTTCAACCCTCCAGGAGCTCCACACATGGGAGGGATTTGGGAGCGAATGATTCGCTCCATCAAAACAGCTCTGAAGATAAGTCTCAAAACTATCAAACCTAGAGAAGAAGTCTTGGTAACTTTGTTAGTTGAAATCGAATATATAATCAACTCAAGGCCCTTAACACATATTTCTGTGGATCCAGATGAGCCGGAAGCAATAACCCCCAATCATTTTTTGTTGTTGCGTCCAGGTGATATCAAATCCTATGGCGATTTCCAGCTTTCCAGTAGAAAGCAATGGCGTATTGCCCAGGCACTGGCAGATTCATATTGGAGACGATGGGTACTCGAATATCGACCGACTCTTCTTCAGCGGCAAAAGTGGCATGATAAAAGTAATCCTGTCAAAGTAGGTGACATAGTTTTAATAGTTGATGAGAAGGCACCTAGAAACCAATGGGTGATAGGACGCATAGAAGAAACATTCTCTGGGAAAGATGGCATCATAAGGGTTGCAAAAATAGTAAACAGAAAAGGAGTTTATATGAGACCCGTTACGAAGTTATGTATATTACCTGTCTCAAATTGATGTACTCATAGACTCAGTCGAACTTCGCCTGGTGTGGAGAATGTAGAAGACGCAGTTGAAGATACCCTGTATGAGTCAACTTTTCATGACTTGGAAAGATTGTCAAAAATAATATTCTGACATAATGTTAATTAATTTCTGTATTTTGTCAAGTTCTGAATAAAAGGCGAAAATAAAAGTAGGTTTTTGCTTTCAAATACAGAATAGCTTTTACAACGTCATTGAAAATAAAATGACGAAAACTGAGGGTTTTCACTCTCTAACCATCCCGAACAACATATAAAAAAATCAGGACCACTTGATTTAATGTATGGTTGCAGTCCTTCATGCCTCCCTAGCGACTGGTGTAAATGAATTTTTTATTTGTCCTTTCTGAGATGTACATAAACGTAGATTTATTATAATTAAGAATCAACTTATTGGTCGTTAGCCAAGACGATATTCGTAATATTTTCGTTTATCAGATGACGGTCAAAATTTGCAGCCGACTCTTGGACTATTAGTCCTCAGTCAGTCGTTATACAGAACATAAAAAAATTCTCGATCTATCCGGATACATTTCCGCAGGTGATCACCTCGAAACAGCGGCCTCGAAAGCTCGTGATCCGCGGCAGCAACGGCAAAGACTACATGTTCCTGCTGAAGGGGCACGAGGACCTCAGGCAGGACGAGCGCGTCATGCAGCTGTTCGGCCTCGTCAACACTTTGCTGCTCAAGGACCCCGACACGTTCAGGCAAGCTATATTCCTAATTCCACTGTCAGGTTTTGTTATTAATCATACAGGACGTGGAAAGAAATTCTGATTCGAGGAAAGCTAATCACGAATCTGCGATTGAATGTCTATAAAAATAACAAGTGTCCATTAATCAAGTTTGAACCCCTTGATTGGGTGAAAATATTGAAAAAGAATATTCTCAGATAAATTATGAACATAAAAAAAATTTATATGAAGATATAAAGAAATACATTGAAAATTCGCATCATCTATGTCATGAACATATCAATTCTTTCTTGGTTTATTGAACAGAAAATAACTACTTTCCTGGCTATATGCCGCGACGAACATTGAATTATATCTATTAAACACACAAGCTAAATCTTCTAAAGTTGAGAAATTGCATTCTCATTCTCCGTTTTAGTATAGCGCCAACTGATGAAAGTGAAAATGTTTGATTGTCTTTATTACCCCAAGAAAAATGTTTGTTTATAAGAGGGATATATATCCAACAAAACATACATATAACATAATAAATCGAAACAATAATAATTGCACAATTATTGTTTTTCATAAAAAAATTATAATAAAATATGAAATGAAATTATTATAATCCATTACAAGTAATCAAATTGTGAATGATTAGTACTATTAGTAGATATGGAATTAAAGTTTACTGAGCAGATATTTCTTTAATTTGATTCAAAAATTTTCTGCTTCTATATTTTTCAACTCATTAGGTAAGGAGTTATATAAAATTATTCCACTATGGAATATTGATTGTTGCCTTGTTTCATGGGCGTGAATCGTATCAACTTCATTAAAATTCAAATTCGATATTTTCAATTCCTTCCTGACAAAATGAATAAAGCAACAAATTTTGAGTTTATATAATGAAACTAGATTCAGCAAGTCTTTAGGTTTGTATAGATTCACAGTTGATTCTAAAAAAGTTAGATTGAAAATGCACTTTATTGTTTTATTTTGTAATTTCAAGAGTGGTTTCAAACGTGAAATATTTGTACTTCCCCAAATAGATATTAAATATTGTATATTTGAATAAAAAAGACAGAAATAAATACCTTGTAGGTATCTAACAGGAATGAAATTTCGAATTTTATATATAATACCAGCAATAGGATTCAATTTTTTCCTCAATTGATCTATATGTCCACGATAATTGTTCATCAAGACCTAAAAATTTTGTTACATTTGTCTATTCAATGGATTTGTTATTGAAACATATTGGGGCATTATTCAATATATCCGTTGTTCTTCTTGAGATGTACATATACGTAGATTTACTTTAATTAAGAGTCAACTTATTGGTCGTTACCCAAGATGATATTTGTTACAAATCATTTTTAATATCATTATTGTTATCGTTAAAATCTTTTGGAGTATAGATTATTGTTGTATCATCTGCAAAAACTTCAGTTTTCCTTTAAATTTTAAAGTAGATATTGAGTTAATATAGATTAAAAATAAAATTGGTCCCAAAACTGACCCTTGCGGTACACCACATGTAATATTCATCAAGGAACTACAAGTATAATTCACATCAACATACTGTTTCCTATTCTTCAAATAATTTGGAAACCAATCATGAATTTTGCCTCTGACACCATTGATGATAATTTAGTCAATAAAATATTATGATTTACAGTGTCAAAGACCTTACACAGATCCAGAGACAGAATGCCGCATTTGTGATCTATTCGTAACTGAATATCTGAAATGACATCCATTACAGCTACCTCTGTGTCTTTTGACCTACGAAATCCATATTGTTCACTAAACAATAGGCCATTATTTTCAAGATAATTCATTTGACGGTTATTCATAATCATTTCTAAAATTTCGGAAAAGATCTGGAGAATAGAAATTGGTCTATAATTATTTAAATCATCTTTCTTCCCATTTTTGTGAATTGGTAATACGAGCGATTTGGAAATTATGTTTAACGAAATAGGAGCTGAGTCAAATTTGATTACTTTTACAATCTTAACAGTAATATAATCAAATCCACAGCATTTTCGAATATCCAAATCATCAATGATATTCTCAATTTCTGAAATATTCGTTGGAATAAGGAACATAGATAGAACAGTTTATAGTCAGAGGTCGGGCTTTCAGACCAATCACAGGTGAAAAACGTTCGCGTGTGATACGTCTAATGACTTTGAGCTTATCTCTATTTGTGACCATTCCATTCCACTTTGAGTATTTGACTTTTTCCTATTGGGTGTATGACAAATTGACATTCATCATACAGGGCGTGGAAAGAAATTCTGTATTGAGACTCTATCACGAATCTGCGATTAGAGGTCAATAAAAATCACAAGTTTCCATCGTTCGAGTTTGAACCCCCTGATTGGGTATGAAAGTGTTGAAAAAGAATATTTTCAGATGAATTATGAACATACAAAAATGGATATATGAAGCAATACATTGAGAATTCGCATTCTCTATGTGATGAGACTATCTATTCTTTATCAGTTTATTCAATAAAAAACACGACGTGATAGAGTCTCAATTCAGAATTTCTTTCCACGCCCTGTATGATGAATGTCAATTTATCATAAACCCAAAAGCAAAAACGTCCAAATGACAGGAATAGAATGTCAACAAATTTTCTCAGATGTCATTTTGTTATAGTTTTATTCGGTTTTAGTTGTATTATAGAGAGATGAAAATTGTGTATATCATGAAGAATGGCTGTAAGAATAAGTGGACATCATGGTTACTGATGAAAATTCAGAGATCCGAAATGGGATCATTGCAATAAAGTCATATAACCTGTGTGTGAGAGATAATATTTCCCATATCACTGATATGAATGATTATTTTTGGAAGTTTTCAAGCTTATCAAAATCAGAGTTTATGCCAGTATACTTCTCCTATACATTCCAATTTTCATTTCAATGCTGAATATATTGGTAAGTTATATTTCTATATCATTATACATCATATTATTCATCCGATTTGAAGAAGAATGTCAATTCTCAATTTCGGAGGATTTTATTTTTTTATTTTCCATGTTCTACTTTTGAATGTTCATCAGATATAATTCAATGTTCGACGTGGCAAATAGCCAGGAAAGTAGTTGTTTTCTGTTGAATATTCAGAATGTGTGCATATACATATTTTTGTCTGAAGGAGAATGCAAATTCTCAATTTCAGAAGTTTTTATATTTAATTTTCAAACTCTTATCGTGTGTGTTCAATAGATATAATTCAATGTTCGTCGTGGCGTATAGCCAGGAAAGTAGTTGTTTGTTATTGAATAAACTGATCTTTATTAGCAGGTATGAATATGAATGAATCACTCAACCTCCAATAATAGTCTGAGTGATTCATTCATATTCATACCTGCTACTAAAGAAGAGGTTGAGGAAGTTATTGCTAACCTACCTAATAAAAAGTCCAGTGGATTAGATGATATCCCGGTTGATATAATAAAAAAGTGTGCTTGTATTATATCACAATACCTTGCTGACATCATAAATCTATCAGTGAATTCTGGCATTTTTCCTAGTGTCCTGAAATCTGCTGCCATCATTCCCATATTCAAAAAAGGCGATACCAGCAACATAGAGAACTATCGTCCAATTGCTCTCCTGAGCATATTTTCCAAAATAATTGAAAAGATCATTTGCAGGAGAATTACAGATTTCTTCACAAAGCATAAAATACTTACTGATTGCCAACATGGCTTCCGCCCTGGTCTATCTACCGAAACAGCCATAACGGAATTTGTTCAACACATAAATGACCTTATGGACAGAAATGAACACGTAATTGTTATATCGTTCGACCTAACGCGAGCATTCGATACGGTTAATAGTAATTTCGTCTCCGAAAAAATCAACTACCTAGGTCTTCGTGGCCCAGTGAATGATTGGATAACGTCCTTTCTTGAAGATAGGAAAATTACAGAGAGAATCGGTGAAATCAAATCGAAAGAATACGATTTAGATCTTGGAACATCACAGGGAAGTGTTCTAGGTCCGTTGATCTTCCTAACCTATGTCAATGACATGCCTCATTACATAAAAAATGGTAGGGTCTTCATGTATGCTGATGACACCTCTATTGTGGTATATGATTCTGATCGCCAAAGACTACAGCAAAAAACCAACTCGGTTCTGAAAGATTTCGCGGATTACTGCACTCAAAATACACTTATAATAAATCATAATAAAACAGTAGTAATCGAGTTCCATTCAAAACATAAAATATCTTCTAATTTTACCTTCGAAATTGATACTCATATCGTTCAAACCTCCACTTCATCTAAATTCTCGATTATAGATCGTAACTTAACATGGGAGGAACAAATACAAATGGTTTGCAAAAAATTCAACAAAAGCTTTTACATTTTGGCAACACTGAGAAATGTTTTGAACACGGACTCATTACTGCAGGTCTACTATGCATTTGTTTATTCTACAATTTCATACAACATTATAGTATGGGGTCAGGCATCAGATATAACAAGAATTTTTGTTGCTCAAAAACGAATCATAAGGCTCATTTTCAAACATAAGTAGTCGCCACTCATGTAGACAGGTCTTCAAATCAAAACGGATCCTCACGGTAACGTCAATTTATTTGATGAAACTGTTAACCTACATTTACATTAACAAACATTAATTTCCCATTAATAGTGATTCACATTCTTACAACACTAGAAAAAAGAATGATATCAAACTAAACAAGCCTAAACACTCCTATTACAAAAAATCTCCAATCAATGCAGGCTGCCGTTTTTTCAACTGTCTGCCGAATGAAATAAAAAACGCGGTATCCCCGGCTGTTTTTAAATGTAGATTGAAGAAACTCCTAGTCAGAGAATGCTTCTATACTGTTGAGGAATTCGAATCCTACTTCTCAATTTTGAAATTATAATACTGTAGTATTTCTCACTTTATGTTAGTCATCACTGTAAATGTCTCGTCTTGTTATAGTATTTCGTTTCGTCTTATTTTTCAATTAAAACTTGATACCACTGTTCATTTATGACATGTAATATTGACTTATCCTATCTATTGTTACTGGTAGTTCAAAAGGATTAATGAATATTTTATTTTTATTTTATTTTATTTTTTAGTAGATATTCTCATCACATAGAGAATGCGAATTCTCAATGTATTGCTTCATATAAATATATATCCATTTTTGTATGTTCATAATTTATCTGAGAATACTCCTTTTCAAGACTTTTTCCTAGTTGAATGTTACCCGTCATTTGAATTCGGGCTAATTAGACGTTGACGTGCAGGCGCAACCTGACCATCCAGCGGTACGCCGTCATCCCGTTGAGCACGAACTCGGGCCTGATCGGGTGGGTGCCGCACTGCGACACGCTGCACACGCTCATCAGGGACTACAGGGACAAGAAGAAGATCCTGTTGAACATCGAGCATAGGATCATGCTGAGGATGGCGGCCGATTACGATCATCTGACGGTGATGCAGAAGGTCGAGGTGAGTGAAAATAATAGTTTTTTTTTTGTTCTGGTTCCCACGAAAAGTGATATCCTGTAATGTTCAGAGAACATCGTGAGAACCAAGGGAAATAAGGTAGGAATTGGTGTTCTTCTTAAATTTCTGGAGGTTATATGCCTTGGAGAACACATCCCTTGGCAATGTATTGTCACAAATAGGGTTATTTTTCATTCATTCATTCAAATTCATACAAGGTTCGAAGTCATTGAACGGTCGCGTCTTTGTTTATTAATTCCAAAATTTTCGAATCGTGAACGAACTCTTTTTTCCATAGTTGAACATAAACACAGGCGTGACATTGACTTCAACGAACCTGGACTATCGACCTGATTTCCTTACTGTCACGTTTCCGAAAATAAAGACAACTATTTAAAAGACGTAAGGAAGCGGGATTGACAGTTCGACTACCGGTTCGACTGCAAGTTGGACTGCCAGTTCGAGCTCTAGCTCTGTTTTCGTTATACGAGTTAGGGAAGTCTAAGTTCTACCAATTGTAAGTTTGTAAAGTTGCCACTGTGCCCGAATCTTCGGAGTTCGGGCAGAACAGAAGATGCCCTTCCTCAGGCTCCCAGAAATACCAGTTAATTTTGTACATATAGGGTAAGTTAAGGTTTTATTAATTGTTATTCGTTTATGCCAAGAATAAATGTGTGTGTATGTTTTGTTTGAAAACCTTTTTGAGTATTATTTATTATTATCACTTTTGAAGTTCATTCTCTAATGGATCTAGAACACAACTTAGGCAACCCCCGCCTACAGTTTGTGACAGTATTCCAGAGCCTTGCTGTTCGTTGGATAAACGAGTCTTTGGAAAGAGATGTTCTGCTGGTCTCCAAAGTGACCACGAAGGGGTGCGAAGCCTCAACTCGACGAGTTAATCTCGCAGGGAGGAACAATTGTTGATATTTCAGAAGAGCATCGTCCATGAAAATATCTATTAAATAGAGCCAGATCGCCAAATTTTCTACGGTGTTCCAGAGAAGTGAGTGAGATTGTGAGCGATGCATCACCCACGAGACGAATTGCCCTTTTTTGGACAGAATCCAACAGTTTTAGGATATGTTCGGGTGCTGCACTCCAAATATGGGAACATTATTCCAGGACAGGTCGGATCTGTGCCTTATAGATCATGAGCAGCCGTCTGCTAATATCACCAGTGGGACAGAATGGCCGTTTCATTGACTATTCTGTGGAATTTCTTATCATCTTGGTGGCTCTGGCCATTCTGTCTCTGAACATCAAATGCGTGGAGGAATGTTTGGAATGTTTGACAAATAAGGGTATTTGACATAATAATTTTGTTGTAATCAAAAACTTTGTAGAGTAGAAATAGTAGACACGGAATAAGGAATAGGTAGGTACAGAGTGATTCACCATAAATGTCCCTCCCTCTAACTCCCTTATTTTTGAACCGATTTGAAAATTTGAGAAATAATCTGAAATGACTAACCGTAAGTTAATGTTAGTCATGGTTGAGTTCACATGTTAATCTTTTTCTTTTTCACAGTTGGGTGAACATATACCTAGTATATAAGCAGCACACTAGAATAAGATATTTAGTTTTAATCTTCTCCTGAAGATGCTAACATAGTTAGCGAAACACGTGTCGAGGCGTTAAAAAATCGGTTTGGTTAGTGGTAAAACAGTGTAGTGTATTATCGTGCCAAAGGTTCCAGTCTTCGATATGACTTGTAATCCGAGTTCACGGGATATCATATTGATTGCGAAGCAACCGGAGGTTTTTTTTTCAAGAGCTGATATATGATGGTCAAACTCCAAATGTGATCACCAAGAAATTTCGTGACAGACTTGCTCTCAATAAGTTGATCTCCTCAGACTTGAATGTCACTAAATTTGTTTTAGAAACATTAAGAGTTAGCATATTAGATTCACACCAACTTTTAATTTTTTCAACTTCCACTGAAATAGACTGAGCCAAACTAGCTCCATCTTCGTTATGCCAGAGAATCGTGGTATCATCTGCAAATAAAGTTAGGTGCCCAGAAATATCTAGACTAACCATATCGTAGATTTAAATCAAAAAGAGAATTGGGCCTACAACTGACCCCTGAGAGATCCCCCATAAAACATGATCTTTATCGGAAGTCTTTTTTGACAATGATACTCTTTGATTCCTGTCAGTGACATAAGATCTGAAAGGTGTACCACGAATACCGTATTGAAAAAGCTTTTGCAACAGAATTTCATGACTCACGTAATCAATAATAGCCTTAGAGAGGCCAAGAAACACTGCTGCTGCAGCCTCTTTTTCATTCAAGCTCAAGTATACCTTTTCAAGAAAATTGAGTATTATTTTAATATACGTGTAGTGAGGACACTGCGTTTGAAAATGTTCCTGTTGGGCTTATAACTGGCTGATAAGTGGCTTATAGAATTAGACTGAATTAATTGAAGGCTCATAAACGAAAAACTGTATTGCAGATGAAAATATTACAATACATCTTATTAATAACATTCATTACTGTCTGTCTTGTCACTAAACTTCTTGATCCCAAAGCAAAATAAATACAGGGTGATATAATCTGTAACAGTTCCTATCATAGAGCTTATAGGAAAAATTCATTCGTTTCTCTGTGACACTTTGCTCTAAATAAAACTCATTTTTTTCATTTTTAAAAAGTCTGAAATAATGAAGAAACATGTATTGATGGTATATAATATGTCTCAATGAATGATAATACCAACCGGTATCGTGGAAGCTGTAGTTATACGTTAACCTTTCAGGTGTTCGAACACGCGCTAGAGCATACTCACGGCGACGATCTGGCGAGGCTGCTGTGGCTGAAGAGCCCCTCGTCGGAGGTATGGTTCGACCGCAGGACGAACTACACTAGATCGTTGGCGGTGATGTCCATCGTCGGGTATATCCTGGGGCTGGGCGATCGGCACCCGAGCAACTTGATGTTGGACAGGTAATTCAGATTAGGAAGCTATCTGTGCTGTTTATAATATGTATGGTCGCTGTGCCTCCAATAACTACAATATTGTACACCAGAGTAGATTATGGCTGTGTCAAGTCTGTGGTTTGACCAGGCACATAAGTTCAGTTTGAAGTCTGACCGCACCCGTTCGGTGTTATATGGTGTACACTCACACCGTGTTCGTTGTCAACGTATTGTAACACAATAACTGGAGATAATTTACCGCCAGAACAGAATGTTAGATCTTGAGGAGGTGTGAGAAGTATAGTACAGATAGTTGTTAGGTTAGGAGTTTGTTTTTGGATCATAAACAACAATCTCTGTTTTGTAAATTATTCAATCATTTTGGTCAAAATTTCCAATCCTGAGATGGATTATCGAACTACTGATGAAACAGATTTCATTGATAAATCATCGTCGATCAGAAGAACTTGTAATTGATTCACCATCTGAATTCAAGAAATAACTGTCAATGAATTCATCATCACTATCCCTTTTTTTTCTTCAAGTTCCAAGATTTTTTACCATGCAATTAGAATACGCAAAATACCAATGAACTTGACTACACCACAAGCAACGAACAAGATATCAATTCACTACACTCCACTCCACTACACTAGTCTACGCCGAAATGTGTATTATACAAATATGTAGTGTACAATATAAATTTCATGCAGAAACAACAGACCTAAGGTTGCTTGGAAATACAACATCATTGTCGACCTGAATGGAGAAGCTAGTTTGCTATTTAGTAGGCGAGAGGTTCATTGACTCAAAATTTGTCTGCCTGTCAAATGGCGCTACTATGTATACGATACTATCTATCAACAATAGCTCATTTGTTCCAATGTCAGTGACACTGTTTTTGGTTGAAGTTGTCTTCTTCTATTTTTTCCAAACAGTAGTTCCAACCAGTAACGATTGGTGCCGATAGTTTTGACGTCTGGTGGTTGACTGTTGACTTCCTTTTTTTAATTATCCTTCTCCGAAAACTTCATAATTGCCATTGTATATTTCATTAATTATTTCTCCTAGTGTTGCTTGTTCTCTATTAATTAGTTGTTCTTTGTATTTGTTAGTGGGTAGGTACCTCCAAGCAAGTACATTGATTTGTTCATTTTCTTTAGCTGTAGTACTTCTGCCTAGTTCCTAGCTTCTAGTATTAATTATTTTGATTGCCCATTTTCAATAATTTTTCTATAAGTGCTTATTTTGGCTTATAGTTATTTCATTGTCTGATTTTGAGAGTTTGTGGGTTTGATGGTGCTGTGCATTATATCGCCTATGAAACTGTCGTGTTTCAATTTGCTCCACCAAGAGGTGATGTGATAATAAATCCACACACGAATTTCCCAATTATGTAAATTTGAGGCAACAATGGGTTCAGGCAATATTCAATGCATATCAAGGTGGAATTATTCTTCTTGGATCGCATATTCGAAACTGATGCATTGATATTTAAGGAATTAGAACATTTTTAGTGTGTGAGCATGATTATTCTATATAGGTATTCGGTATAACAGAATTTCATGAATTATATAGTGACATATCAAAAATATGAAGGGAACTAAGCAGTCCCTACCTTTCTGCTTGACTTGTATGTCAAAAAAGTTTGAACAGTAACGTTTTTTTTCACAACAGCACTGACGAGTTTCACCGGAGAGTGTCCGCAGTTCCTACTCAAATTCAAATAGCATCGAGCTAATATAGAATTGCGTCAACAACTTCTTGCTTCTATTTGAGTATATTGAGTGGATGCTTTTCACACTTGATAAATATCTTTATTGGATTAGTAATGTTTCAACCTCGAGTTTCAACATGAGAGATTTTTATTTACAAACTTGACAGTCTATGCTTGTCGCTTGACAGGAACATGAAAAATGTTTAGGTTAGGAATGAAAAATAAACAACTCATGTAGTACTCAAGTTCATGTGTAGATGTCTCTACGGTATAGAAAACCGTCACAATATGAGCGAGCGATTTTCGCATTTGTTTTTTTTTCCAAAGAACAGACAATATTGTAGCAGCGCCCATTAACTAGTCTTTTCATTCAAATCGACAATGTGCAACAGTAAGGAGGACATAGTTACAGAGTTTTCATGAGTCAGCCTGTTAACAATTTCGAAAGTATGGTTCGGTTTTGGTATAAACTGGTTTAAGGTTTTGGTGCCTGATTTCATTTACTACTGTATTGGATAGAAGTAAGGTGGCTATTAATTGACGATAGAAGTTAGAATTTTAGTTGGGTTATATTAATTTCAAGATTCAACCTCGCGAGTATTGAAGCTATTTACAGGGTGTACTCGATGGTGAGGCAATTTTCTTAATAAGATGTAGTAGAACTCGTCGAAATAGACCATATCACAAAAAATTGCCCAAATAAAAATTGCAAAATAACGAAGTTCAAAACCACCGAAAAAATTGGCCTTTTTACGGTTCTGGTATATTTACAAAAAGTATCTATCTCACTATCTATGTGCGCCCAATTCTGCTCGTTGTAACAATGAGTCACTACATGTGGCAAAGTACTAATTATTTGCCCACGAACAACTTCACAAGCGTTTTCTCTTCGCTTCCACGGTATTTACCTCTCTGTCACGATACACAAAGTTCTCTGAATGGCCCCATAGGAAGAAATCGCAATTCAGTTTCTGGGAGCGTTCATTTCTTTCTTTCTACCTATTGGGAAACACGATATCCAAATGTGGTCCTTCGAGCCGGATCATTTAGAATTTTGACATTAAAGGTTCCTTATTAATTTATCCATTGTATAGCAAAATTCTGTAATATTCATGACATAGGGTTGAGTGGAAGAGCAGCTGTCGATTTATCGGCGAGTTGAACTCTGCCTTTTGTTTCATTGAGACAATAAAAGCATTTATTATTATTATTATTATTATAATATCCAAGGCTGAGCGGTAAGATCCTGCACATCGACTTCGGCGACTGCTTCGAGGTGGCGATGACGCGCGAAAAGTTCCCCGAGAAGATCCCCTTCCGTCTAACGCGCATGCTCACCAACGCGATGGAGGTCACCGGCATCGACGGCACCTACCGCAAGACGTGCGAATCGGTCATGTCGGTGCTGCACCGCAACAAGGACAGCCTGATGGCGGTGTTGGAAGCGTTCGTTTACGATCCGCTGCTCAACTGGCGGCTGATGGACACGGCGCTGAAGAACAGGTCGACGACGGGGGAGATTGTCGGCTCGTTCTCTACGAGCACTTCTCAGGTGGGTCTAGGATGGCTAAAGATGCTTCAATCTACTATTCCAAAATGTACAACAGTGGACACATGACTACCCTGTTATATCAACTACTCTCACTAAATGAACTTAGAAGCATTATATTCTCTCTTGACTAACAAAGCAGACATTTTGAATAATACTTTCTTAAAAAATAGTTTTGATGTAGCAGGTTATGCAATATTGAATGTAAATCACACATCTCTTAGAGCCCGTGTGTTTCCTGATCAATTTAAGGTCTCCACTGTTGTTTCTGTACCAAAAATCAATTCTATTAAAGCTGACAATTTTAGGCCATTAAATATATCATATACTCTACAAGCCCTTGGAGCATTAATTGGCATAATGACCACCTCTAAAATCTATCCTAGGGACTCAAGAATTCATTTATACGAGTCTATTATATTATCCTCACTGTCTTATTGTGTTGCAATTTGGGGAACAAGGTATCCTGATATAGTGAAACGTATCCAAGCTAATTTCCTCAAGAGAATTTTGTGCTTACCCAACAACACCCCTGATTATATCGTTAGACTTGAATCGAAGTCTACCAAATTGAGTCACCTCATTCTGAAAACTGCTTTGTCATGGATATATCACATTAACAACCTACCGGATTCACGTCTACCAAAAATATGTTCCAAATGCCTTATACAATTACGTGAGAATATGAATGTTAGATACAATTGGGTAAGTCAAATTGAACAATATATGGCAATTACTGGACACGAGAACTTTCTCATTGATAACTTTGGAGCTGTTGATTTGAAAAAAAAGGTGCGGAGATTCTTGAATCATACAAAAATTATCTTTCACGTGATGATCAAAACAGACTGAATGACTCAATGCATCCATATATGTATATAATTATTTCACAAGCCAAAATGGTTTGTTTTATTTGAAACTGCTGATCCTATCAGTGTAATCAGAATAATTTGTCAAATACGAACTTGTAGTAAGGGTGAGATTATTTTTTCATACAGAGGAATGTACTACAAAATTAATTTTACTCAGATCTGCACAATTTGTAATATATACAGGAATGAGAGTCTAAACATATTTTTTTCGAATGTCCGCTTTATGAAAACCTGAGGAATCCATTAAGGCCGAGTATTACGAACCTGGCTGATCTTATTGATGTCCTTGACACTGGTACTCCCAAAACTCTCTTCATAATCTTCAACTATATAATTAACATCCTCAAACTACGTTCCTTCATATTGAACGAGTGAACTCAAATTTGACCACGTTATGTTTTTTTTGCCTCCCCAAATTTTCGCTAACTCTGTCACACATCTTTTTGCTTCCTCTTCATTCTCTCTCCGCAGTTTTTCTGTGTTTTCACTGTCTTTCAATCAATTGAGCACTTCATTAGAATATAACAATATATGTATGTGTGTATGTATGAATGGGTTAGCTAGCTAGTTTTCTCTCAAATAGGTCTCTCCATGTAGTGGTCGACAGAGTTTCATCTGACTCTCTTATCATAAATGCTGTTGTTCCGCAAGGATCAATTCTAGCACCAACACTATTTCTACTCGATATCAATGATTTGTTGGAAGCAAATTCATGTCCAGTGTACACAGCTTCGCGGATGATAGTACCCTCCATACCGCTTTCTCTTCCAGGGCTCCAATACCAACCAGGCAAATCAGGAATGAACCAGCGAGAAATGTTGACAACGTAAATATGGACTTGGCAAACAGTTCTCAAATGGGAATCCAATAACTTGGTAGATTTCAATGCAAACAAAACACAAACATGCCTTTTCTCTAGAAAAGGCGATCTCATTCCTTGAGATGTATCAATTAATATGTATACCCAGTATATAGCTACCTAAATTTGACGTTGTCAATCAATCTGATGGTTGCAGTCTAGCAATACATCCAAAAAACAAGCTGAAATTGTCATCTCTCGGTTAAAAACTTCAGACAGCCAGAAAAAAACTACTCAGAGTAGGATGTTATAGCGAAAATAGAGTTCAAATATAAGTATTCCACAAATGGATATGTGGATATAAGGGACTTGAGAACAGCGGGCGATAAAGTGCACTTCATGGCCCGCAAATCTTGGCGATAAAGTACACTTTACCGCCCGCTAGTGCATAAAAAGTTGTTATGGAACACTGTATACTGAACACTGTATATCAATATCACTCTAATACTAATCTAAATATGATTTTATTGAATTTCATTAATCAGATACGGCTTATTTCGGTAATCAAATCTGAATTGGAATAGTTAATAATGATTTTTTCAACCTTTTTCCGGGCCCCTCTTTACACCGGGCCCAAGGCCCGGGCCTTATGTGCCTTATGGTAAAATAGGCCATGGTAGGGACAATGTTGAAGTGAGTGGTACTTGTAGCTCCTTAATGAACATCTCATGCGGTGTACCGCAAGGGTCAGTCTTAGGACCAGTTTTATTTTTGATCTACATAAATTCAATATCAAACTTGGAATTGAGAGGAAAACTTAATTTATTTGCAGATGACACGACATTGATTTATTTCTCTGAAGATTCAAATAATATTATCATGGACATGAAAAGTGATTTAGAGAAAATATCCTCTTCGTTACAAGTTCATAAACTATCTCTCAATTTTAACAAATCCTCATATATGTACATAGCAGAAAGAACATTGAACATTTCAAATAGAACACTATCCTTCAACAATAAACTCATCAAATATACAGATGTTACAAAATTTTTAGGTCTTTATATTGATGAACGACTATCGTGGAATAAACATATAGATCATTTGAGAAACAAACTCAATCCTATTATAGGCATTTTATTCAAAATACGAAATTTCATTTCTACTAGATACTTGAAGAGTATTTATTTCTCTCTTATTTACTCAAAATCTCAATACCTAATATCTATATGGGGAAGTACCAATATTTCACGTTTGAGGCCACTAAATGAAATTACAAAATAAAATTTCAATGAAATCAATTCATTACATAATCATGGAACAAGACAATCAAATTTACTAATAGCAAGTAAGTCAAATATCGGCAAACAATCCATTTTTCACACAGGAATCGTTCTATACAACTCATTACCAAGTCAATTGAGGAATATACAGGAAGCAACTAGATTCAAAAATAAGACTTTGATAATTCCATTTATTTTCTTATTTGAATACCTACTTATAAAAGACAAGGTTGATATTGCATGATTATTTGCATTTTCTTTTACTTGTTATGTCTTATTATAATTTCATAATTGTATGTATAACATTATGTATATTGTTTATGTATCCCTATTATACACAACTATGTTTCTTGGGGTAATAAAGATAATCAATCAATCAGTCAATTTTGACATATGAATAGATAAAATTTGTGTAAAGTGCGGTTCCTGCTTTTTATAAATGATGATCAATAGCTCATCATCAAAAATATCTCAGATTGACAATTTACTTTCCTATAATAAGGATTTCGAAACCAATTTACACTGAATTCAGAAATGTTTGTTGACAATAACATTTCCTTCAAAATTTGTAATTTTTTTAGCGCCATCTATTACTTCGTATTTTTCTCGAATTACAGGAACACGACCTGATCGAATCGCTGAGCATGACGATCAACAAGAAGAGCCTGCTTGCGGACATCGTGAGCGAGGGTTCGCAACCGGAGGCGGTCAATAAGAAGGCGGTCACCATCATCAACCGCGTGCGGGACAAGCTGACCGGCCACGATTTCAACGTAGAAGAACAGGTCACTATCGAGAAGCAGGTCGAGCTGCTCATCCAGCAAGCCACCAGCAACGAGAACCTGTGCCAGTGTTATATAGGGTGGTGTCCTTTTTGGTAAAGTGTCTTTGAATTAAGGTGGGAGTTTTTTTGGTAGCGAAGTGGAGCGGAATGGTTCTAGAACTAAGATAAGGAGCGATATTTACTTCTACAACATTCAATAGTGCCGATTCATTGTCGATTTTGATCGATATTAACCTGTATAGTATAAGAGGTTCTCATTTGCTGTTGAAAAAAATTTTGTTGTATCAAGATTCATCAATGAACCAATAAATAAAGAAGGAATGCAATACGCATTGCCCTTCTTATATCAACCTCCATTTCCTTATCATATATTCTATAACCATGACAATATAGTCCACTATCTATCAAGACTCGAACATATTTATACGGCTCGAAGGACCAATATGTTCGCTTGAACTGCTTGTTGCTACCTGTTAAACCTCCATCTGTTTGGCATTCACTGTTACTCCAGGTGGTTTTGAGTAGTCTGCTCGTTTGAGAAGAACTTGGCAGTCTTGAAGGTTTTATTTCAATAGATCCGGCTCGAAGGACCAATTTATTCGCTCTCGATAGATAGATAGTGGACTGTTTGGGATGGTATAATAATGATTTATTGATTTTATTGATCAATCTTATGTTTCAACAACACGTCATGTTAACAACAAATGAAAATCTCTCATACCCTATAGGATAATACAACTACCAAACTAGTTTTTAGGGTCATACAAGTACTAAACAAACTCTCTTTCTCTAGAGAGAGAGAAAGATAAGGTCATGTGTGTGAGAGAGCTTGTACAAACTTCAAAGGGCGTATCTTTCAGTGATTTTGTCGTGAAAAATTATCATGAACATGATTATGGTTCCGCAACGGCTTGGTTCTGGACATACAGGGCGACTACAAGTAAGTGGAGGTAAAACGAAGATAAGGAGCCATCTTCACTCCTACAACAACATTGAGTGGTGTCAATTCCTTGTCGATTTATAGGTACAAAAGATAGAGAAAGAGAGTGGGAATGAGTGAGCGAAAGTGGGAAAGGGTGAGCAAGAGTATAAGAGAATGTGAGTTAATGTGAGAGAGATAAAGAAAGAGAAAGATAGCTTATACAAACTTCAAAGGGCTTATCTTCCATGAATATATGGTTCCACAACGGCTTGGTTCTTGGCATAAAGGAGGTCCATTCCATTTTTTAATGGATTCAGATATGTAAGAGTTCATATAGATTCTAGTTGTCATACTTTTTCAGACACTGGGCCTTGGAAACGGTAATTTTTCCAATAAAACCTGTATATAGAAATCAGAATTTGAGTAGACAGGTGTTTCGAACATCGAGCTTCCATCATCAGTCATTTGAGGTAAGTAATAAGTGCTATAGAAAGTTAATGTGAGAGAGATAAAGAAAGAGAAAGATAGCTTATACAAACTTCAAAGGGCTTATCTTCCATGAATATATGGTTCCACAACGGCTTGGTTCTTGGCATAAAGGGGGTCCATTCCATTTTTTAATGGATTCAGATATGTAAGAGTTCATATAGATTCTAGTTGTCATACTTTTTCAGACACTGGGCCTTGGAAACGGTAATTTTTCCAATAAAACCTGTATATAGAAATCAGAATTTGAGTAGACAGGTGTTTCGAACATCGAGCTTCTATCATCAGTCATTTGAAGTAAGTAATAAGTGCTATAGAAAGTTAAAATAAAAACTGATCCGATTTCACGAATGTGAAGTTGATTCGAATGTGCTGGCGAAAATTTCAATTTGCTTTTAGTGATTGATGGTGGACTCACGAAATTCGAAACATGTATATTTAAATCGACATTGTATATCTATTTCATGGAATTTTGTGGGGTGGAGATTACTTCATTGTGTTCCTGAAATCCTTTTTTGTTCTGTAATGGATATTTAGATATTTGTTTCAATGTCGAATCAAATGAAATACAGCCGATTACAATGGATTAAATACTTTATCATTTGTGTAATCCTGAACACGACATTTTGTAGATAAAAACCATAAGTCAATCATACGTCATGTCTACAGTTAACAATAACTGTCATTGTCTATATTGATTGAGAAAGGTTGTAAAGGTTGGCCTCCACTAGACAAGAACTGATCTTACATAGGTTAGATTCTACGACTTGAACAATATTTATTTGAGTTTTAACAATGTACAAAGTATATCGTATTCTTGCTTTTTCAGTTTCTATTGTTTTGTACTAGTTAAGTCAAAGAAGTTGCTAGATTTGTTACGGCTGACTGTTTTATTAAGAAATGATATAGCATCAATTAAAGTATAAATACATATACATTTTTATTATTTTTGACTTGATAATTTGTATAGTGTGAATAAAATTTGTGATAAATGGAAAAGAAGTTGATCATTAGAATAAACAAAAATCATTCAAAGGAACGCTGATTTGAAGGCAAAGAATTTCTCGTGTGCGAAAGAAATTCATTTTTGCTAGACTAATAGCTCTAGTCAATAGTCATGTAATATTGACTGCGAAAAATGTATGTAGTAGATCGAAATTATTGTTTATCAAAGCTACCTCAAGGAAAAAAAAGTGGGTGAAAAATTGCAACTTTTTTCCTTTCACAGCTAGATGGCTGTGCTTTTACTCCGCACTAGGGCATTCCTCAATGACCCTGTATATCAAATTGGGGGCCCTACAGCAGTTGATTTTAGGATTTGAAAAAGAAACATCCCACTCGGGGCGTCAGATTGGACTGAAAACTTTCATACAGAGGGCGTTCTCGATGTGCTGAATATGAATCTGGGGTACATTGTTTCAATCTCTAATGGTTCTCGAGATATTTTCGATCAGAAATTGATAAAAACATCTGAAAGATAGCAGAAATTCAGTGATTTGCTTGGCAACGATCCCCAGTCAGTTGAGGTACTAGATCGAGCCATTTTTTATCAAAGGTACCGCATGGAAAGGAAAACAAGGGAGCTGTGCTTTTACTCCGTGCTAGGGCATACCTTCAGGACCCTGTATATCGAATTTGAAGGCCCTACGAATGAGTTGATTTTAGGCTCTGAAAAAAAAACGGGCCCTTATTTGAACTTTTTCATCCAACTCGAGACCTCAGAATGGGCTGGGAACTCGCATACAGGGTGTTCTCGATGTGCTGAAGAAGAATCTGAAGTCGCTTTATTCCTAATCTTTTCAGTTTCCGAAATATAAGCATTCGAAAAAGAAAAAATTCCAGAAGATCGTTGAACTCTAATGGCAGAGTTTTTTCCTGCGCCAAAGAACGGAATTAGTTCAATTTCACTAGCACTCATGGTTTCCACCTCGAAAAATTGCTGTACTAGTTGGGAACCATTATTTGTTAAAGGTACCTTGAGCTAAAGAAGCTCAGCTTCTCTTTCGCACTAGACCACTCCTTTCAAATTCGAAGGCCCTACGACAAAGTCAGAAACAAGGTTGAAAAAAACAAAGTAACGGCTGCTGATGGGGTTACCAGAGAAATGAAGAAAGAACAACTTCTCGTGAAATCCAATTTATTCAATAAAATAACTCAAACAGGAATCGCAACTTCCTTCGCGACCGCTTTCAGCGTCTGCTCCGTGTTCAGCCCCACGTTCTCGATCAACTTGGACACCGAGCACCAGAGTTCCCCGTGGTGGGGCTCTGCTGCCAAACACCGCTGCTTCACCTTCAACAATTACAACAATTACAGTATCGAGGTATGAATGGTATGATTCTACTTCTGCTCCATGATTTTCATTTACCAAAAATATAAAATAAAAGAAGTAGTATTTTTGGATTATGACAAAATTGATATTCATTCATACAGGACGTGGAAAGAAATTCAGAATTGAGCAAACACTGTGATTGAAGCCTTGGGATATAATCTTGATCCCTGGGTAATACTGATAGCCTTTACTACCAAGGTGTATATCGAATTTTTTTTCACCACGAGGAACACATTTCATTCATTTTGGTTTTGTGAAACTGAAATATAGATCTATTGTTGGTATGAAAGCACTTATTTTTAATTATGATTAAAATCTAGTAGCCATGACCATGAAAGCTCATGACATATGAATACCTACTAGAATCGAGTGCCATTCCTATGAATCTCGCATGAGAAGAGTGAATCGGCTATGTCTTTATTGACTAGTAGTTCATATTCAGTTTAAAATTGATCGAAATTATAAATGTGGTCCCTTGTCTTTAGATTTATGTAAAGCATTCGATACTCTGAATCATGATATTTTACTGAGTAAAATATATTCAATATGTATCAGAGGAATAGATAGCAGTATGTTGAAGTCGATAATATTTGTACCTCCATAAGGGAGATCAAATGTGGTGTACCACAAGGTTACGTTTACATCAATTCAATATCATCTTGGAAACTGAAAGGAGATCTTAAGTTTTTTGCAGATGATACTACAACAATCTTTTCCTCTAAAGAATTTAATAATATAATTGATGATATAAAAATTGACCTAAAAATTAAATGAATTTGTTCTACAAATTCATTAGCTGAGTCTTAACTATGACAAACCTATGTATATGTATATTTCAAGAAAAAACTGATATATCGAAAACAACAATATTTTTCGACCAGAAAGCCATAAAATATTTAGATGTTACAAAATTCTTAGGTCTTTATATTGATGAACAATTATCGTAGGCTACATATTATATAGATCACCTGAGATAAATGCTAAATCCAATTACTGACATTATATACAAAATTGGAAATTTAATTCCTATTACATATTTGAAGAATATATATTTCTGTCTGATTTACTCAAAATTACAATAAGTGATATCAATTTGGGGAAGCACAAGTATAACACATTTGAAACCATTAATGAAATTACAAAATAAAACAATTAAGTGCATTTACAATTCACATATTACCTGGAACCAACTATAAATCTTTACAAACCAAAAAAAATCTGTTGAATTTATCATATTTATATAAAATAGAAATTTGTTCTTTTATTCATTTTGTGAGAAAAAAATAAAAATATCCAACTTGAACTTTACTGAAGTAAATACAATTCATAGTCATGAAACGAGACAGTTGAATTCATTAATAGCAAATCCTTATTAGTATATTAAGTAATATGTGTTGTAAGTAGCATATTACGCACGAATGGAAAAGTTACGTAATTCCATGAGTGCGTAATTGCTTAACAACACGCATTACGTACTATACTTTACCTACTGCCGTATAGTAAATCAAAAAAGTTTGGACAAACTGTCTGAATTATAATTCTTGACACTTATATGTCATCTTCTGTTGACGACGATTACGCGACCATGACATATCTATACTGGCGGAATAAACGAAAACTGTGCGATGTGCTTACTGTGCGTAAATAGCTACTTACTGAAGCTGTAACTCGTGTGTTCTTGCCTACTTTCTATAGTGCCGTAGGTAAAACTCCATTATTGGCAAACAATCACTATTCTACAACGGAATCGTTTTATATAATTCATTACCTTATGATTTGCAACATATCGACGATGAAAAAAAATTCAAAGTCAATATGAAAAAATATATACTCATGACACTATGAACAAAGATATTTCTTGGGGTAATACAGAACAACAACAACGAAATGACGAAAACTACCTTGGTAGAAAAGACACACTTGACGCTTTGAAAAGTAGTAAGTGATGGTAGGTTCTGTAGCATTTATTATTACTCACCTCCTCCTGCTGCTCCTTGGTGCCGTGCAGCTGCTCGAAGCGGTACCAGAAGGCCCACGAGTCGCCCAGGTCCGGCTCGATCTTCAGCGTCCGCTGGAACCATTCGCGGCACTTGCCGATCTTCCTCTCCGACCAGAAGAGCTTGCTGACGGCCAGCAGCACGTGCGGATCGTGTTCGCATTTCTTCAGAGCGTCGACCTGACAAGGAATAAGCGAGTGGACTAATATTTTTTATTTCTCAAGTAGACTCATAATAATAATAGTAATAATAGACGTCTTTATTTGTTTTCATGTTTATACCAACATATACCAGAGCGAAGTTTAGCCATCATGGCTACTCTTACACCTAACCCTACACATTGATATACATAATTCACAAACTTAACTTACTCTAATCACTAAATGAAGTTAACTTGCAGTTGAAACTATGATACATTATAATTGAATATAATCTCCAATAGCATTCTGTTCCAACAATAAATGTTATTTGAGACGTTTTTTGAAAGAATAAATGTACAGGGTGGCCAACTAAGACTCCAGAGTTCGATTTCTCTGTTGTCTTGAGAGATACAAAAAAAAGTCATGCATCAAAATTGAAGAGATAACCAAGCTGCACATTTCAAAATTATTTTGGAATATACAGGGTGTTCCATGAGGTAACAGCATATCAAATTTATTATTGTTTTATATGAACACCCTATATATAATTGCATTCTTGGATTCTCCCTGAAGAGCTGATTCCAACATCTCATCATACTTGGGGTCTAGCAGTAATATTTACTAAGATAAAGGGTGTGAAAAATCAAGATTCTTCAAGTTCAGGACCTTTTTTGTGTCGAAACTATTCATTATTCGTCAAAACGGTTAACATGTCCCTATCTCAACTTTCCACTCACTATCAATGGGTGTTCAATTGGAATTGATACAAGGTGGTCAAAAAATCTAAATTTATAATTTGTTCTAATTAAATGTCAATTGAACACCAATTGATAGTGAGTGAAAAGTTGAGATAGGGACATGTAAACCGTTTTGACGAATAATGAACAGTTTCGACAGAAAAAAAACCTGAACTTGGAAAATCTCGATTTTGCATACCCTATATGTCAGTAACTTTCACTGCTAGACCCTAAGTATGATGGGTCGTTGAAATCAGATCTTCAGGGAGAATTCAAAAATGAAATAAAATATGGGGTGTTCCAATGAAAAAAACATAGCTATGATGTGCTGTGACCTTACGGAACACCCTGTGTATTTCAAAGAAATTTCGAAATGTGAAGCTCGGTTATCACTTCAATTTGAATGCAAAACTTTTTTTGTATCTCTCAAGACAACAGAGGTATCGAACTCTGGATTCTTAGTTTGCCACCCTGTACAATTTCACCGCATTATAGGAAAAAGATTTCTGGTATAATTCTGTCGAATGGCACAGTATATGCAACGAGTTGTTCACTCTTACATTCACACTGTTGGTGATTATGGTTAAATAGATTGGAATAGACGTAATCAATAAACGATGAACAAAAATAAGAAAATGATATTTCCACATGAAATCAATATTCATTCAGCCATCTGAGTGCACGAAAACAGTGACTGATATGATCAAATTCCCTGAGACCATAGATGGAGTGACAACAGGTATTTTGTATTCTTTGTAATCTTTTTTAGTTACCATGTCTAGATAAGAATAAAAAATTAAAAGACAATACTGAAGTATTGGCAAGACGATAGTTTCACAAAGTTTCTTTCTTAGGGAAACATTTAAAATACTTTTATTTGCATATAAGAGTTTCAACGACAGATATGATTTTTTTACTAAATTATTCACTTGACTCATCAACTTAAAATCAGTATCCATTATTGGGCAAAGATTCTCAGTCTCGGTAACCAGAGGTATGAAATTTTTTCACAATATGAAGAATAACTTCATGTCTAACAATTCCGTAAATATGCTTCGCGCAAAACAGCATAGCTAAATATTTCTTTGGATTCAGATTTAGAGCATGTCTTTAACAATAATAGTTCAAGAGTTTCAAGTCACTGTTCAACCTTTGGACTGCAACAGGAATATTTTCTAAATCGAAACTGTATTTTATTAGGGTATCATCAGCATATGATTGCATTTCTGAAAACTCAACATTTCTATATACATCAGGAGTGTATACAAGAAAGAGTAGTGGCCCCAAAATGGAACCGTGTGGTACCCCTGACCTAACATGACCTGCAGAAGATAAACCTTTATTTGTACGAACAAAGTAACTTATGGTCGACAGTGTCGAATGCTTTTGAAAAATCGAACAGCACCAGCACTGTCGCCTCTTCCTGTCAATGTTATAATATTATCATTTATCTTGATTAATGCACTTGTACTATGACCACGTCTAAAACCTAATTTTGTAATTCAATATACAGTGTGTCCCACTTACCATGCTCACCATGGGTATCTTTTTAACGGTGAGAGATACGAGGTCGGTTAAATGACACCAAATGTGGAGTTTGTCAAGGCCAACTATAATGTGAAAAAATATTTTGATAAAATCTATTCGTTTTTGTTTTATACGCAAAAAACAGATTTTGATCATTTTTATGTCTCCTTTGTAACTTCTTTATTTATGAAAATATTCAAATAGGAATTTCACATTCTCATGGCAGTTTTTCAAAGTGATTTAAATAAAATATGAAACGACCCCGCAAATTTTCAAGGTAATTTGGGTCCCGGTGGATTTTTCTCAATTTTCGGTATGATGTAGTTCATTTGATTCAATTACATATTGGCATTGCGCCAACCCCCAAAAATGAACAGTTTTTTTGCTAGGGGGGGTTGAATTCACATTTTGACCGAATTGATTATTTATTTCTGAGAGAATGAACAATATTCTAGGATTTTTCATTTCATCTAATTTCTCCTATGAATATATGCTTTTTGAAAAAAATATAGTGTGGGGGAATTATTACCCCAAACTCCCATTTTGAAAAACGAAAAAAAAGAGAATTCGCCTAACCGTCAAAAGTGATAGAAAATGTTCCATTACCCAGAATTATGGAAACCGCCTTTTTGTATTATTGCCCCTCACCGAATGGGAGGCGCCCATGAAAAAAAAGTTCGGTGGATTTCGCTGAATTTTTGATATGATGTACTCTATATGATACTGATCAGAAAATAATTGGGTGACAATCCTGAAAAATGGACAGTTTTCCTGCTACAGGGGGTTCAATTCACATTTTGAACACATAAATAGACTAGATGAGTACCTATTTGATTCTGAACTTCTTTTCAATATATCATCTCCATTCCCTATATTCCCTAACAATTATTCATCAAAAAATATTTTGAGGGGGGGTTATTACCCCTTCAAAAAGTATTTTGAGAAATATAAAACAAAAATACAGTGCCACCGTAGTACACTTGCCACATGTGCACATGGACCCAAAGTGTAAATCCATGCACCAAAGATGTTTTTCATGCGCACCCCCCCCACTTGGTGGAGAGGAGGCAATCATGCAAGAGAGCTTTTTCCATAATTTCACGTAATTAATCACTTTCCTATGCTCTTCACGGTGGCACTGTATTTTCGTTTTATATTTCTCAAAATACTTTTTGAAGGGGTAATAACCCCCCCTCAAAATATTTTTTGATGAATAATTGTTAGGGAATATAGGGAATGGAGATGATGTATTGAAAAGAAGTTCAGAATCAAATAGGTACTCATCTAGTCTATTTATGTGTTCAAAATGTGAATTGAACCCCCTGTAGAAGGAAAACTGTCCATTTTTCAGGATTGTCACCCAATTATTTTCTGATCAGTATCATATAGAGTACATCATATCAAAAATTCAGCGAAATCCACCGAACTTTTTTTTCATGGGCGCCTCCCATTCGGCGAGGGGCAATAATACAAAAAGGCGGTTTCCATAATTCTGGGTAATGGAACATTTTTTATCACTTTTGACGGTTAGGCGAATTCTCTTTTTTTTTCGTTTTTCAAAATGGGAGTTTGGGGTAATAATTCCCCCACACTATATTTTTTTCAAAAAGCATATATTCATAGGAGAAATTAGATGAAATAAAAAATCCTAGAATATTGTTCATTCTCTCAGAAATAAATAATCAATTCGGTCAAAATGTGAATTCAACCCCCCCTAGCAAAAAAACTGTTCATTTTTGGGGGTTGGCGCAATGCCAATATGTAATTGAATCAAATGAACTACATCATACCAAAAATTGAGAAAAATCCACCGGGACCCAAATTACCTTGAAAATTTGCGGGGTCCTTTATACCAACTCTAGAATTTGAGATATCAGCACCAACTTTAGTTTTTCAAATGTAGGTCATAGCTCACTATGACTTAGTTACAAATAACTTTTTTTTCTCTTACAGATGATATGTCGCAGTAATGGTTTTGTGTTTATAACAACGAAGTTATCGTCATTTATACAAAAACAAAAAATTATTTGGAAGCCGTCATCTTGAATTTATAAATTTCAACAAAAAAATCATGATTCCGACCTCAAAAACCCCCACTTACCAATTTTGAATGGAATCGGACCAAATCTTGTCCGCCATCTTGGAGCAGCCATATTTTTAATTACAAAAAAAATTCCATAACTCCGATTAACTTGAAATTTGACAGGTGTTCATAATTTTGGTGACAATACATTATGGAATTTTTGTTGAAATTAAACAAATGGCTGCTCCAAGATGGCGGACAAGATTTGGTCCGATTCCATTCAAAATTGGTGAATGGGGGTTTTTGAGGTCGGAGATCATGATTTTTTTGTTAAAATTTATGAATTCAAGATGGCGGCTTCCAAATAATTTTTTGTTTTTGTATAAATGACGGTAACTTCGTTGTTATCAACACAAAACTATTACTGCGACATATCATCTGTAAGAGAAAAAAAAGTTATTCTAACTAAGTCATAGTGAGCTATGACTTACATTTGAAAAACTAAAGTTGGTGCTGATATCTCAAATTCTAGAAGAGTTGGAATAAATTTCATATTTTTTTCGAAATCACTTTGAAAAACTGCCATGAGAATCTGAAATTCCTATTTGAATATTTTCATAAATAAAGAAGTTACAAAGGAGACATGAAAATGATCAAAATCGTTTTTTGCGTATAAAACAAAAACGGATAGATTTTATCAAAATATTTTCTCATATTATAGGTGGCCTTGACGAACTCCACATTTGGTGTCATTTAAACGACCTCGTATCTCTCACCGTTAAAAAGATACCCATGGTGAGCATGGTAAGTGGGACACACTGAATACGAATTTTTCGAAAATTTTGTTCAATACCGTCAATAAACTTATTTTTCGTGAGTCACAATAATCTGATGGATTATGATTCTTAGCTATAGGGTTTATGCCGAATTTGACGGGGAAAAATAAGCTGGGCGTTGTAAAAACGAAGGGTGCAACAAAAAATTTCATACGTTTTGCATCAAAAGTAATTGTTTAGTAGAAGGTCGGAATTGTTTTTTGAGATTCCATAATGAATAGTTTACTCTGTACTGGATCTTGTCTTGGATTTAAATTTTCTGCCACAATTAACTCAACTCTCTTAAATTACTTTGTCCATTGAGGTGGACATTTCAATTTTTACACAAAAAAAATATGTTGTTGTTTTCTCACATAGAAAATTCATAAAAATATAATGAAACAGGACTATAGAAAGAAACATTTTTTTCCGTACATCTTAAGAATTTGGCCCCGAAAGGGTTAAAGTGGGTGTTTTGTCGCGAGTTTTTTCCGCTCACCGATTTCGTTTTCCGTTGCGGCCGCGGCTCCATGAAGATGCTCTCGGCCCACAGAATCCCCGACTGGGGGCACTCCTGCAACGCCTTGGCCATCATCGCGTGGGCCATGTCCCGCATGCCGGCCCTGACTTCCACGCGGATGGCCTCCAGCCACAGCACGTCGTTCTTCGGGTTCTTCAGGCGGGCCTTCTCGAGCACCGAACGGGCCTTGATGAGGAGCCCGCGTTTTTCTTCCAGGTGGGACAGTAGGAGCCAGAGGGGTATGGAGTTGGGGCACTTTTTTATCTGGATAATGAAAATACAGGCCATAATCTATCAAGCATCGAACATGTTGATCCGGCTCGAAGGACTAATATGTTCGATGCTTGATAGATAGTGGACTGTATTTGTATGATTATATGATGATGAAATGAAGATTGAAAAAAACTGCAATTCGAATTGCACTTGCAAATAGATGGACTTGAGCATAAAATGATAAAATATCAACATTATATAGAAAATCGTTAAAAGTACTGTATCGTCTCCCATTTGATACACCAACCAATCAATTGAACGAAACAACAAAAACGTAATCTTTAGAAGAAATCTCTAAAATTGCAACTCTTGAAATTTCACATAATATCATGAATAAAGAATTGAAATCGAATATTATTTTGATACGGAATTCTGGAATTCATAATCATGAAACTAGACAAAACACTGTACCGCAAAATTTTACGATCTTTCTCGCGCCTTCGACACTGTTAATAACAATATCTCGATGAAAAAATTCGAGCATTATGGGGTAAAAGGCAAGCAGCTGAACTTATTCATGTCTTATCTCACGGATAGAAAAGCTAGAGTCAAATCGCAAGACGGTGTATCTCACTTTGTAACAACAGAGCACGGAGTACCTCAGGGATCAGTTTTAGGACCTGTACTTTTCATTATCTATGTCAATGATTGTTCAACTTAGTTCATGTTAGTGAAGGTATACATCCTATTGGGTATGCTGATGTCGTGTCTATAATTCACTGTGATCGAAATGAAAAAACACTTAGTGACAAAATGTCCAACACTGAAAAAATGATTCAAATTTGGAATGAGAGTAATTATCTTAGTCTCAATAATGGGAAGACTCAAGATCTGAATTTCAAGTTGAACAATGGTTCAGAAAGAAACGTGGTTAAATTGCTTGGAGTACATCCAGATGCAGGTCTGAATTTTTTGCTTCACATTGATCAATTATGTAAGCGTCTAGCAACATCAACCATACAGTGTGTCCCACTTACCATGATCACAATGGGTATCTTTTTAACAGTGAGAGATACGAGGTCGGTTAAATCACACCAAATGTGGAGTTTGTCAAGGCCAACTATAACGTGAAAATATATTTTGATAAAATCTATTCGGTTTTGTTTTATACGCAAAAAACAGATTTTGATCATTTCCATGTCTCCTCCGTAACTTCTTTATTTATGGAAATATTCAAATAAGAATTTCACATTCTCATGGCAGTTTTTCAAAGTGATTTCGAAAAAAATATGAAATTTATACCAACTCTTCTAGAATTTGGGATAGCAGCACCAACTTTAGTTTTTCAAATGCAGGTCATAGCTCACTATGACTAAGTTACAAATAACTTCTTTTTCTCTTACAGATGATATGTCGCAGTAATAGTTTTGTGTTGATAACAACGGAGTTATCGTCATTTATACAAAAACAAAAAATTATTTGGATGCCGCCATCTTAAATTTATAAATTTTAACAAAAAAATCATGATCTCCGACCTTAAAAACACCCACTCACCAATTTTGAATGGAATCGGACCAAATCTTGTCCGCCATCTTGGAGCAGCCATTTTTTTTAATTTCAACAAAAAATCCATAACTCCGATTAACTTGAAATTTTACAGGTGTTCATAATTTAGGTGGCAATACATTATGGAATTTTTGTTGAAATTAAAAAAAATGGCTGCTTCAAGATGGCGGACAAGATTTTGTCCGATTCCATTCAGAATTGGTGAGTGGTGGCTTTGGAGGTCGGAGATCATGATTTTTTTGTTAAAATTTATAAATTCAAGATGGCGGCTTCCAAATAATTTTTTGTTTTTGTATAAATGACGATAACTCCGTTGTTATCAACACAAAACTATTAATGCGACAAATCATCTGTAAGAGAAAAAAAAGTTATTCGTAACTAAGTCATAGTGAGCGTTGACCTACCTACATTTGAAAAACTAAAGTTGGTGCTGATATCTCAAATTCTAGAAGAGTTTGTGTAAATCTCATATTTTTTTCGGAATCACTTCGAAAAACTGCCACGAGAATGTGAAATTCCTATTTGAATATTTTCATAAATGAAGAAGTTACGGAGGAGACATGAAAATGATCAAAATCCGTTTTTTGCGTATAAAACAAAAACGAATAGATTTTTTCAAAATATTTTTTCACATTATAGTTGGCCTTGATAAACTCCACATTTGGTGTCATTTAACCGACCTCGTATCTCTCACCGTTAAAAAGATACCCATGGTGAGCATGGTAAGTGGGACACACTGTATATTGAGACAGCTGAAGGGTAAACTGAGTGATGAATATCTCAGAGTTTCTTTTTCTCAATATTTCATTCAGTGAGGACATATGCCTTGATAGTGTGGGGTGCATCAACGCATTCTACAAAAATTTTCATTTTGCAAAAAAAAAGTTCTAAGGATAATGGCAGGAGTAAGTTATACAGAACAATCCAAACCATTATTCAAACGATTCAAAATTTTAACACATATATGAATGTGTCATTCACATGAAGAAAGAAATGTATGATACTCAATCTGGAATAACTAGAACTACAAGAGGAAAGATGAATATAAGATTACCGAGACTAAAAATTTCAAAAACAAAATCTTCATTAAAATATCTCGCCATGAAATTTTTCAATGTTCTTCCAGACGAACTCAAAGGTAGATCTATGAAGTATATAATCATGAACTTCCTTATACCAGAGCCTATTTTGTCTGGAAAATATTGGTTCAATAAATGAAAAAAAAAATGATTAGAGAAATCGGCCATATTTTGCTGGCGCGTCTATGATTCTCTCCTTCCAGATCACTGGTGATGCAAACTGTCAAAACGCTGGCCAATCGAAAAATGGGCCTTTGTAATCCCACACCTGACCCCAAAATACTTACCCCCGAATTGTAAGCGTCGAAAGCTTTGGACATATCCATTCTCTGCTCGTGTATCTGCCCTATCATCATCCACAATTTCGGATAGTCGGGGAACACCTTGAGAGCGTCGTCCAGCAACTGCAGCGCTCCGTTCAGATCGTTCAGCGACCATTCCAGTTTGGCGCTTTTCATCATGACGCGAGGCGTCGGAGCAGATCCTTAAACAAAAGAAAACTTCAGCCGGAGATTGATTGAGATCATTTTTATAACTTTATGATTATGTGATATGTTATAACTTGTTGACTCAGGCTATATTCAGAATTCAACTGACAGTACTGAATCTGCTGATTTTTCATTCCGAAATCAAAAAAATCACTGAATGTGACAGATGCTTGTGAGCAGATATACTATTCATTCCAAATATTTTGACTCAACATTCTGCTGAAATTCCTGAGTATCAAAAGGTGGTGTGGCTTCAGTAAGCTGTCATTATTTTAGAGAAGGAAGGAATGTAACATTTATTTCCGTTGTTAATTATATTATTTTTAATATCAGAAAATACCCATTATTGAAATAATAAACGCTGAGAATAATATGGAGTATGAAGTAGAAGAGGTAACGAAAGAAGAAGCAGCATTGGGTAAATAAATATCTGAATAAACCTGAAATGTCTCCTAAATGAATCATCATCAATGCCATATTACATAAATGTCCAAATATTCTTCATCACTCGAGCTTGAATCGTCATCGTCAACAGTCGAAGAAACTAGAAGGCTACAAGAACCGATTGCTCTTCCATGTTAAATATTAAATTTCCAAAATCTATGTCAAGCAACAGGCTAAATTATCTAGTTCAGATAAACGAGAAACTCAGACTGATAAATTTCACGAGCTGATCAACTGCTGCTGACTAGAGTCACTGTATGGTATTAGTTTGATAAGAGTTCGGACACAGCTGAACTTTTGTCCTTTTCTATTTTCTATAATGCAATGGTTTAAGTGAATAAAAGAATAAGACATATATTCTGCTCTTTGTCTTTTCAATTTCCCTAGTAGTGCCTGATTGTCAGATGCGATTTTAGAGGTTATATTTTCTGTCAAATCAATCATAGCCGTAGATGGACAATATGGATATAGGGTACAAACACCCACTTCAATTCATAGTGATACCTACACTTCTAGCAGAGCAAGATTTAATATCAGAGAATATATACATATGGATAAACTTATAGCTATAATTCCTTATTGTATGTGAAACTGTACTCCAGTGAAGTATTCCTGAGACAATTTTAAGAAATAAAGTCTTTACAAGCTTGTGTCTGGAAATGCTTCATTTTGGAGATACAGGGTGTTGAAATCCAGAGAACAAATCATTTTTCGATAAAGATTTCATGGGAAAAAATAATTTATTTTGACGAGACCTACCAAATACTTGGTTTTGTTAAGTTCTCAGCAACTTCACTTAGCGTCCTAGGAGCTAAGTAACATGGATCGATATAGAAAATATCTCCAAAACGATAACCTCCAGCGTTATTAAGGCCCTTATTATAATTCCCTTGATACATAAATATCTATTCACTTTTCACTGTTGAATTTTTAATTCGCGGTCAGCACCAAAAACGCCATTCAATAATACATCACGTTGTAGTTTACTTGCTTTTCTGAGTTTCGTTTTCAAATTTTCAATTTCATAATGTGATTTTGCGATCATTTCCCCTTTTTCAATGATTATTTTGTTTTGTATTTTGTGTGATGATAATATTGGAATTTTGTTCTTGAAATCGTTTGCTTTGTAAATTGATGGAACAGCAGATTCTCTCGAACAGATTTTGGAATCTTCTGTTTGAAAATGGGCCTAAAATATAGATTCATTCTAATCAGATGCTGTTATAAAAAGTGAATTTCAATGAGTACCTCACAAATTCCGCTCGTCTTCAAATTGATTTTCCACCCAGGCCGTTTCATATCTTCCTTCCATAAGCGAATGCTCGATATTTGATTTGTAAAATCGAATAAATGATATCCATTTGTTTCATAATTGGCACACTTTATTATACAGCAAGTGATTTCCATAGCTGCTTTTATCTCGAAAGTATAATAATTATGAAATTTCATTTCAATTCTGACGTTTATAAAATGAATTGTCAAATTCAAACAATTTTGAATGAAAAATCGCGGGACGACTATGATGCTCTTGTCACAATGCAAGGTGTGTAACTTGATAAATCTACACATTCAAAAACCCTAACCGTTGTCATTTCTGTGTCCGAACTCTTATCAAACTAATACCATCCAGTGACTCTACTGCTGACTACTGATGAAAACCATGAAAACGTGTTCCGAATTATAGCACTGTATTTTTGATTTTATATTTCGGAACACAGATTTTCAGCAGAGTCAGTGGATCTACTAACAGTACTGAACAGTTGAATTCAGAATATAGCCTCAGTGTCGACGCTATGAATTTTGAGCTCAGCTGTCATGGAAGCTGCTATTCAATAGCTCAGAGCCCGAAACTAACCCGTAGAAATTGGCATTGACAAACGTGTCTGGATTTTTTGTTGCATGAATTCAATGAGGGCTAGCATAATTTTGTGTTCACCAGATCCGGCTACCAAAACATAAGTTCAAAGTTGGTAGTGGAGTGGCCTTTTCCTACGATATCTTCTTCTCCGTCAATGGAAGAATTGGTCGTAAAGTTCCACATTGAGTGTTAAAAAACGTTAGTCTGCTCAAGTCCTTCCATAACTCGAGGTATCCTATTTGTTCAAATATTCTACATCATGTTTCCTGAATATTCTCGATAAAACCGGCCACAGTCTTCTTCTGGGATTTTTGACTTTGACATTAACCTCACGTTTTATTGCGCCAACTGAGAATGCTAGCCCTTATTTCTCTGATGGAGTTAAAAAGAGACATAAAAATATTTCCTAGGAAAGAAGTTACTGGAAATAATCAAGATACAGAATTTCCAGAAGAAATATGTGATTAACTCTTCGAAGCAGACGACCATACTGTTTTTTACTTTCATATTACTGCTGAAGTGTCTTAGCAAATTGATAGATCATTTCTTGTCGCCATTTCGGCATTTTGGTGTACGTTTTTCGAGCTCCACCATGGGGTTCTCAGTTAATATAAGATATACGAGGTCAGTTGAATTAGTGCAAAGTTGCGCATTTTCATGCTGACCATGTAGAAGCAAGAAAATTTGATCTGTCAGTTTTAATTTTTGAATTACTGGAAGGAAACGAAAATTTATAATTTTCTTTTTTATTTTTTCAAACAAAAACCAAGAGACCTAGACGTTTCTGACTGAGACATTCTCAAGGCACTGTTTTTACAAGGAATCTGAATCTGTCATTGTATTTTCCATGACGTTCTTGATGCCAAAGTAACAACACACAACTTTGTTTTTCTTGGGTTTTTGCATTTTGAAGAGTTTTTTTTTCACAATGGAATAATTTTATACAATTCATTACCGAATGAGTTGAAAAATATACATGATGCGAGAAGGTTTAAAATCAATATTGAAAAATACTTGCTCAGGACAATTTGAATGAAAAATATGTGGCATGATTTGATTACTTAGGAATGAAATATAACTTTGATCTTATAAGACACAATATTAATTCGTTTCCACTGAGTGCAATTCATTATAGTTAATCCTTTATTATTATTTTTTATATTATTATGTATTTATGTATCCCTATCATAAACAGAAATGTTTCTTGGGGTAATAAAGACAATCAATCAATCAATCAATCAATAATGTATCACACGATATGATTGAATCTTTCCTGTTGATCAAAATTGGGAAAAAACCATTTTTGCGAAGAGTGCTTTGGAAGGAACACCAACAGTTTTGTTTAACAAACTGAATTTTGACATGTCAATTGAATAAGACAACTGTTGAATTCTCAAGCTTATATTATATGTGATACATTATTGTAATAAAAAAGACTTAAAAAATGCGAAAAATCAAATATGGCGCCCATAAGGAGAAACAATGTTTAGTGTTGTGATTTTGGCATCAAGAACGTGATGGAAGATACGATGACAGATTCAGATTCCTTGTAAAAAATTGCCTTGATAATGTCCTAGTCAGAAACGTCTAGGTCTTTTGTTTTCCGGTTGAAAAAATGAAAACGAAAATTAATAATTTTATTTGTACTTGTTCTTCGGAAGCAGAAACAAATGTATTTCTTTGACATACACTTTTTCTATGATTTTTTACTGATTGCGTATTTTGCGCAGTGAAGCAGGAATTCGAGAAACTGCCGACACGCCGATTGTTCGATTCGATTTTTAAACCATCGGTCCGCTATCTGTTATAATTATTCGCTGGTTCCGGTATATTCTGCATGTTTCAGCAATCGATAAACAAGATTGCACCCCTAGAACATTACTCAGTGTGGTGGATCTGGTCGGCCTACCCCTCCAAGCTGCTAAGAAGATCATAGCAGTTAACAGTCTACATATCAAGGTACGGCTATTATTTCTGTTTCACTGCACTCGAATTCGATTGTTCGCATTCTTCTATTCGATAAAGATTATTTCAAAAAAGGAATACTACTCCCTGATTTAACCGACCTCGTATCTCACAATGTCAGGGCATGTGTTACCTCTGGCTTTGGCTAGAAGCCTCCTCGCCCTCTCGTATTCCTTATTCTCGGATTCCAGTTTGACGGCCGCCAGCCAGATTTCTTCACTGTTCGGATTCGCTTGGAAGGCAAGAGACAGAATTCCTCTAGCAGCCGGTACGTCCCCGGCCAGCCATTTACTCTTCGCTCCCATCAGCCAAAGAACCTAAAAGATATATGAGTTCATAATTTTTTTGTGTTTTTGTGTACATACAAAGTGTTTCTCGGTGGATGGAACATTAGAAGTATCTGGAGAACCGATCGACAGATGTCACGCAGAATATTGAATTACATCCTCCCAAAATCTATGCATCGATACGTATTGTAATGATATTCCTCTTAGAGGGGCTGTAGAAACATCAGCAGGAAGGCAGGAGTACAACGATCATCCTGTAACACGCATCCCAGATTATTCTTCAACATCCCAATGATTCCTACATGTACCAGCCAGTTTCCGAACACTCAATATATGTCGCTGTGACAAATAACGTTACAGAAGATTCTGGAATGATTTGGAAACAATCCATGGAACAAATATAGAGATAGAGGTGTTGTTCTAAGAAGCTTCTAGAAGAAAATGGCTCCACTCTAACCTTTTATCGATAAATACTAACAAAACAGAATATATGATTTTTCACCAAAAAAATAAACAAAAAATTTACCTCAATCTTAAAATGAAAAATGAACTCTTAAAAAACAAACTGACCAGATAAAATATCTTGGAATTTGGTTTGATGACAGGTTGAAGTGAGACAAACATATTGATGTTCTGACAAAAAAAATATCTCCAATTATTGGTGCATTGAGAAGATGTTCCAAACTTGATATTCAAATTGCAAACATGATTCTCTACTCTCATATACTGAGTCGTATCAACTATTTAATAAATGTTTGGGGAACTTGTTCAAAGAACAATTTCAATAAAATATCAACATTATATAGAAAATCGTTAAAAGTATTGTATCGTCCCCCATTTGATACACCCACCAATCAATTGTATGAAATAGCAAATACGTATTCTTTAGATGAAATATATAGAAATGAAACTCATAAAATATCATATAATATCATATATGAAAAATTGAAGTCGAATTTTATGTTGATACGGAATTCTGAAATTCATAATCATCAAACAAGACAATATAACTTGTTTCATCTTGACGCCGCTAGCTCCATTATCGGACAAAAAAGATTCACTCATTCAGCCTTAACTGGATTCAATAAACTACCTGACAATATAAAAAAATTGCAGAAACATAGGTTCATTCAAAAATGAAGTGAAAAAATTGATTATTTCTGAGCGAACTGGATAAAATTGAACATGCAGATATTGAATATAGGTATATAATTATGTACTTCCTTATACCAGAGCCTATTCTGTCTGGGAGTTATTTGTTCGATAAATAAATAAAATAAATAAATAAATAAAATAAATTCGAGAACGTTCGAGAAGCAACGCCTACCAAGGGATCCCATATCGTTGATTCCATATATATGGACGTCCGGACAACTGGCGTCAGGCAGTCAAGCAGCGAGTGTCAGAAAGACAGTCATATACCGCGTGATATAAATCATTTTACATAAACAGTGGTTATAAGTGCGGTATAAATTAGTGTTCCTTTAGTTAAAATAAATCAGTTCGAAAATAAATAGTGTCGTGTTCGCTTCAGCACCCGAATAACGTAACAGTATGAACGAATACTAATGCAAGTGTTTCTTTCCCGAATGCCGACTGTTTTCCATTTAGCCAGGTTAACGGCGGTCTTCGGATTGCTAGCTGGAGACTACCCAACCCTGATGAGAGTCATGGAGCTCTGTTCTGCGTGGCATTAGCCAGGAAAGTAGTTGTTTTTCTCTCCTCATCCACCATTGTTGTTCATTTTATGATCATTTGTGGAAATTACTTTGAGCTTTTTTGTATTTATATAGTAGCTACTTTGTAGGATGTATAGTATGATGCGAACAATCCATTGGCATCATTTGAAATTTTATACAGGGTATAATTTTTCTTATGGAACACCGGAAATGTCGATTTGGATTGAGTATATCAGATATTTTTCATACGAATAGTTATTCGTCAAAGGCCAATGAAAGAACGCGAACTTGAAAGGGATAGAACTTAATTATCCACGCCCACAAATTTCCGAGATGATCTGTCGTTCGGTTCTCCATATACTTCTAATGTTCTATCCACCATGAAAAACCTTGTATAGTGCAACATAGAGTGTCTACAAGATCTGATGTAGGATGCTTTTTGAAGATTAAGAACTAACTTAAAAAAACACAGTCTTTCAGAGAAGTTACCTCGCTTTTCGGACAATGGGCGACAGCTCTCTGTAAAAGATTCTCCAAACTTTCCCTAGTACCATGATTTTTTTCCAGATAAGCAGCCCTCAACCAAATAGATTTCTTCCCAGGGAATGCCTGCAGAGCTATATTGTACACCGTTCTTGCACATTCAAATGCACCTTGGTTCACACACTGAAAGGAGAGCCATAGTTATAAAATCTAGTTATCTAAGCCATTGTCGATCTAAATTAAAACGCTAGTTAATAGGCGAGAGGTATATTTTCTGTTCATTGGGAAAAAACAATAGCGAACATCTACATAAACTGAGTTGTTTTTTTTATTCCTAACCTAAAAATACTTCATGCCAAGCATAGACTGTCAAGTTTGTGAATAAAAATCTTCCATGTTGAAACTCGAGCATGAAACATTATCAATAAAGCTATTTATCAAGTATGAAAATGATCTACCTATATTCAGAAATGGAAGCAACAAGTTGTTCACACAATGCTATATTGGCTCGATTTATGATGCTATTTGAATTTGAGTAAGAGCTGAAACTCGAATACTGAACAGTCTGGCAATTTCCTCCATGAAGGGACAGCTGCAAAAACAATTCCTCAAAATATGGCAGGACACTCCATGAATTGGAATGTTCCATTCTGTGATGTGCAGTGCGATATTGGTATGGGGGCACGTACCACAGTCAAAGAGAATATTTGCGTTGCAAAGAAAGGCTATGAGAATTATTGCAGGACTAGGGTATATGGATGACTGCCGTGAGGTATTTGGCGAGCTTGATGTGTTGACTCTGCCATGTGTATACATACTCGAATGCCTGATATACGTTCACAAAAATAAAAATTTATATAGGACTCACGCTGAAAATCACGAAATTCAGACAAGAGGTAGGAATAGGTTAATACCAGTCCATCAACGTCTAACAAGGTGTCAAGACGGCCCTGGGTACTTGGCTGTAAAATTTTACAATAAAATTCCTATCAATATCATAAATTTAGAATTTGATAATTTCAAGAAAGAAATAAGAGGTTTACTCAATCAACGCAGGTTTTTTTCAATAGATGAATTTTAAAACTACAACTTCTGATAAGAAACGAGTTTTAACATAACTTTAAGGTACTCAGTACAGTGTCTAAAATTTTGTATTAGTATATGTGTTTTTATATTTTTTGTAACAGTAATTGAATTATGTATTATAGCTTGACGTGTGTAAATACAATTGTATGTTAACATAAATAAATAAATGAAATGAAATGAAATGAAATGAATGAGACAATCGAAGCTCCACATAAAGGAACCTTCGGGAAGACTCACAAAAGAGGTTTTATCCCTCAACAGGCGAGACCTTAAAATGGTAGTAGGGCTCCTAAGGGGGCACAACCACCTCAATAGGCATCTACAGCTTATTGGGATCAAAGATGATCCCTTTTGCCGATGGTGCCTGGAAGATGACGAAACGTCATCGCATGTCCTCACTGAGTGCCCAGCACTGATACATCAGAGGAGGGCTGTCTTTGGCAACATAATTTTGAGGCCAGAGGACGTGAAAGAGATTCAGCTAAGGAAGCTGCTGAACTTCTCCAAAGAAGTCGGCATACCCAGCTGAATGTCGGAACATGTGGGCGCATAATGGGCCCGAATATGGAGGTCTACGTGCAAGGGTGTGCTTTTTTCCTTTATATTTTTGATAAGCTGTCAGTTCGATTGGGTAAAAGTGCACTTATCATGCGATGGGGTTTTTTTCGAAAATTTTTTTGGTACTTACGTATTTTCGTCTGAAAAACACGAATTTCATAATGAAAATGTGAACAAACCATTATTTATTAAGATATTTCACTATAAAGTTACAAATTTCACCATCTTTTCCGCCTGTCTTCTGGATCACATTTAGAACAATTTGCCCTTCTTTTTCCATCATTGGACAATTTATATATATCACACAATGTTGGACACATTTTTTTTATTATATGAGTCAACTAGAAATATGATTTTCTTGTGATTTGTCCATTTTTAGTGAAGAGAAGGAAGAATATCATTTGAAATAATGGCGTGTGTAATGGCATTCCAAAGCAATCTATTGACATTTGACATCTCGTATTTGGTTTGCATATGGATTAAATGGACTAAATAGGAAAAACTCGCCATAAAAATCATATTTCCTGTTGAATTTTCTATCTTAAAATGTGTCAGTGAAGTACATCATGAGTATATAAAGTGTCCAATGACAAAATAATAAGAGCAAGTACCTGTAAATGCATTCAACACAAGGGGGAAAAGGCAAAATTTCGAACTTTTTCTTGAAATATCTCGATAAATAGTGGTTTGTTCACATTTTCTTTATGAAATTCGTGTTTTTCAGACGAAAATATGTAAGTACCAAAAAAATTTTTCGAAAAAAACCCCCATCGCATGATAAGTGCACTTTTACCCAACTGATGCTATCTGAAATACATGTGACTATTCTGAAATAAAATCGACGCTTCCTGAAATAAATAAATAAATAAATAATGGAAGATGTAGATAGACTTCCTTGAAAGTACCTACTAACAAATACAAACAACAAATACAAACCAACAAATTAATAGAGAACAAGCAACACTAGACAAGAAATAACTAATGAAAGATACAACCGCAAATCTGAAAGATTCGACGAGAAATTAATCAAGAAAGGTAGTCAACAATCAACCAAAAGACGTCAAAACGGTCAGGTACCAATCTTTCCAAATATTTTTCTTCTCATTTATCATTATCTGTGGTTGACTGGCTGAGTAGTGTTTGGAAAAAACAGAAGAAGACAAATTGAACCTAAAATTGTGTCAGTGAAATTGAAACAAATCGGTTGCGTCCAAGAACTGTCAGATGACCGACCCTGGAGGTGAAACATTGATACAGAACCTCACTTTTCTTACTTATGTTATGTTATTTTGGCATATGAATCGTGATTTTCGGCTATTAATTAATTCACATTGTGCTGTTGTATAATGTACAAAAAATGCAGCAAGAGATGAAGGAATCTGGTTGGTACATTACATTATGATTTAAAAGTAAGTACCTACTATAGTCACTCACATATAGTTGTCATTTCGAAATTTGGTAATTTCTCTGACTTCTCATCGGCATTCCTTCTGCAATAGATGCTAATAGAAATACTCGTGAAATTTCTAAAAGAATGCAAGAAGATTGGATTCATGCAGTCAAACGGGAGGACTGGTCTGACATGCTAACGAAAGATGATCGTGTGTGTTGAAGACATTTTCAATCTATTAGCAGTATTTGCTTCTATTGCGAAAGTGGCAGAAGGAATTTCAATAAGAAATGACAACATTTCATAATGAAAACTATGTGAGATTACTATTTACCTAAAAAATCATATTCCTTCGTCTCTCGCTGCATTTTTTGTGCATTGTACAACAGCACAATGAGAGGGATGTTTGAATTAATGAATAGCACAAAAAACACGATTCGTATGCCAAAATATTGTGAAAAACTAGTTGAATCCTTTGATTTCTCTGTAAACGAATAAAGAAAGTGAGGTTGTGTTTCGATGTTTTACAGAAAAGTGGGGTTGTGTTTCAATGTTTCAACTCCAGAGTCGGTCATCGTGCACGCGACCTATGAGCTATTGACAGTTTCCTATACAGTAGCGCCATAGCCAGACAGAAAATGTTGGGTCAATGAACAGAAAATATTATACCTGTCGCCTACTAACCAGCTTCTCCATTTAGATCGACAATAGCTAATCCATCTATGTTTTGCACTCATCAAAATAATGATTAGATTTGAGGCTAACATGTTCTGCGTCCTCCATCCAAGTGTGCTTCTGATCTTCCGGTTCAACTCCGCAAGTGATGATGGACCGGACGATGGCTCGACAACAATGTATGTGACCGCCTTTTTCGCTCTCGATCGCTTCTTTGAACCATTGCTCCCTGTTGATTTCCACGCCGTTTGAGCTGAGCGATGTTATCGCTCGCTCTATGATTTTTTCCACCATGGGGTGATTTCCTGACAAAAACATTTTATATTTGCATATGATAAAGCAAGAATCCAAACATATAATTAAAACAAGTCGAAGCCCTGAGGGGGCAGAAGGACGATCTAGCCTTCATAGCCATCTAGTGGCTTAAGTGCAAGGTGTATAGGTAGATTCATCAATCATACCTTGCGACTAAGTCGTGCATATAGACCCCTACGTCTATATGCTTACAGAAAAGACATCCATGTCAGATTCTGTAGACTATCGCAACACCTGTAATTCTCAAAGTGGTTTAATGTTCCACTAACAGATGGTGATAAACCTAGAATCTCAAGACTAAGAGATTCTAGGGAATTTCGTTAATCGATTGTCAGCTGATGCAAGACAGACTGTTTCAACTTGCCATAAGTCTCATCAGTTGCACTGGCCTAGAATCTCTTAGTCTTGAGATTCTAGGTTTATCACCATCTGTTAGTGGAACATTAAACCACTTTGAGAATTACAGGTGTTGCGATAGTCTACAGAATCTGACATGGATGTCTTTTCTGTAAGCATATAGACGTAGGGGTCTATATGCACGACTTAGTCGCAAGGTATGATTGATGAATCTACCTATACACCTTGCACTTAAGCCACTAGATGGCTATGGAGGCTAGATCGTCCTTCTGACCCCTCAGGGCTTCGACTTGTTTGATATATGGAGGTATCCTTCGTGAATCGATTGTCAGCTGGCCAGTGCAACTGATGAGACTTATGGCAAGTCGAAACAGTCTGTCTCGCATCAGCTGACAATCGATTCACGAAATTCCCTAGAATCTCTTAGTCTTGAGATTCTAGGTTTATCATATAATTAAAAGTATTGATGAGAGCAAAGCAACTATTCTTATTTTACTTGACTTTTTCAAAGCCTTCGGTTTGATTAACCATAAATTATTATTATCTGAATTGCATTTTCTTGGATTCAGTGAGTCTGCATGTGAGTTAATGAGTTCATATTTGACTGACCGAAGTCAAAGGTAATTTTGAATGAAGAAGTATAACAGGTCTTAGATGTATCATGTGGCGTACCTCAAGGTAGCATATTAACTATGATTGAAAATAGCCCTTTTTATATGGCGAACGGTCTCATACATGACTCAGTATATCAAATAGCACTACCTCTCATCTATTGATTCGTTTACCACCGTTCAATTAATACTTCGAAAGTGTTACAAATTGAGAGAATTCCAAACGGCCTTTGTTCGCGGTGTGACGTCACTTGTATTTTCTTGAGGCTCCTTTGACGACCCAAAGAGGATGCGTTGCACAAAACCACAGACACAGATCTCGAGCACAGAGTGGTTGGGTGATCTGTGACTGGAGAGAAAAATGGCTACAAAACAAACTATAGAAGAAAGAGATTAACTTCGAAATCTAGTTCATAGTTCATTATTTCACTGCATTATCAGTGATCTATCAGTGTAATATTATAGTTTATTGAGTGACAAATGCAATGACAAATGGTGACAAGACCAACTGACAAGACGAATTACCCAATGAGAATGTCCGTCCGAAGTGTATGACGCGGTGTGACGCACCTTGTATTCGTCCAATGAAATGCCATCAATATTTCGCGCGCATTCCAGCTATCCTTCGAATTTAGGTTCATTTAATAATGTTTTTCTGGGTCGCGATTTTACTAAATATACTGCACGCTAGCACAAACCCCGCCCACCGTAACGCCTCATATCTCCAAACATCACCGATATACTCGGAGTCAGCATATCGCACTAAATATACTGTGCTCCAACGCATTAATACACTTTTTATAATTTTGACACAAATTCGACTGAAGCTCTATCGCTGTCAATCTCTTGTATGCAGTAAATTTATATACCCACCCAAACGGTCTACTGGTTAGCGCTGTCGACTTTCAGTCTGAAGGTCCATGGTTCGAATCGCTGTGAACTTGTAATTTGCTTGCAACCTTTTTTTTCACAAATGTTTTTTGACTTCATTCTGGTTTTCCTTCTTCAGAAAATATTTGAAGTCAAATAGGTTAGTGCGTTTAGGATCAATTTATTCAATTTTATTGAAGAACTTGATTTTTGAAATATATTATTGATCAATGTGTTTTTACACTGTATTCTGGTTTTCCTTCCTCAAAAATATTGCAATCAGGAATAGGTTAGTTCGTCAAGGATAAATAGTCTCTGAGTTTTGCCTAAGTAAAGTACTTTGAAGATGAGATATCACGGTGGGCGTGGTTTGTGCCAGCGTACAGTATATTTAGTAAAATCGCTTCTGGGTCAACTGCAATCGTAAGAAAATTGAAAGAATGCTGAATTCACCCAGTATGTGTTCTTGATCGTGAAAAAAAATTCGAAAAATCATGGCGAAATTCCTTATAGCATGAATCCAATTATTAAACTAGCTTTCATTAAACATTGCCAGCTAACTTTACTAAACCAATTTTTCTCACAAATTCATATTTGTGACATAACTCCTTCTTCCACTTGCCCCTTCAATTATTTAAATCATCGTTCTTTCCATGCCGAAGACATTGTGTAAACTAGTATATCCTTAATATTTCTCAAATAACTTCAATTCATACCATTCGCTTCTTCTAATTTAGCCGCCGTCGTCCAAATCTGCTTGTCAGTTGGTATGTTCTCTCTGGCCTTGTTCAGCACTTTCCTTGCATTTTCATAGGTTTCCAGGCGTGCCAAGGCCAACCACAGTTCCACCGCGCTGGGGCAGCACTCCACCGCCCTGGAAAGCAATATTCTCGCGTCTTCCGGATTCTCGATTTCCACGGCGGCTTTCCAGAGTCGCACCGAGTTCGGAATGTGCTCCAGAGCTTTGCGGAACACTCTTCGCTTGGCTTTCGTTTCTTCTTCTAGGTCGGCCGCTTTGATCCAAATACGCACCTAAATAAATCTAGGAATGTGAAAGCTTTGTGGTGCCTTTTATATGATGATTCAATTCAATTCAATTCAAAATATACTTTATTGTCTTAAGTTATCACTTGTTGACAAAGCTTGTTATACACATAAAATACATAAAAAATAAATAAATGAACAACACTAGTTTTAAAATAACACACTTGTTGACAACACTTGAAATGTATATAAATAAATAAAAATAAATCAATCCAACAGACAAAATAGGTAATGTAAATATATATACACACAGCAATTTGAGAGACTCTAGTTAAAGCTTCGCAGAAAATATTCAGTCAAGTTGTACAATGATGTTTGTAGAAGTAATGCTTTCACCTTAGTACGGAATTTTTTATAACATGCGATTCCTTTTATGTCATTTGGCAGATGATTGTATATTTTTATTCCAGAGTAAATAATAGAATCCTTAATCATAGTGGTGCGGGGGATTATCAATTTTATTTGACCGCTCTGTCTTGTATTATATCGTGAGGAGACAAGTGGGAAAGACCGTATATTCTTGTAAATCAGAGAAGCTGTTTCCAAGATATATAAAGAAATCACAGTTAGTATACCACAATCCCTAAATAACTCTCTACAAGAATCTGTTGATTTTGCATGGCACATATATCTGAGAGCTCTCTTTTGTAACATGAAACTCCTTTGAAATAATTGGTTACTACAGCTTCCCCAGAACGCTATTCCATATCTCAGGTGGGACTCAAGTAGGGCGAAGTATGTTGTTCTGGCAGATTCATATCCTAATTCAGAGGCAATTGTTCTGATGGCAAAGCATCCAGATGCTAGCTTTTTACACATAGATATTACATGGTCATTGAACATCAACTTGTTATCGATATGCAAACCTAAAAATCTTGTTGATGTTCTATTTTCTAATATGTCATTACCGATTTCCAAGTTTGGGACATTACAATGGAAAGTCAGAATATTGGTTTTCTTAATGTTGAGAGAGAGTAGGTTTGAGTCACACCAGTCTTTGATTACTTTTATATCTCGCATCACATTCGTGTATAATCTCTCATCATTATTATCTTGCCATAAAATAGTGGTGTCGTCCGCAAATAACGTGATTTCTCCTTTTATATCAAGAAATGCCATATCATTAATATATAAGAGGAATAAGATTGGCCCTAGGACTGATCCTTGAGGCACACCATGATTTATCTGCGCGGTCTCTGAGGTAGTGTTTGTTTTAACAACTTGTTGACGACCGGTCAGGTAGGTCTTAAACCATTGGAGCTTATTGTCTGTGAAGCCGTAGTGGTGCAGCTTCCGCAGCAGTATTTCGTGATTTACGCAGTCGAATGCTTTGGAGAAATCACAGAATACTGCCGCAGCAGCTGCTCCCCTGTTTAGGCTAGAATATACCTTGTCCATAAAAGAAAAGATAGCATCATTTGTGCTCTTTTTTGGCTGGAACCCAAATTGTTGATCTGTAAGTATATCTGTAAGTATATATGAGTATGGTACTGGGGTGCATTTCGTATAAGAAGAAGGGTATACGTAAAAAGATAGATAGCGGTGAGATGACAGACTGTCAGACAGTAGGAGAGGGATGGCAAGAAAGTGGCGAGTTTGGCGAATTCGCGAGATTCACGAAGTGGGCGACATCTACGTTACGTAATACGAACTTCAAACTGGGGGAAAACAAACTGTTGTCTATGGATAAAGTGCATAGACTACATGCTGTAGCTGTAGTCAAACTTGTCAATGACATAAAGTGTTGGCACTGTTGGTAGTGATGATGGTTGAGTTGGGTAATTTTTTCACATTATTACATTTTTATTACATTAGTGAACAGTGAACGGGTGAAGAATTGGAGATAGTTCAAACAATTCAAACTAATTATGACGAGCAAATCAATTGACATATAAAATAATAGCTACAACATGTTTACAATACCCAGATTGTCCTGCTTTGCATGAACAAATACAAATCCATTGTTTTACAGGAGTTCCTCTGGAAACCAACTTCAATTTTACTTCATGTGGGGAAGATTTCATCGCCGAAGTTTGTAGAAAAAGTGCAAAAATGTGCCTTTTGTTGAAGTCTTCTGCCTCACACAAAATCACATGATTAGCACGGAGAACTGCTTCTCCTTCCACTACTGATCGGCTTTTTCCGTCTGAATAGAGCAGAATATCTGCCAAAAGAACATCTACAACAGGCATTATGAGCGTTTTCGATCGAATATTGACAATTAATGTCAAGGAATGTAAAAACATCACTTTTATCAGTACACAGTACACAAGCTAATGGCACTAATAGGATTGAATGAGGATTGAGTTTGTTTTCCCCCAGTTTTGACGTGGCTTTGACATGGAACGATGAAAACTGAGCGCCACCTGGTAATATTGATTCCCGCGAATTGAGGAGAATACTCCTAAACTGATCACCCGATGTCAGAATCAATGGCCAGTGAAGCATTTGACGTAGGTGGAGTAGTTCCTGATACGAATACAGAACATTCAAGATACGAACTGTGAGTTAGTGCTCATATTCAATTGACATTGCCCGTCACGAAATCCACGTTACCTATAAAGCAGTGCCCACATTCACCCTGTTTCATTAAATATTGTATATCAAGAATATTAGCGTCTCATTACCTGAGAGAAAGAGCCTCATCAGCTTCAAAGAGGAGAATATTTCCACAAAATTGTTCAAAACCACATGTTTCGCTAACACAGTAGGTTCTTTAAGTGAAATACTCTAGCTGTTGATGGTCCATTCATATCAGCGATGGCATATTGAGAAGACAGAGAGAAGGAAAGAGAGAGACACTACATACCAAATAGGAAGACAGTACCACCTACTGTCTCTGAAGGAATGTTTACAGCTCCAAAGACTTGCAGGTCACTGATGATGAAAAAAATCATCTCAAAACGTGACATAGTCACAGAACATGCCATGCCAAAAATTATGAAAATCGATCTCAGCCTACTCTTTTTATGAGCAAAATTATTTTTTTCCAAAAAAACTTCAACGCCTTGTATCAGCTCAACGAGACGATTTTGGATATAGACAAGTTGGACTGAATCAACTTGTTTTTATCCCAGGAGTCCACAGTCGAGCCATGTACCAACCTTTTACAGACACCCTATATATCCATTTTTTATGTTCATAATTATATCTGAGAATATTCCTTTTCAATTTGTATAACAATCCTGGTAGACTGTTGGCCCGTGACACAGGGTTTATCGATGTTTTAAGTCTGTATGCCATTTAAGGGATCCACTCACTCAGTCCGAGTTAACAATGAGAAGTGCCTCGGAGAGTCGCAACCCAGTCCTTGCCCCGGCCCTGACCTCACCTTTCGGTTGGAAAAAATTTCAAAATTTTGTTTAAGAAGAAGCTCGGCAATGAAGTGCAATGATCTTATCTCACGAGAATTGGGGCGCTTGCCGGTTTGCATACGCCTAGGTCACTCCCCAAGGGCGGCATACGAACCGGAAGTGGAAATTTTTCAGTGTTATAGTCGATGATCGAAGAATGTATGCCCTTTGGCGAAACAATAAATTCGGACCCATTAATCGTTTTCCTGACATTTGCATACGATTCCGGAGAGGGGAGCTCGACTTATTCGAACATCATTTGACTGGATATTCTTCAAATAATCGATAATCGAAGAAATGTTCAAATTTTGACCATGGTTAGTGGACCACACAGTATATATGAGATGATGGTTTGCATACAATTTGCACATTCCGTACAGGGTGTTTCACCTTAAATATCTCCCATTGTAACTTAGTTGTTTCTGAACCGATTTTAAAATTTCAAAAAACAATTAAAATGATTTTCCTAAGAGATTTTTCATTGTTATCAAAAAATGCACAGGTTGTTCATAACAAATAAACTATTGGGTAGTTGTTGATTTCTTTTTACTGAAACACTATTCTTTACCTCACTATCGAGTTGAGATTATTATGACGAATACAGCTCTACAGCATCTAGCGATATCATTTACACGCAGCACTCTTATAGCAATCATGCGCCAAATTGTCAAATTGTGCCAGAAATATGAATCCCGGGTTTGAAGTATTTCCTTTTTTTTTGCTGAAACAATTCTCATATCTGAACAATGATTTGCTGCAGCAGCCAGGTAGGGTGTAGCACGTAATGATTTAGTAGGCATTCAATAATGTTTTTTCCTTTTGTCGGAGATCCGATATTTAAATATCTCAAAAACCATGTACTTTTGTATAATGTATATTATAGATTTATTCACTTCTTACTGCCTTCCCTACCAGTGGTATGAATCGGATTACCAGTAACCCTGTATATAAGAGCAGCGTGTGAATCTTATCACTAAACTCAACTATACTGGGTTTGATGAAGTCATGTCATTGTCAGTTACATGAAAAATAATGAAGGGGGCTGGGCCCTTGATTCTTTTTTTTGGTACGATCATAATCTCTGAGAGTTCAACTGAGAAAGTATCAGGTATATCTTTCGATCATGCCAAGATTTTTCAATAATCAAATAATATTCTTACTAACAGGTAGTGATGACAACTCTGGAGAATCATCTTCAGACAGCGAGAGCGAAGATGACTCTGAAGATAATGATAGAGAGGACGACGTATAATTTCTCCTTTGAAATATAATGTTGTTCTCATTTAATATAATTTCATTTTCAAATATTTTTTTTTTATGTGGAGAACAAAAATGTAGATTAAAGTTCAGGACCCCATACTATACCCAAAACATTCAACAAACTAAATAAACATTCTTTATATGTTTTTTAGACGCCAGTATTATGATAAGCAGACCCATAAGCCCCAGGAAGAATTTCAATTCGATTTATTGTGAGTTTCGATCATGAGCAATAATCCACCCCTCTTCTCCCTGTACGATCCCTCTTGATCATCCTGTGAGTTGCTTGTTGTAAATTTTTTTCATCATCTTTTAAAAACCCTGTTTTTCAAATTAAAATCACATAAAAAAATTTCTTGGTACTAAACCTCTCACACATGTAATTTTGATGAGCTGTAAATTTCTGATGGATAAATACAAATATATCTGCAATTTGCGTCTTCGAATATCCTCATCACTACCAGGAAGATAATCTTCGACCCGGTTTCATGTGAATTGAGATTATGAGACTTCCCGATTATCTAGTTCGCTTTCGGTGCACCTCTGGCCTGCAGTGCGGGGCGCCGCGCCGGACCGAGGCACGCGCGGGTTTGCCCGATTATTACAACGTATGCTCACATTGAATTCGTATGCAAATAGCATCCAGTTATAAAGAATATCCTAGTTTATCGGTCTAGAGATTTGCATACGAACTTAAATCATCGATTATTTGAAAGATGTCTAGTCAATTGATGTTCGAATAAGTCGAGCACCCCTCTCCGGAATCGTATGCAAATGTCAGGAAACTGATTAATGAATCAGAATTCATTGTTTCGCCAAAGGGCATACATTCTTCGATCATCGACTATAATATTGAAAAATTGCCACTTCCGGTTCGTATGCCTCCCTTGGGGAGTGACCTAGGCGTATGCAAACCAGCAAGCGCCCCAATTGTCGTGAGATAAGATCATTGCACTTCATTGCCGAGCTTCTTCTTAAACAAAATTTTGAACTTTTTTCCAACCGGAAGGTGAGGTCAGGGCCGGGGCAAGGACTGGGTTGCGACTCTCCGAGGCACTCCTTCCTGTTAACTTGGACTAAGTGAGTGGGTCCCTTAAATGGCATACCGACTTAGAACATCGATAAACCCTGTGTCGTGGGCCAACAGTCTATGGTGTAGTAGATCGTTTTATTGCATTTCTCTATCAATCGAGAGACGAACCATCAACTTACGGACGTGGGTATGTGCCTAGCAGCCTGCGCGATGACAGCCTTGGCCGTATCGGCCGGATTGAGCCTGGCCGCCTCCAGCCACAGATCCTCGCTCTGGTGGTTCACCTCGCACCCCTTCATGATCAGGTTCCTCGCCGCCTGCACTTTCCCTGTAACCGAACAATAGTTATTTATAGTATGTAGTACTTACCAAGGTAGTAAGGAATATCATCATTACCCAGGGACCATGACTATATCCCTAGAGGTTTCAGCCTAGGGGTATAAGGTACCGTGGTAATAATTTTCTTTACTACCAAGGTTTATATTACATTTTTTTAAATCATGATAATAGACAATATAACTAATATTAGGAAATTGAAGATGTTAAAAATCTTTTAGAATCTCATCTTGCGAATAGGACAATCAGCACTATATGTAATATGTCAGAGTCTAATAAATTTCCAATAAGTAAAAGTGTCCCACAGGGATCTGTTTTAGGGCCCATCTTGTATTTATTATATATTCAAAATATTTCTAAAATTGGATTGTCAGGTAATTATACTATATATGCAGATGATACTGTACTTCTATACGAAAACAAAAACCCCATCATTCTAGAAAATATTATTAACGAAGATTTGAAAAAAATTGGAAAATGGCTTTATTCAAACATTTTAACAATTAACACCAATAAAACTGAATATATAATATTCCATCAAAAAAATAAACAGAATATTAGTCTCAATCTCCAAATTGAAAATAAAGTATTGAAAAGAACTACACAAATAAAGTATCTTGGTTTGTGGATTGATGAAAAGTTGAAATGGGACAAGCATATAGAGGTTCTGATACAAAAAATATCTCCAATCATTGGAGCTTTGCGAAGATGTCCTAAACTTGACAAAAAAGTCATAAACATAGTACTTCATTCTCATATACTCAGTCGTATTACATATATGATAAATGTTTGGGGATCTTGTTCAAAAAAGTATTTCAGTAAAATATCTGCACTTTATGAGAAAGTACTGAAAGTATTGTATCGCCTCTCATTTGATATTCCAACAAATGATCTGTATGCGATAACAGAAAAATTTTCATTGGATGAATTATATAAAATAGATTCTCTTAAAGTTTCATATAATATAATAAACAATAATCTGAAATCCAATTTTGTTTTGGTAAGAAACTCAGGAATTCATGGTCATCACACGAGACAATTAAACTTATTTCATCTTGATTCTGCTAGTTCTATAATTGGCCAAAAAAAATTTACTCACGCTGCTCTAGCTGAATTTAATACATTACCACATAATATAAAAAATTGCAGACATATTTCAAAATTTAAAATTGAATTAAAAAAACACATGATTTCATTACGAAATGGATGAAATTGATACTTTGCCATCTACTGATTAGTCCCTGTGGCTATTTTTATGACTTGATCGATTTAGCATTTTTAGATTTTTTTAGATTTTTATTGTTGTTGGTGTCACCTTATATTATTTTATTATTGTTGTTTTTAATCAACTTCCTCATACCAGAATTTTATTTCTGACAGGAAGCTAGTTTTTCAATAAACAATAATAAACAATAATATGGCGGACGAAATTTTCAATCATTTTCCGATTCTATTCCAAATTGGTATCTGAGGGTTTTCGGAGTTAAAGATTAGAATTTTCTTAGGACTGCTGGCTGGAGACTACCCTGTACTGATGAGAGTCAAAGAGCTCGAAACCGGTCTGTGGGTGTCTAGCGTGGCCTGGCTAAATCGAAATCAATAGGCATTCAGGAAATAATCACTTGTATCAGTATTCTTTTACAAGAGTCGATGCATAGATTTCAGGAGGAAGTAATTCAATGTTCTGGGTGGCATTAGCCAGAAAAGTAGTTGTTTTTCTCCCGAAATCTATTATTGTTGTTCATTTTATGAACATTGTGTGGAAATAACTTTGAGCTTTTTGTATTCATTTACTCTGAATCTAGTCTGAATTTAGCTGATGAAGAATATAGCTAGCGAATAGCTAACGAATGAACAAAAAAAAGAAGAATAAGCCAACTTGCCGTCGTTGTTGATGTATAGGTATACAAACTCAACTGTGGGGATTTTGTCCTAAGGTATACCGGATGACACAGGAGAAATGTAACAGCCTGTAGTTTTTTATTTGAAGTGATGATGATTTGAAATTCACAAGTGTTATATTATCGATGATGGCGCTTTCCTTGAACTCAATGATACTTTTTTTCAACCATCTGTTTGATTGGAAGTAGACCCAACTTTCGTTTTTCAAATGGCACTCTGTATATTTCTGTAGCCTTGAAATTATCTATTCAACTATGTATTACAATTCGATATTCGTTCATTAATTGGCTGTTAAATTGCATTTTATTAAAATACATTAAGTTGGCTGTTACCCGAATGCAATGACATTTCGATGCTTGATAGGCTTTAGAAATCCAAAGATCATTACTCAGATGATATTATCAGAATAATTTCGATACCCTAATCGGTCTCAGAAGATTGCCAATAACTTCATTGAGTTTAAAAAAATCGTTCGTGAAGTTTCTAAAGGACCCCGCACTAAACTATAGGGAAAATGGCTCTCGATGAAAATCGCTGAATTTTTGGTATGTTGCAGACTTTTATATACTGAACAGATATCCCAATGAACTAACCTCAAAAAATGGACAGTTTTTCTGATATTGACCTCCAAATGTCATTTTTTCGAGAAAACAAAAGTATCGGAAAATGTTTGAATTTTTGGCATGTTGTAGATAGGAATGAACTTATGAAAAAATCCAATTGACATAACCCCCAAAAATTGACAGTTTTCTCGATATTGACCTCCAAATTATATTTTTTCGAGGAAAAAATCTGAAAATGGCTGAATTTCTGGTATGTTGTAGATAGGAATGAACTTATGAAAAAAATCAATCGACCTAACCTCAAACAAAATTGACAGTTTTTCGATATGGACCTCCAAATGTACGTATGGGAAATATGATGAATGGAACAATAATCAATAGACAAAGTTGCTGTTGAGAGGATGTAATGAAATATATAGTATTTATGTTTATGCCAGATATCTATTTTATTTTCATCATTCCATCTATTGAAAAGTATTAGATACACTGGTGTTGTGTACTGAAGTATACACAATACCTAAATCGTATCGTATCGTATAATTGCAATGGATTGATCGCGGTATAAGACGTCATCACGCGTTGTCCCGCGATTTTCATGTTATGAAATATCGTGAATTTCAATAATTATAAACAATATGTACAAAGATGAAGAGAAAACGGTTTGCGACAGTGAACAAGTTGAAAATTATGGGATAAAATGAAATATTTGCAATGCATTGAGAGTGTCCTATCAATATTTTGGAAAATAATTATTTGTGTCAATCTGACAATCTTGTATGGAAACTATAGTACAACAGCAAGTGTTTCAAAAATCCCATTTCTATTATTTCATCTCTGGAATCATCAATAATTATATCCAACAACAATCTACAACATACGAAAAGTTCAGGAATCTTCAATTACAAGCAGAATGAGTACATTGAAACATTAAAATGATGTGTGTGATGGGCAAAATGACACAGAAAAGACATGAAAAAAAGTTATCAAAATAAAATGAAAACCTGACAAACTTCAAAAATCTACTCACCTATATGAGGATGTTCAGGAAAATGTGTTTGAAAATCGAAGCTGCAACATAACCTAATTGACTCATTTTGCTAGTAGGTTTACTCATAGATTTCTGAGGATGCCTCATAATGAAAGACGAAACGTCGATGATGATGAAACATTATTTTTATCTGACTCTCCTGACCTTGGAAATGTACAGAATAATATTCTGAAGGTTAACTTTCATACAGTTGTTTGAATACCATTTAGGGGTCAGTAGCAGTAAAACTGTCAATATTTTGCATTTAGGTCAATAAGATTTCTCCATCAGTTCATTCATATCAACAACAAACCTACTTGATCCAGCCATTTTCATGGATTATTTTCTGAGAAAACTATATTTGGAGATCAATGTCGAAAAAACTGTCAATTTTGTTTGAGGTTAGGTCGATTGAATTTTTTTATATGTTCATTCCTATCTACAACATACCAAAAAATTCAGCCATTTTCAGATTTTTTTCCTCGAAAAAATAACATTTGGAGGTCAATATCGAGAAAACTGTCAATTTTTGGGGGTTATGTCAATTGAATTTTTTCATAAGTTCATTCCTATCTACAACATGCCAAAAATTCAAACATTTTCCGATACTTTTGTTTTCTCGAAAAAATGACATTTGGAGGTCAATATCAGAAAAACTGTCCATTTTTTGAGGTTAGTTCATTGGGATATCTGTTCAGTATATAAAAGTCTGCAACATACTAAAAATTCAGCGATTTTCATCGAGAGCCATTTTCCCTATAGTTTAGTGCGGGGTCCTTTGGTTATCGTTTTTGTCGATCCCAACCCTACCTGTGACCTCTTCCAGCCGGGCGCTGGCTATCCAAGCAGGCGGATGGTTGGGGTTCGTCTCGCGCACGGACTTCAGCAACAGCCGCGCCTTCTTGATGTCGTTGATGTCGCCGCCGTACGTCGGGATCATCGATTGGAGGTCGGTGAGGTAGCCCTTGGGGTCCACCACGGTCTGTCCGGTCACCGAATCGGACACCTGGATTTTTTTTTTAGGATCACTCGAAAGGGAAATGTTATGAGACACCTAGGGTCTCAATTCGTGATTCGATCGTCAGATGATGCAAGACAGACTGCTTCAGCTCAATCGATTGTCAGCGAGTTTGTTGTAATATATTATAATTTGATATTCATTTAATATAATAGTAATATTCTTTCTTCTGAAGTAGTCCATGCTCGAAGTGGAGGGGGGTGATCAAAGAGAAAAAAAAACCAAAGTCGTCTCCACAAGTTTAATGGCGATGTGTGGAGGCAATTCTGCTTATTACTTTAACTTTTGAGACATGTTTCGACCATTCAAATGATCAGCATCAGTCATAGTACTGAATAAAGGCTATGGCATCATGCAAACGAAAATATTTGTATTTAGATCTTGAAGAACATAATTGAAATCGAAAAATAAGTAGTTTTGATCGTGTTTTATGGAGGAAAGCAGGGCCAATCCATCCAAAACTTAGGGCAAATCGACATCTGCCGTAATAAATAGAATCGCCTGCATACATCGCCATTAAACTTGTGGAGACAGCTTTGGGTTTTTTTCTCTTCAATATTCTTTCAATCTGAACTAACTGAAATATTTCACTAGAACTGAACTGAATCGTTCTTTCGAAAGACGTTCATTATGTACAATGCATGTCAACTGATTCAGTTTTGTTCAAGTGAAATGTGTCAGTTAGTTCATACCATTCAACATACGAATACATACAAGTAAAATTGAAAAAAATGAAATACTTTCTACATCACTCAGGTTTCTATACCCAACAAATATCGTTGGTTTGGTGGAGGTTCTCATAAAGTCTGGTAATTTATTGAACTGCTGCAGTCCTTTGAAAAATATTGAATTTTGAGCTTTTGTCCTGCTTACTGGCGTTATATAAAGATTATTTCTCCTTCTTGTGTTATAATTATGGATGTTATAGTTGTAAGTTATCTTATTCTGCAAGTAATAAGGGGCGCAGCCAGTTTTTATTTCATAAATGAAAATCATAGCTTGATAGTAGACAAAATCTTCAACTGATAACCATTTCTAGGTAGTCAGCATTTCAACATTTGGGGTTACTCTGGGGCATGCCAATATTATTCACATAGCCCTGTTTTGTAATTTTTGAAAAAGACCTATTTCATTCTGATTTAATGTATATAGTACTGTTGAGCAATGAGTCAAGTGGGGAAGTATCAATGTATTGAAAATAATGAGCCTTGACCATTGACTTAAAGACCATTTGCATGCTGTTTGAATTTCAGGTGCCTATCTATGGTCACACCAAGATATTTGAATTCATCTACTCTGCTGATCAAGGAAGTTCCAATTTTTATATCATAATTGTTATCTTTGAAATTTTTATACTGCTGGACATTTTCAATCACCATAAACTTCGATTTTTTTACAGTTGATTTTCAACAAATTGGCACACCATCTGTAAATTTGTTCTAAATCTCTCAACCTCAACACTATTTGAGACACTCAGTGATGAGAAATGAATGAGTGTGTCATCTGCAAATAGATGAATGGTACTTTCACTAATGATGTCTGCAATATCATTGATATAAATCAGGAAGAGTATTGGGCCAAGAACACTTCCTTGTGGCACACCTCCCTCATTTACTAATTCATCAGATGTGATACTTTTGATTTTAACCTCTGGTCTCCTATTTGATGAATAATCCCTGTATTTTATGGCATTTTTAGATTCTCCCTGAAGTAATAAAACTAGCCCTGTACAGTATTTTCAAGGGTTTATATCAACCTGAATGTTTTTCTAGATTCAGGAAGATTATAAATAATGATAATACTCCTCAATGCCATGATGCATCTCTTACAAGTCATATTTTTTTTCATTATCTACTCACTTGTGACAGTTTTACATTCATCAATGTATTTCTGGCTTGTCCAATTTTCCTCAAGTCCATATCACCAGTAGGTGTCAGCATACCTAAAACAATATACATGGGTCCTAACAATTATGAATTTTTCATACCCAGAACCCAGAAATCAAATTATCCTATTACCCCTACCTATGATCATTTGGCAAGGGGTTTGTTGTTTGAAGACCACTACTATAGCATGCATTTTTGATATACCTACCTACAAGCTTCACAGATCAATTTTGAAATCCATGACCATATTATTGAAAGTATAAGTTTTTTTATTTCTTGAAGATCAGGAAAGATAATTTCTATGTTTGATGAAACATTGATTTTGTTACCTGGTGTTGATGCACCTGGTACCATGCTAGCTAATCCAGAATTTGGGTCAATAGAATTAGTAGCTTCTCCACCTAAATTCCTGGAAAGGAGACTGTCAGGCAGTGGTGTGAATTTTTCAGCTCTGGGATTTCTTTGTTTTTTATTTCTGACATCCCCAACCTCAGGTACAGTCTTCCACTCATCTTCACTAACACCAGCCAAATCTCTCTTCAAATCTGAAAACTGTTGTTGAATTTTCGGCCTTTCTTGACGATACCTCTCCAATTCTTCCCTCAGACGTTTCTCCCTATATTCTTTTCTTTTTTCATCCATTCTTTTGTCAATTGCTTCATAAATGGCATCTGCTTCAGCATCATCTTTGTCATAGGGATCTTTCGAGAATAATGATCCTCCATAACCATTAAAATCATCATAATTGGAATCATTTAGATCCTCTTCTTCCTGAAATCAATATTGGTAATTAACTATGATCCAAAGAAGATGAGAATGTACTTTACTTCTTTTTCTTCTTCCTCACTCTTCTTAGGTCTCTTGGCTGCAGGAGGAGCATGACGATCATCACTTGAATACGAAAATAATAAATTTTAATATCAATAACATCAGAATGTCACCTGTACTTACGAAACATCATTTGCATCTCTTGCTGGACCAATATCAGAACGAGTTGTGAATCCTGTAGCTCTGGAAATTGAAAACAGAACAACAATTGTGGTCTTGATCAATGAATAATGATCGAACTTACCCCCTACCAACACCAGCTACATATCCCAAAGGAGCAGGTACCCCCAAAAAATGTTTTTTATTCCTATTAGATAGGGGCTGTGGGGGCACAGCCATTATTTGAGTGTTTTAAAACGAAAAGAGTATTTGCTAATATGCTAATCGAACTGGGAATATATTTTTACTTTATAAACCAAATTTTATATTTGTTTACGTTTTGATGACGGATATTTTCTCGGTTAGAGAATTCTTCTTCTCGTTTTTTATTTTTCATTTTTCGGCACTTGTCCTCTTAGATACCTCAGACAATGACGGTTAAATATCTAGACTGTCTGACGGATTATACTAAGATGATACCTTAGATCATGTAATGATTTTATAATGATGGAAGTAAGATTTATGTTCGGTGGTTTGGGTAAGGTTGTTTGGGGTTTAGGAGGTTTATACTGTGTTACCAATAATTGATTTCGACTTTTCATAAAACCTCCAAAATTGATATTAATAAAAATGGGCCATTGGCAAGGTGATGATTCCGATACGTCATCTGGAGGGCACATTTGAACCAGTTTATTAGGGCATTCAAGGTCATTTTTGTTATTGTTTGTTATTTGATATTTCATGTAATTCATTCTACAAATTACTTTGATTTTGTTTTCATGATTTTCTTTAGATCTTCAGTACAGGACAGGAACTTCATATTAATTACCTACCGCCACAATTCTACATTATTTTATAAATCATTTATTCCTACATAAATAGAAGTCCTGGATTCCAAATTCATTGATAATTCTACATGTTCATGAAGGTATCTTCACTTGTAATGTTAAGGGGAGGAGAGAAAGCACTATACATGAGCACTGAGGGGAGAAGAAAACTGGTAGATCCTTCTCTTAGTACTTCTTTGGAGAGACACAAGTAGGTCTTTGAACAAAATATTAATTCATTATAATGCATTGAACTTATACAGTGAAAAACATGTTTTGTCAATGTCTACATTCATTTTCAAAAATTATTAATCAATTAGTTCAGTTTCAGAACATCAAATACATAGATATATTTTTATTCATATGAATTCAGTATAACAAAATGATACCAAGAAATAATTATCTACCTATAATCACTTACAAAAATCATCTGGATCATCTGAACAAAGTTTTATGTTGTGGAACTCCAGATTACTCAGATTTCATCAAAATGGTGAAAAAAAAACTAATTTCACAAGATATAGATGAACACCAAATCTAGGATACCACCTACCTTAACTTGATGTAGGTAAGTATATTGTATATTGTCCCTATGAAAATGAATACACTTAATGTGGATACAAATCACACACATATAGGATCATGACAATTTGCTATTATTGTTGCAGTGGAGCACCATTCATGAAGAAGGTACCTGTGAGAGTTTTGCAGGTTTTTAATATAATTATAAGTGGTGCTATAAAAAATCCTCCAAGATGCTAGAAGTAATCTTGCTTAGGTTGGGCCGATGATATCTAATATAAATCCAAGGTAACCTCAGGAGCTGTTTTGAAGGATAATTCCAAATTTGCAAACATTATTCTACACATAACAAAATTGTAATTTTTGTGAGTTGAAATGTTTCTTTCTTCATATTGGCTTAGAAAGGGCGTCCCTAGGGCTGCAGCTATAAGCATATGTTGTGGTCATATGAAATATCTCCTGGTTTTGGTATGGAATGTATGATACTTAACCCACCATGCGTCTACCTCCTTTGCAGAGAGGGTTTATAATAAACGCCGAGTTGATACTCTCCCCTCGTAAGGGTACCTGACGTATTTCCATAGAGACATAAAGGTGAATATCTGTCTATCTGTTTGCTTGAGAATGTATCTGAAAAGGAAATCAATATATCGCCTTCCGTATGAATATGGATCTGATTTCTGAAATGTATACTCTGGTCAGTTCTCTTTGCGGATCTTCTGTTTGGTTCGTCTTGACTGGATGGTTTTCTCCGATTTTTTTGACAAGTATCAAAACACTTTGATTTTCGGATCTGCAACTAAACATCACATATCAAAATATCCATGAACATTGAAAATGATTTAAAATTGAAAATGATTTTCATGAGAGGTGGAACATGGATGTCGAATCTGAAACATACCTGAATGATATTTCCAACAAGCGTAACTGATGGATTGCTACATTCGCTCTCCTTCCGAATAATGGTTTTCCCAGTAGACATCTGCTACATTTTGAATTTCGTGGGTTATAGTAAGGACCATGAATGCCAATAAACAGTGTGCTGCTCGTATCTAAAACTAAGCATCAATTTGAAATTCGAATCGTGAGACGTACATAGAATATAAATCTGTGAAGTCTGAATATTGTTTGCATTATTCGTAACTAAAACGCGATATATTTTTATGATTATTCATTAACTCTCTCAATGCAGACGAGGTAGGCAGATAAACAACGATTTTCTCTGCAATGAAAAACACTGTATATACCTAACCCACCATGCGCCGACCTCCTTTGCAGAGAGGGTTTATAAACGCCGAGTTGATACTCTCCCCTCGTAAGGGTACCTGTCGTGTTTCCATAGAGACATAAAGGTGAATATCTGTCTATCTGTTTGCTTGAGAATCTGGAAAGGAATTCAATATATCGCCTTTCGTACGAATATAAGGATCAGAATTCTGAAAAGTATACTCTGGTCAGTTCTCTTTGCGGATTTTCTATTCGGTCCGTCTTGACTGGATGGTTTTCTCCAATTTATTGACAAGTATCAAACATTTTGCTTTTCGGATCTGCAACTAAACATCACACATATCAGCAAGTCCATGAGAATTAAAACTGATGTTGAATCTGAAACATATACCTGAATAATATTTCCATCAACCGTAACTTGATTGCTACATGTTCGCTCTCCTTCCGAATAGTGGGTTTCCCAGTAGACATCTGCTACATTTTAAATTTCGTGGGTTATAATAAGGACCATGAATGCCAAAGAGTGTGCTGCTCGGATCTAAAACTAAGGATCAATTTGAAATTTGAATCGTGAGACTCACATAGAATATAAATCTATAAAGTCTGAATATTGTTTTCAACATTCGTAACTAAAACGCGATATATTTTTATGATTATTCATCAACTCTCTCAATGCAGACGAGGTAGGCAGATAAACAACGATTTTCTCTGCAATGAAAAACACTGTATATACCTAACCCACCATGCGCCGACCTCCTTTGCAGAGAGGGTTTATAAACGCCGAGTTGATACTCTCCCCTCGTAAGGGTACCTGTCGTGTTTCCATAGAGACATAAAGGTGAATATCTGTCTATCTGTTTGTTTGAGAATCTGGAAAGGAATTCAATATATCGCCTTTCGTACGAATATAAGGATCAGAATTCTGAAAAGTATACTCTGGTCAGTTCTCTTTGCGGATTTTCTATTCGGTCCGTCTTGACTGGATGGTTTTCTCCAATTTATTGACAAGTATCAAACATTTTGCTTTTCGGATCTGCAACTAAACATCACATATCAGCAAGTCCATGAGAATTAAAACTGATGTTGAATCTGAAACATACCTGAATAATATTTCCATCAACCGTAACTTGATTGCTACATGTTCGCTCTCCTTCCGAATAGTGGTTTTCCCAGTAGACATCTGCTACATTTTAAATTTCGTAAGGACCATGAATGCCAAAGAGTGTGCTGCTCGGATCTAAAACTAAGGATCAATTTGAAATTTGATTCGTGAGACTCACATAGAATATAAATCTATAAAGTCTGAATATTGTTTTCAACATTCGTAACTAAAACGCGATATATTTTTATGATTATTCATCAATTCATCAACTCTCTCAATGCAGACGAGGTAGGCAGATAAACAACGATTTTCTCTGCAATGAAAAACACTGTATATACCTAACCCACCATGCGCCGACCTCCTTTGCAGAGAGGGTTTATAAACGCCGAGTTGATACTCTCCCCTCGTAAGGGTACCTGTCGTGTTTCCATAGAGACATAAAGGTGAATATCTGTCTATCTGTTTGCTTGAGAATGAATCTGGACAGGAAATCAATATATCGCCTTCCGTACGAATATAAGGATCTGAATTTTAAAAAATTCACTCTGGTCAGTTCTCTTTGCGGATCTTTTGTTCGGTTCGTCTTGACTGGATGGTTTTCTCTTTTCTCTCTGAATTTTGAAAAATTCACTCTGGTCAGTTCTCTTTGCGGATCTTTTGTTCGGTTCGTCTTGACTGGATGGTTTTCTCCGACTTAGTGGCAAGTATCAAACACTTCGCTTTCTATCTGTTTGCTTGTTAATCTGGAAGAGAAATCCGATTTAGACTGAATTCTTGTTGCATCACCGAAGTTTCCGCAATATTTTCATCATATAACAATTATACTATTTCGTATTTTTCCACTGCTGAATAACTCATTTTAATTCAAAGACCGACAGAGATGTCGAAAAATGCCTGTTTTGTTTCCATGGCATTTCTGATGTTGTGTCTATAGCAATCTAAATGTTACACTATACAGGATGTGCGGAAAGGTAATGTTATAAATGACTGATAGAGTGAGCCAAAATAATGTTGGTACTTCATATAAAAAACGTATTTCGCGCTTCGTTTCGAAGATATTGACCTTGAAAGTAGGATTAAAAAAAAGAATTTCATGTATAACTTTCCAACTATCATTATTTTTTGAAATACTGAAAATGTAACGAATGAGTTATCTATGACTAATGACGATAATGAAAATATACAGGGGGAACAGATACATAGCATACAAGATATAAGATGAAGAATTGAACACGGATATACTGGCACTATTATTTTCGAAAGTCTAACGATTTGAAAAAATTAAACACAGGCTAAAAATATAATTTTCACAAAAATCTCTAGTGATTTGAAGGAATTTTACAGTCAGAAGTAGTGAAAAACTCTAGCAAATTTCTCGAAGAGTGTAAAATGCACAAGGAGGCATACAGGGTGTTTCAGATTCAAATGTACATTTTGGCTTTGACTGCCAGGCTTCTCTACGAAGTTATTAGAAATAAGGTTGTGCTGAGTTACTACGTCTAACAGAGAATTTTGCGAAGAATTCAGTGGCGTACTCTATTTCTTTAGGGGTTATGATTTTG